TTGTGGCGGGCATGATAAGTGCGTCGCTCGTGTCCAATGCCGTCAGTGACATGTCACCATCAAATTGGAACAATGAAGTTGCGTCTTGCTGTGATGCGCTCATCGTTTGGTGTTGATTTGGAAAGTGATCGATAGCCTGAGATGATACTATATTCATATTTGTTGTTGTAGTTATATAAGTTGTGATTGTGATTGTGATGTGATTGTGAGGTGTCTGGGTACATGGTTGGGGGCGAGTTTGATTGTTAGTTTGATTGAATGTGTGTGGGTTTGGGCGGAGCCAGATTACCTGGAACAGTTCCAGATAATCAATACTACATACCTAATTGATTGATTGATGATCAACAAAATATATATATATTAATAATAGTATAATATAATATTAGGGATTGAAGTTGAGTGTGTCAGAGAACTGAACAGTGCACTGTGACGTTGGAGAAAGATGGATTATTGTCCAAAAGGTGGAAAGCTGATGTTAGTAATCATGCCCATGCCATTCCTGTTTGAATGAATGATTGGATTGATGATGGTGATGATGTTTGATTGATTGATTGATTGAATGAGTAATTGACAGTATGATTGATAATGGATGTTGTTGTTTACACTCTTACGATGCTACTCCATTGATAGCACTTTGATTGGTCGTATCCGTGTATTATGATTATCTATCCTTTTGGATTGATGGATTGATGGTTGGATGGATGGTTGGATGGATGGAAGGTAGAGACAGACATAGTGGAGATGTACGGAAACACACGTGATAGGGGTAGTTGCGCATTGTTGATGGACGTGTGATGATGGAGTTGGCGAGGGTTTGGAGGTGTGGGTGTCACCCACACGACTAGTGTCACTTCCCCACTCCTTGCGATCAAACACCACCCAATCCATGGAATTGGAAGAGAAGAGTGATCGTGTGTGTTTGTGTGTGGTTGGCTGAGCTGTCATGTCAATGGACATGAGGCTGGATTGAAGGTCCAGAGTGAATTGTATGTGTCATGTGTCTTGTGTCATGTGTATGATATAGTTGACTTTTAGAGAAGTCCTCACCTCGACCAAAGGAAAGAGATTGGTATAGTTATGATCAACAACTACAAGGTATTATTATTATTCCAAATGACATGGAAAAACAAGCACAAGGTGGAAGTGGAACACATGTCAACCAAGTCAAACAAACGCGTTTGACTTGGTTGACGAGTGGATGTGTAAAGGTGCGACGAAGAGTATGCGTGTGTCGTGTGTTTGATTGATTGATTGAGTGAGGTAGGGGTGAATGTGGATGATTGAGTGGGTGAATGTAGATTTAGATGTAAAGTGAGTGTGTATACACATGATTGACAAGCATCAGTCAGTGTATGTATACATCATACTTCATCCAGAACAGACTTCTATCCATCCATCAATCAATCAATCAAATACAATATGATGGTTGACTAAATGGGCAATAGAGAGTGATTATTATAATGGCACACCAATCATTATTAGGATAGATGTGCGCAATCCAATAAGATGGTGAGCAAATATTGGCGAGTGACAGACTGAATGATAGATACCTAGGTGGATGTCGTCGTCGTCGTCGTAGATATATGATTGTTACAATATAGAGACATGTGATTGATATGTGGATGTAATAATAATAATATTAACATATTGAAGTGAAGTGAGTGAATGTGATGGGTGTATATGTATTGTGAACTCTGGAAATTGAACAAGGCAAGATGAAGTCAAGTCGACAGATATCACCTTGGACATCTTCGAATGATGACAAACACACAACACACAAAGGGTCATCCATGAACCTCATGGAACATCGTCTTTGGTGTTAAGAATCTCATGTGTGAGAGTGGGGAAGAGGAGTGTGTTGTTTGAGGGAAAGTGAAGAGTTGGGGAAAGGAGGGCCAAAAGTACTTATTTCGGACCAAACACACAATTTATATCCACTTATGGACAAACATATACACACAATACTTGACTCAGTCATTTCCATAATGAGGTATTTTTTGAGGACAAGTTAAAGAGACACATTGTTTACAGATGGATGGATGGATGAGGTTCAAACGAGATACGAACCACATGTAGGCATGTGTATCTCATGGGTAATATTAATATTTTACCTACCTTTTGGGTGATGGAGTCGTAGAAGTAGGAGGAGGGAGGAGGAGAAGGAGCAGATAGTTGTAGGAATATCTTAAATAGATTATTGGTTCATATAAATATATAATAATGATTGATTGATAAATAATAATAATTATTAATTGGAAGGTGGAAGTGGAGAAGAAAGATGGGATGAGGAGGAGGAGATCTGGATGAAAAGGGTTATTAGATCAGTGAGTCTGGCATCAGCAGGATGGAAATTGGTTGGTTGGGTCTCAAGAGATGGTCTTCAAAAAGATGTAGATCGATTGTGTGTGTGTGTGTGTGTTTGTTGGGTACCTTGGCATACTGCCAATGATTATCAATGAATGAACGACAGAGTATTCATTCAATCCATATTGTCAATGTCAACGAGTGAGTGACTGACCTTGACATTAATGTGAACGAGAGAGATGAATGAATGAATGATGGTCAAAGTGAGAGAGGACCACAGATCTCGCCACTTATGTAGACTACATCTGGCTTGTCGGTCGGCAATGCCGTAGCCGCGGACAGCCACAGGGTCACTAACAGATGCATGTAAGCATGCAGGCCTGCCACATCCCGATTCCGTGACACCAAACTCAACAGACATCAACAATGTGAGTGGGTTCCTGTTTTCGAAACAAAAAAAAACAAAAATGTAAATGTGTACCATGATGAGAGGCGCGAGGAACAACAAAGTTGACAAACAAAACACGGGACCAGATTAGATGGGGTGAATGGATGGATTGCTGTGACCTGGGGTAGTCATCGATGACTTGAACTCACATTTGTGTGTCTTTGCATTGTGTGATGGTGTCGACGGCAACGACTACGGAATCTGCAATGATGGAGTGATGGAGCTTGTTGTGAAACACGCCGTGTAAATAGCTACAACAACAAGAAACAACCCAATATATCAACCATTGGCCAATGGTTCTCACAAATGAATGAATGAATGATGGAGTGATCGAATGAAACGAATGAATGATTGAATGATGGATGGATACCTACTCGTTCCAAGTACTTGAGTGGATACTAAGGCTAAGGCTAAGGCTGTGGCTTAGGCTAAGGATGATTGAGTTGACAACTGGATGTTGGTAACCAAGTTGTTCAAATGAAGAAAGAGAATAGATTTAGGAATGAGTTGGAGTATATGGCCTGGATGTGCATAAGTGACAAACAGGCGTCTGATGGACAATGTGACTTCAATAGTTGTTGATGTTGTTGGGTATTGGTGTTTTGTTGTTTGATTGATTGATTGATTGAATAGTTGGACTGACTGGCTGGGCCTGGACTGAATGACTCAAAGGTTATGGATGGATTATGTAGACAAGGTAGGTAGGGGGGTAGGTAGATAGAAGGGTATTGTTATATTGGTGGTTAATGCAACTGTTGAACAGTCGATGAATGGTTCAGCATGTTGTAGAAGAGGGATGAAACAAGGAACAACAACAACAACACATCATTGATCAATCAATTWAATTTAAAATACTATTAAATAATATCAGAAGTAGTAGGTAGGCAGATAGGCAGGTATTATTATTACCAGTGTGATGTGATTGATGATGGCTCGCAGTCATGTGGTGGTAGTGATCAGAGGGGAAGTGGGAGGTGGTGGTGCGTGGGGAGGGAGATAGACTTGACTGTATCCCATCCATCCATCATCAATCCATTCATTCCATTGACTAGCAAGCTTTCTGCAAGGTGTCTAGCATAACATGTTGATCACAAGTTGGCCCAACATTGCAAGTTTGGCTCTTCACACCCCTCCACTTCACTGCATCCACCTCAAACAAAACATTCCTTGGCCAATTCCTCGGTCTGATCACCCGCGCCACTTCTAACCCCAATCACTCTACTCATCACCTAATTCGGCCTGACTTGAGCACAATTCAATCAAAATCCCCCACTTGCTCTCATACACACTTTGTGCGCGAGGTCTCAAAGGACCCACCCCTTGCCATTGTGTAATCTTCGTCGTGTCGTATTTGTGTTTAAGTGATCCCAACTCAACAACCAAGTGTGTGATAGTGTCTACAAATATCCATGCATTGATCAAAGAGTGAGGAAGAGCGATCGTCATGCTTATCAACTCGCGAGTAGTACCCATGTGTTGTAGGTCTAGTTGGGACCGAATGAATGAATGAACGACTGATCACTTTGAATCCCCCAAGCCACCCCATTTACCATGAATGATCTTCACTCGCCATCACATCAAGCGCTAGCCCATTAACATAGAGGCATCAAATTGATAGGTTTGCAGAACCGGACGTCCCAAAAAGGCAAGAGGACACTGGTCTGCCATTGTGTAAGGTCCGCGGCGAGTACACAACCACGTCTGTTGTTGCCGCGCGACACTTAGACCCAGTGTGTAGCATCATATACCCATCTCTTGGTGCTATTACTATGTTTGATCATCATCATTCAAAGTAGACAGGGTATGATAAGGTAAGGTCATGTGTCTATTAGACCCCCCCCTGGCCCGTTGGCTCGGCAGTGGCACTGCCACTGATTGGTTGTTGATGGGTGGTTAGATAGATCAAGAGGCCGTTGCAATGTTGTCGTTCAAGTTCAAGAGATTGCCCCAATGCATTCATTCAAACTGGATATTACTCGAAGACACATATTACTTACTTGTCACCAAGACATGACCGCCTGGGCTGGGCTGGGTTGGGTTGGACGGATGAATGGTGGTCCACCTGATCGATTTGAAACGATTTGGAATCATTCATTGTTGTTTATATTCTATCTCTTTGTTTGAAGTGAACCCAAGAGTCGGTCACACATGTTGATGATCTTAATATGTCCATCAAAGCAGGCTGCGTGTCGCATGGCATTGAGTAATCGTATAATACTCTTTGAGTCATTGTCCAAGACAACTCTTTTGAATGGAGGAGATATGTTATCATTGTCCAACTCGAATAGATAACTGATGACCTTGTGATGGTTATTACTGACTGCATCAATTATGTAATGAGTGGATGGTAGATGTCTTTGAAGTTGTTTGGTTGTCTTGCATTGTTGATGGATATGACGAACGATGTCCAGGTGACCCATGCTGCACGCCCAGTCCACCAAGCGAACCAATGCATTGGATTGGTCATCCACGTTGAGATAGTCCAGAGTGTCCATCAGATGTGAGAGCACCGACAAGTTGGAAATCTCCATCGGTATGATATCGTCGAGATCGAACTTTGTGTCTTTGGCCTGCTCGATCAGCTTGTCCAAAGCCTCGATATCACCCTGATTGATCTTATTACGTATACGTCTTGTGAACTCAACTGATGTGCATACCTTTGATGCATCATCGTCATCTGCTTGTGGTTGGATACTGGCGCCAACATCATCATCACTGTAGTCCAGGGTGAGTGGTTGTCCATCAAGTATCGTGTCAATACGATCGTTGTGGATGCATTCCATTGTGATCCTGTCCAGCTTGAGCACAATGTGCTGGTGCGCCATCAGTCTCTCCAACAGGCGCTGTGTAAGGATACTGTAGTGGATGTACGAGATGTAGGTTGATTGCGCTGGGTCGGCAACCGGTGGGAGTGAGGCCAGCTCATCGAGGATGAAGTCGACCACAGACATGTTGCCATGCTCCAATGCTGCATCCAGTGCGGCCGACTGATATGTTCGGTGCAAGGGCGATGGAGACAACAGTCCATTCATTCTTACAAACATGTCCAGACGTCCATTCCTCGCGGCAGAGGTAAATTCTTGTTTCCAACTATCGTTGGGATCAAAGTCCATAGTGGGGATGTATGATTGCAGCAACAGGTTGAATATCTCCAAGCGCCCATACTGGCAGCAGTGATGGATGATGTCACGCGATGATGGTAGATGGTCGAAAAGAGTAATCTGGTTCGCAATATAATACTCGACAATCGGCATGATGTCGTGCTCAATGGCCAAGAGGAACAATGATGAATGGCACGCGGCGAGTAGCGCATGCTCCTGCATCAACTGCATCATCTCCAACGCCCATGGCTTGTCGAGCCATGCATCCAACACGTTTTGGAAGCATATGTTGCTGTGCTCGACTGGTGTGAGTTTGGCGCCAATCTCCAAGAGTCGACGAAGGAATGCTGGCTGTTTGATCTTTGCTAGCTGGTGGCCACCAACCTTGAGCGGGGCACCATTATGACAAATGATCGACAGGTATTGGTCCAAGATCAACGGCCATCTCGGGTTGCTGCAAGACGATGCGTTGGTAACAAACTCATCAGTGAGCTTGGTGTTATCGATCACCATTTGGGGGTTCGCCAGCAGTACGTCGAGCACTCGTGTGTCACACTTGGAGAATGCATCCTCGAGTATTCCTTCGTTGTAGGGGTAGGTGCTTGAGATGGAGATTGGTGTGTAGGCCTTGAGGAACCATTCAGTGGCGCCATAACGAATGTAATCAATCAAAGAGTCCTTCTCCAGTAGTCGGGCACCCATGATCAATCTATCAGAGTACTCCTCGCCAAATGAGGCATAGATCTCTCCAATTTGTCCCATGATCATCATGCCCATCTTTTGGTCCCTGAACACCAAATGGAATGCTGTCTCCAACTCTTGACTCGCAGGCTTCACTTGATCAGCAGCAATGTGATCCATTGTCAGTTTGATGACCTGGCTGCTATAAGATTGATTGATCGTGTCAATGATTGAGTGATGGGATTGGATTAATTGAGTACTTACTCGTTGTTTTCCGCTCCAGCTTGTAGTGATTTGATTCGTTCAGTGCATATGTTGATAGCACGGACTGCTCCTTGTTCAAAGGCAAGATCCAGGATACTGTGTATCATTCGCAACCATTGTAACTTGGATGTTATGTTAAAGTCCATCAAATTGTTGAATATGTACTCCAATGAATGATATGCATTGCGATCGACAACCATCTTCAATGTTTCCAGGTTGGGTCTGATCACAATAACTTCATTATTATCCAGTAGCCGTTGTTGTAGTATTTGTAACACTTGAGGCTTGTCCATAGTGAGTGCTACCTCGACAATGCCAATGAGACATGGTCTAAGCTGCTCCATCGTGAACATGTTGATTGTTTGATTGAATATTTCTGGCGAGGGATGGCGAACAGCCCACTTGCACACCTTTGGATCGTCCTTGCACATATGATTGAGTACCATCTTGATGATGTCCATTGATTGTCCTGTGGCGATTACATCGTACACACATTGTCTGAGTGATGGTGACTCCGATAAGTCATCGGCAAAGAACTCGAGGAGGATGGCCAATGACTCGCGACACTCCTTCCTCATCGCCTGCATCAGACACCACTCGCTGTAGTCACAATTGAGCTTTGTGTGTATCCTCTCCATCACGGCTGCGGAGAAGCCAGCCGCCGACTTGATCGCGCCATTTACACTGTGTGGATCCTGAACACCACAATTGTCGAGGAACATGCAGACGTGTTCAGCTATGATGCTGCTGCCTGTCTTGCCGACTGAGCGGACCAAATGAATCAGCGAGTGCTCGACAAACACCAATGGAGTCTGGCGCGGTCTGAACAAGTGCGTGGCCATCTCTGCAGACATTTCTCGACAGATATCCAGGTCCAGTACGCCATGTTGAGAGATAAGTGACTCGGCGCCCAATATATCACCCTTTCGAATGGCGGCCATTGTAGTCAATTTCAGACTGTCCTTCCCCACGTCAATGAACGAGGACAGCATCTGCTCTACATTTTCGACCAAGTTGACGCCATTGCTATCCTGAAGCTTGCACAATTGTTTGATGACTGCTTCTTGTGAATGGTCCGCCGCGGCGGTGAATATGGACCTGAGTGTCACCTCTCGCAAGGCAATCTTGTTGAGCAACTGAACGCCAATGCTCGACCGGCTGAGAAGTTCGAATATCTCAATGTTGCCCGAGGCTCCACATTGCTTCATGCAATCCTTGAGTCCTCTGCACTCTTGCTGCTCGGCCTCCACGATCAGTGCTGGGTCTGGCACGTGGTCGATCATGTACTGTACACAGTCGAGCGCGTTGCTTTGAATACAGCGCATCAATACAAAGATCCACAACCTGTCCACGGTAAACAGGCAGTTGAACTCTTCATGCAGCAGGCGAAGCATTGCGACGCTGATGCCCTGACTACGAGGCTTGTTCTCAGCATTATCGTTATGTACAAAGGATATGTAGCCGCCGAATGTGGCCAGGTTCTCGAGCAGGAGGCGCATAAACTCCACGTTGTTCGTGTCGATGACCGAGGGGAGGAACTGGATGGTGCGGACGGGCAGCGGGTGGTGAGCCGTGGCGGTTAGATAGAGCTGGAGCATGTCCACACTGCCATGTCGACAGATTCCTGGCAGTAGTTGGTTGCCCGAGCCGCGGAACATTGACACTTTGTCATTGACGTTGTATATATGTTTGAATGCGATGGCATTGTTATACTGTGCGGCCGATGCCAACAATGTGCAGTTGAACGGATAGATGTGGGCGACAGTGTTGTACGCGTCGATAAAGTGTTTGGTGGCATTGTACTTTAACATCTTTATGAGATCACCATCTTCCAGTAGCTTGGCACCCTTGATCGTTGACTTTATACATGTATGATCATGAGGTCTATCATCATTCTTTGTATTTATCAACCATCTTTGATGTATATCACCAACATGTTTCAATATCAATCGACATAATACATGATTGTGGAATACCAAGTAATAGCTTTGTTGTTGTTCATTATTATTTGTCATTATCTAGATGTTTATACATATAAATAGTTATAAAGTATAAGTATGTACTATTTGAACATGATGTCCATCCAACGAGTTGACCTTGTTGTGTATGCTCAACAGTGTTGGCTTCGTCTGCCCAACAACACTCGAATCCAATCCATTCACAGATTTTATTGAGAATAACTTGCTAATATATGACAAAGTGTACTTGTATCTGTTTGTTATGGACCTTGGTCTTGTGGACCATGAATGAGTGAATGAGGGAGGGACCAGCAAACAAGTCTATTCTTCACTTTGAACCTCAAATTGAACAAACACACCACTTCTTGGCATCAAGAGAGCTAAATTGAGATAGTGTTGATGATCAACCTTCATCTTCATTTATTCATTCATTCACAATTATTACTTTGCTTATTATCTATCTCTTTCTCTCTGTTATAATATACATACATTTTAAAAGATGTCTGATTTGAATCAATATGTCAATCAGGTCAGATCACCAACTGCTCAATCACAGGTTTGGAAAGATGAATGTTGCTACTCATTCGACAAACAGGTATGGTAGTGATTGGAGGTCGCAGCAGCAGTAGTGGTTGTTGCCATTGACTACATATTGGATACAATCACTCACTCAATCAATCAATCAATCAATCAAATATACATTGTAGGAATCACAAGAAGGATTGTTTGTAGACTTGTACAGCTTCTATGCAGTGTCAAAGGCATTCTTACCATTGCATTATGAAAAGACAAAGCATCCTGTATACTTGAATATTAGACGTGTTGTCAAACCAAAGAGTCCAAGACAACCGATGGATGAGGATATTGCCAATCGTCCACCAAAGAAGTTGGCCATTGGAATGGAGGGTGGCTTCAACGACGAGGATGAGGTCCAGTACGAAGAGCGCTACGCAATCTTTGTCTACCCACAGGGCCGCTTCTACGAGCTGACCGACCCCGCCCTGCCACCCGCCATCCTCAAGGCGGCCGAGGACGTCAAGGCGGCCAACTCACAGTCGCGCAAGGAAGAGGTCGTCGGCTGGTCCGCCGAGCAGGTGTTCCCATCCAAGTATGCCGACTCGCTCGTGCAGCTGGACAATGGCGTCAAGGTGCCGCCCTCAGGCTGGAAGTGTGACGTCGTGGGCTGCGACCGTGCAGAGAGCAACCTGTGGCTGAACCTCACCGATGGCCACATTGGCTGTGGCAGGAAGTATGTTGATGGCTCGGGAGGCAATGGCCACGCCCTGAAGCATTACGACGAGACCCTCTATCCACTGTCCGTCAAGCTGGGCACCATCACAAAGGAGGGCACTGCCGACGTCTACTCATACCCCGAGGACGAGATGGTGGCCGATCCCAAGCTGGCCGCACATCTTGCACACTTTGGCATAAACATATTCATGATGAGCAAGACCGAGCAGTCGATGGCTGAGCTCGAGCTGGATCGCAATCTAAACTTTGAGTTTGGCAAGATCCAAGAGCGAGGCAAGGACCTCAAGGCGGCCTTTGGTCGTGGAAAGACTGGAATTGAGAATTTAGGCAATACGTATGTGTAACGCGATACATGGCATGACAGGCATGGTCAATCATTCACTCACTCACACTCTATCATACAGTTGTTACATGTCGTCTGTCCTTCAGATGTTGTTTGCGACTCCACATTTCCAGAGACGTTACCTTAGTCATCGCGATCACACAAACAAAGAGATCACTGCAGATCCATTCAATTCATTCGAGATTCAAATGTAGGTTATGGAATGGAGTTGAGGAATGATTGAATGATTGAGTGTATTAACCAATTGGATCAACAGGTCAAAGCTCGCACATGGATTGGAGTCTGGTGAATACTCAAAGCCAGAGGATGGCAATCAACCAAAGATTGAACAGGAACAGATAAAGGCTGTAAGGATACAATGAATGAGCGAATGCGATGCCCAGCGAGATCTAGACACTCACTCAATCATCACTCTAGTCTCAAGTTGGAATCACACCAAAGATGTTCAAGAGTTTGGTAGGCAAGGCATCACCAATCTTTGCGACATACCAACAACAGGATGCTTTGGAGTTCTTCCAATTTATGCTCCAACATATTGAGAGAAATGAAAAGAGTCGTCCAAGTTGGATCAAACAGGAGGACCCGACAAAGGCCTTCACCTATGTGCTGGAGGAGCGCATCCAGTGTGGTGTGAGCAACAAGGTCAAGTACACAAGGAGAGTTGAAAATGTACTGTCCCTCGCCGTGCCTCTGGAGGCAGCCACCAACAAGGAGGCAGTGGCTCACTACCAGGCACTGGTCGTTGCCAATGGTGGAAAGCCACCAGCAGACATTGATGAGGTACGTCCCATCATTCCACTCCAGGCCTGCCTCGATGCCTTTGCCGAGTCATTCAAGGTAGCAGACTTTTACAGCACAGCAATCAATCAAAGAGTGTTTTCAATCAAGTATGTTCATTACACCATGATGCAGGAGGTATGATCACTTACTCAATCACTCACACTCGATCAATCAAACTAGCTCAACAAGGATGGCCTCATTCCCCGATATCCTTGTGATACATCTCAGGAAATATGTCATTGCTGATGATTGGACACCAAAGAAGTTGAGTATGTACACTCGTTCATTCGCTCACTCGTTCATGTACTGACTTAAACATGTCTTTAGATGTATTCATTGATGCCCCAGACATTCTGGATATTGAACAATTGAGAGGAACTGGAAAGAAGGACAATGAAGAACTGTTGCCAGAGGAGGGCAGTGGCGCTGCACCCGCAGCTGCGCCTGTCCCAAGTCAGGAGATTGTAGATACATTGGTGTCCATGGGCTTCCCCCTGGTCCGTTCACAAAAGGCTGCGTTGGCGACGAACAATACCGACGCAGAGGCAGCAATGAGTTGGGCATTGGAGCATGGTGATGACCCTGGCATCGATGACCCAATTCCCGAGCCAAAAAAGACTGCTGCCGCTGCGACACCAGCCGCCCCCGCTGGTCCAAGCAAGGAGGACATTGAAATGTTGGAGGCAATGGGATTCAATGCCAAGCAGGCCAAGCTAGCCCTAAGCAACACAAACAACAATGTCGAGAGAGCTGCCGATTGGCTATTCAACCACATGGATGACCTGGATGTACTTGTTGCTCAAAGTGAGAGTGCTGTGGCACCATCTGGCGCAGGAGCATCATCATCAAAACCCCTGGCTGTTGCTGACAACCTCCTCAACAAGGTCATCGATGGCAAAGGCAGTAAGTAGTACACATCACTGTCGGCTTCAACATATACTTACTTGCTTTGATCAATCACACATTGTAGAGTACAAGCTTATGGGATTCATCACACATATTGGCAATCATGTACACATGGGACATTACGTGTGCGACATCAACAAGGATGGTGAGTGGATCAAGTTCAACGATCGCACTGTTCAACACTCCTTGAACCCTCCCAAAGAGTTTGGCTACATTTACTTCTACCAGCGTCTGTAAACATTTCCCCAGGTTGTTATCATCCCTTCTTCTTCCTCTCCCCGCTCCACACTCAATACACTCTTATCTAAGTCGGTCGGATCAATAAACCCTCAATGATCATCACACACCAATCCAGAGTAAGACCTTGGGACCTTCTGGCCCCTCACTGATTCATCAACCACACCATTCAGCAGCAACAACAATGGCGAACAACAGACATCACCTAAAAAGAGGGTGGAAATGCACAGGACATGATCAAGCCATTGCCAATGACAGTCCACGTTGGCATTACGCAGGGAGCTGGAGCAATATATATATTGCAGATGAACAAGGACATCATCGAGGAGTTGGACAGCATTGTTAATAATATCCAGTTCCAGTTGACCAATCATTCCTTCCTCAGGGGTAAGGATCACCAGTCTCCGCATCATCGATAAAGAACTCTCTACTTCAGCACAAAGCTTGCGATTTAAGGCCAACCATAATCACTAGTGCTCGTCATTGACACAACTGACCTCAGTAATATCTGTTGCACTTTGCAATGTTTGGCCATTGAGTTTGTAGACTACAGGGAGAGTGTGCGGCTGTTGGCAAGCTGAACTGAGGTTCCTGAAGCTGCGAATGATCTCACTCTTAAGACCATCGATGCACCCTTCATGATTGCACCCATTACTCCTCGCACAAGTCAATCGCCAATAATCTATCTCATTCATTGACACTCCAGGAGATATAGAGCTTGACCTGTGTCACAGTCCGGACGAGTGCGCCACACACTTCACCACCGACAACACAAACACAAACACAAACACAAACAAACAACCTTCAACAGCGACAAAGACAAATACAATCCTTGTGCCAAGTACGTCAGCTCAATTAATCAATCAAAGAATCAAACAAACAATCAACAAACACACAACAATCAACACTTTGCATGATGTCTTCAATCGTCTGACGACATAGTAACCGCAGTGACGCGATGTTCATTGGCGCATTCAAGCTTACATTCAAAGTTCTCGATCTTGTTGGATCTGTAGATGGCCAAACACTGCATAGATCACCCACTTGAGCGGGGCACCCAAAGACTTGGGCCAAGGTCATTCATTCCATTTGGTTTGATGTCTTGCATTCCACGTGCGTGGGTCTCAAATGGGGGTGTACCTGGGTTGTCTCCTTCAATCAAAATGTGGGTGGCCGTGGTGCAAAGTGTCGACAGGAGGTGAATGCAGATCAAAGTGCTCGAAATGGTTATGTGTACACATTCTCGATGTTGATGGTACTCTGCTTCAGAAGGTGGAGAAACGAGTAGACCCTTGTACATCATTAAAATCATATAAATTATAAAAACAATATCGTAATATTGGGGTGACAGGTGAACAGTTAGTTTGGTTTGATTTGATTGTTTGGGAGCGGGGTGTCATTGCCAAGTCACTATCTCTTGACTAATTTTAGGATTAACCAGATCAGTGAGAGTATCGAAGTGTGTGAGGAGATGTCAGACATGACCTTGAATCTAGACCAGTTCAATTCCAACTCATTCCCTCTCTCACTCTCTTTTACTCACCAACTCATATTAATCAACTTTAATACCACCTCACTAATACATACTTACACACTTTATAATTTATAATTTATAATTATTATTAAATATATTTTAATTTATTTGATTGATTAATTGATTGATTGATTGATTGTTCAACACACACAGATATAATAGATCGATCTATAAAGTATGAATAATTCATTTACCCTTTGACAACAGCACACAAACAGACGAAAGCATCCATCTCAACAACAACAACAACATAATCAAAGAGTGTGATCTGGTCATTCCCTACATTCACACACACTACTCAATCATTCAAATCAGTCACCAATCACCACACACACATCACCTGGCAGACAGCCCCAATCACACACTAAATTTGGATTGTGTTTGACTGGCTCCCTTGATCTTGCCGATCTAACAACATTAATGGTTGTTTCTTCCTTTGCTTGCGGACCCTAAACACAACCCCCTCACACACACACATCACCTCAATCGCCACACCTACATCTCCACCTTTAGTAGTACTCTTACTCCCTCTCTAAACTTCTCCCACTTCACCGTCACTATTCAATCAAGCAAGTAACCAACCAACCAGCAACCAAATAATAAATAGATCACAACAACAGATCCTCCTTCCATCCTTCCTTACATTACCTATCATCATCATCATCATCATCATCATCATCAACATCATCACCACAAAAGGTTATACTCCTTCAAGTCTCATTAATTCATTCAACTTTATCATCTCTCTCTATCTATCTAATACACACACCACTTGTTGTCTTGAAGCCGGCTCAAGCCAAGCATTCACAATCAAACAAACAATCAAACAAACAAATATAATATTATTATACGATTACTAACAAACAAACAAACCGGCAACTCTTCAGCATCAATATATCCAAGCGTCCAACAAACAAACAAACAACCATCCAATATCCAGTCCACCTCCTTCCGACTCTATTCAACTATATTATTTATTATAATATTTACAGAACAGGACAAAACAAGACCAGATATCAATACAAGACAATACAGTACAGGACAGGACAAGACAATAGATATCAATCAAACAATTTATAATAGGATTGTTGTGTTTGGATAAACACCGAAGTTATGTCGGTCGTTAGCCAGGTTGATTGCGCCACGCATGTTTCCGAGAATTTCGGACATGCCACTGGTAGCAGCAGCAGCAGCAACAGTAGTAGCGCCAACAATAACAACAAGAGGAAACATGACTATTTTGTTGATGAACAATCTAATCAACAACAACAACAACAAACAAAGATAATTCGATTGGATAATGACAAGGATAGGATATCACCACGCAGTCTGGCGACAACATCCCCAACAACAACAACTACGACAACAAAAAAGGGTGTTGCCAGTTTGTCAACATTATGTTATGACGCATTGATCAAACACATCGACTCAATCGACTCACTGGACAGCCTGCCAGATAAGCTGTGTCAAAAGTTGGTGGCACATCATCATCGCGCCAAGACACTGAGCAGCAAGATGCTCGGACTATTCAGTCATTGCCAGGTGACCCGACTCGACCTGCCTGGCAAGGACATACCAATGGACGACAGCTGGCTCTCATTCACACAGGGCGCCATCAGCAGCACACTCATCTCGGTCAATCTCTCCAAGAACATACACATCAGCGACCATGGTCTGGCCGCTCTGTCGTGCCTTCGTCAGCTCACCTCGCTCGACATCAGTGGCTGCGACTCACTGCGCGGCACAGGACTCATTCAAATGATTGAGCAACACGGTCACACACATAATCATCCCCTGCAGAAGCTCTACCTGCAGGGCTGCATCAATCTGGACATTGCCAGTTGTCTCCAATCTCTTTCACATTGCCAACAGTTGGAATCGTTGGACATCTCATCGATCCGTCTGCAGGACTCGCACTGCGTCCCACTCGGCCGCCTGACCAGCATCAAGCAGCTGGACATCAACGACAATGTCGATCTGACCAGCGTTGCGCTGCAGCACATCGGACAGCTCACCAACCTGCTCGACCTCAACATCAGCGGCTGTCTCAACATTGCCGGCAGCACAGATGGCGGTTACCAGTGGCTGCCAATCACTCTTCAAACACTACAAGCCTCCAACTGTAATATAGACGACCGCGCCATGGAGCACATTGGCGCACTGATCGACCTGAGCGCCCTGTCGCTCATCAACAACCCTTTCACCGACATTGGCGCTGCGCACCTCAGCAAGCTGGTGTCACTGACGACACTCGACCTCTCAATGTGCACGCTGCTCACCGATCGATCGCTCGAGCACCTCAAGTCACTGAGCCAGATCTCCAAGCTCAACCTCAACTTCAACTCGAACCTCACCGACACGGGCGTGGCAATGCTCACCGGTGGACTCTGCGACCTCACGTCCCTGGGAATCATTGGCTGCAACAGACTGCTCATCAAGGTGAAGCACAAGCCATTGGTGTTGCTCGTGGAGGACAATGCATTCCAGGTCACATTGATTACCAAGACAATGGAGCGCTACAACTTTGCCGTGGAAGTGGCAAGCAATGGACAGATGGCACTGGAGATGTACAAGGCCAACCCCAAGTACGAGCTGATCCTGATGGACATTGTGATGCCAATTATGGATGGACTGACAGCGACCATGCTCATCAGGGACTATGAGCGCGAGCGCGGTCTAAAGCGCACTCCGCTCATTATGCAGACTGGCAACACTGAAGAGGGCCATCGCAAGGTCTGTCTACAGGCGGGTTGCGATGACTTTATGTTGAAGCCACTGGACAAGCAAGTAGTGTACCGAGCTAAAGAACTATTCAAGAAGGACAACCAACAACAAACTCAATCATCGTCATCATCATCGTCATCATCAACAATGACAACGACAAGTTGCAAGCGAGTGATACATCATCAGCAACATCAACAACACAACATGATAATCAATGGCGGTCGAAGTGGGAATGGCGCCGTCATCGATGGCAATCAAACGCCACCAGCCTGTCTAAACTACAACGAGATCTCGGCCACTGCATCGATGCCATCCTAGTCATTCCTTCATTTCTTCATTCATTTATTCATTCAGTCAGTCAGTCAAATGCAATGCCAAGATATGGCATCAACATTGGACTTTCTTTGTCCGACCATCTGAATGTGCCAACCAATCAAACTGCCAACAACATACACTACTACTTCAACTCCACTCCCTCCCCTCCATCCCGGAACTCGACACAATGAACAAACAGTCTGTCTCATCATGTATAATGATGAGCAATAAAGATTCATTCATTCATTGATACTACTTTATTATAACTTGATTAAATTTTTTCTTCTTTTGTAGATCACTAATACCAACACTCCAACAATGATTATTGCGCCAACTACTCCAATGACAATACCAACAATGCCACCAGTGCCGAGTACCTTTCTACATATGTCTGAGTTATCGCCATGAATTGAGCATTTGCTCTGAGTGCAGGACATAAACTTGAGATCATCATAAACGAAATTATTGAGAGTTATATCTCCTTTGCTGCATTGAAAGAGACTAGGTGATGAAGATGAAGTCTTGTTGATGGTCAAAGTGTTCTGGGTGAAGACAACGTTGGTGAATGTCGCGGTGCTGGAGGACAATTTGACAACTGAGGATGAGCCCCGCAGAATGTTGTTTGAGAATGTACTGTTGATCATCGTTAAATTCAAGCATCTGTCGAGATTAATTAAATTTGCTTGGATTATAATATTGTTGGTTACTGTCATTCGCTCAATAGTCAAGGACTGTCCATTGCTTGTCACCACAGTAGATGCGTTAATGTTGCCATCAATGATAATATCGGACATCTGAGTTGAACTAAATTTGTTCCTGATTATTGCTACAGCTAAGTAGAGCTTTTGGACAAAGTTCTGATTGATATTGCAATTGGTGATTGTCGATTTGTCGGATTGTCCATTTGATAAATCGATGACTGCTTCCCTGAATCTATTGTTGGTGAAAGTTGATCCAGACAAAGACAGTTGGGCACCCACATGGATACTGATAATTGAATCCGCGGTATTGTTGATAAAGAGAACATTATTAAGGTTGACATTAAATTTTAAGGACCAGATAATATCTATTTACTATCTTTATTCAATGATCATATGATTGATTTATTATAAGTGAAGATATAGTGTTTGATCTAAACTACTAGATGCCTGGGTTCACAATGAACAAATTGACAATCTTATTATGAGCAATAAGGATTAATTATTTCATTCATTCATTCTTTCATGCATACAATGATACTTTTTAATTAAAACTTTTTTTTATTATTTCTTCTTCTTCTGTAAATCACGAATACCAACACTCCAACAATGATGATAGCGCCAACGACCGAACCAATGACAATACCAACAATGGCTCCAGTTCTGAGTACTACTGTCTTGTCACACGTGTCTGAGTGATCGCCATGAATTGAGCATCTATTCTCAGTTGAGCATTTCATCAAATTGGCACCTACTTCATTATTGACAACATTATTGAATGTTATGCTAGCTCTTGTGCATTCAAAGAGGCTATTCAAAGAAGATGAAGAGTTGGTGGTCGAGAAGACAACATTGGTGAATGTGGCGTAGCTGTAGGAGACTTTGACCGCTGATGATCCCACCAGAAAGTTGTTTGACAATGTACTGTTGAGAATAGTTCCATTATAGCTATTACCAATAATTAATTAATAAATATCCATTTTGTAGAATATTGTTGGTGACTGTCATTCGTTCAATATTCATTGGTCCATAGTTCGTCACAGCTGTTGAAATGTTGACATTGCCATCAATGATTATATCAGACATGTGGATGGAACCATATTCGTTCTTGATTATTGATCCTGTTTGGAATTTTTGAACAACTAGTACGTTCTGATTGAAAGCGCAATGATCGTCGATTGGTAGAGTTTTTCATTTGATATATCGATGACAGCTTCTCTGAATGTGTTGTTGGTGAATGTGGAGCCAGCCAAAGATAGTTGGGAATCTCCATGGATCGAAACCATTGATTCGGCGGAATTGTTGACGAAGAGAACATTGTAATGTATGACATTATTGTCTAAGGACGTAATAATATCACCAATATTAATTGATTGACAATAATTAATAATAAACAATGAAATAATAAATTTATATTTTTATTATTATTTTTCATTTTCTAATTATTTCAATAAATAATGATCTTGTTTTGTCTCAAGGTCAGTTTGTTTGAAAATCCATCTTTTTGATCAATCACACTCATCAATTCCTCTTTCATGACACATATCTAAATGGGGAAACCCTTACCAAAATGGTGCAGTGCATTCTTGGGGAAACAGAAACCGAGTTCTCTCCTTGACCAGGGCTATTAATTACTTTATTATTATAATAATAAACAAACGTCAGTGAAATATCTATTGTGTCTTTCTCTTTATCCTGTTTCGGACCAAGATGCCCAAACAAGTGATGCATGCCACACCAATGATCGATCCAATCATCATACCTGCGATTGCACCACTACCGACACTGACACCACTGCCACCGATACCACCGACTTGGCCAACCTTTGGGGACGGCCTTTCGGTGGGACACACCAATGACTCGTCTCCATGAACATTGCAAGCATTGTCGAGTCCACAGTCGATCAGTCTAAGTGTGCTATCATCCTTCCTCGTGATGTTGACCAATGTTATGTCTCCATCTGTGCAGATTATGAGTGGCGTCGCTGGTGCACTCACAGAGTTCTCGTAGATCTCTGGGCCAAAGATGATCTCGGACATAGTCACCTGGGACGCGTAGAAGTTCATCACATTGGAGTTCTGTAGAATGTTGTCGTACAGTGTGCTGTTGGTCATGTCAAAGACAGCGTTACTGGCTTGTAGGATCGATCCATTGATCACTCGGTTGTTGGTGAATGTCACGCCCGACACGTCCATCGTTCCAAGTGTACGCAACACACTGTAGACCACCTTGTTGGATTGGAACCATGTGTTCTGAATGCTTACATCACCATCGTAGAGACTGACAATGGCGCCTGGAGCAGTGGCGTTGTTGTATGTGATCGTGCAGTTGACAATCATCGATGATGGCTCGGTACCACTCAGCGAGAACATATCATTTCGGAAGCGGTTGGCGGTGACTACGGACTCGACCATGACAAAGCTCGCGTTCATCACGTTGAACATGTTTGATCCAGTGTTGTTGTTCAAGGCCATTCCGTTGATGATTAGGTCACACTGATTGCTGGCTACAATGGCAATGCCATCATCACCAATGGGCCAATTGGATATCCTGCCTCCGTTCAGGGTCATAGAGGAGCGGGGTGCGTCGGGCATGGCCAGGGGCTTGGCCGACACATCGATTGGCGTGAGGACAACTCCACCAACAGTTGAGAAGTAGATGTTGTTGAATACGGCGGTGACCTGATTGATGTATGAATAGAATGTCGCGTCAATCAGTGACAGGTTATTGATTGTTATATTGGTCGTGCAGGTCAGGTTCGAGTTGCCGCTGGACTCCATGAAGATGAACTCGTTGGTGGTGTTGACCAATCTCTGACTCAGGTTGATGATCACACCTTCTTGATTGGCTGGCGATGGTCCGATCGTGACGTTTAGACACTCTAGATTGAGTTGGGCATTGCCGTAGGGTCCTGAATTGGGTCCATAGTATGAATATGCAAGGTATACACCAGGGGCCAATGATATATTCAACATTGTATTAACTGGATAAGGTCCAACTAAATTATAATAACTATTTATAGCTGATAATATATCTGAACATGCTGTTTCATTATTATTATTATATCCACAAGTCGTTGAAGTATTTGAAGACGTTGGGTCAACATATAATGTTATAGTTGTAACTTGTTGTGATTGAACAACAACAACATTATATGATGTTATTGTTATAATTATTGAAATAATAAGTAATAAAAAATTATTATTATTATTCATTGTTATATTATTTGATTGGTTAATTGATTGATTGAAGTGAATGAATGAAGTGAATGATTAAGCAAGTTACTGTGTCTGGTCATATGACACGCTCGAGACGTCGATTGGAAAAAATATCGGGTTCACAAACGAAGGGGCAAACATTGATCGCGAGACAGTGTTGTTCAAGGCCTCGAGGTGCCACTCACCCACCCCACACTCTTGTGTTCACATTCGCGCGACACACTAATGATCAGATGATCAGATGATCAGATGACTACTTTACAACTTATTTATTTATTAATATAAATTATCTTTGTGCTCCATGTATCGCATGTCAATGTCCTTCCTCGTTATGTAGTACTTCTTAAATATCATTGCTACAGCAAATATGATGATTGAGGCTCCAACAATAGATCCAATTACAATTCCTGCAATTGCTCCACCACCAAGTCCACGACCTCCGCCTCCACCTCTCCAAGGTGGTGCCACTGGACAAAGTGTTTCTGATTGATCATGGTCATCATTACCATAGTATATCTTACACAAATCCAAAATCTCACAATTGATCAATTGATGTCCAATATAGTTGTTGGTTATATTGTTGAATGTGATGTTTCCACTATGGCAATCTATGATGCTGATGTTGCCAGTGTCAACCGGTGTACTAAACACTACATCAGTGATCGTTACATATGATCCATTGAACCAAAGTGGTATGGATGCGACCTGGTACTGATTGTCGGTCAAACTACAGTTGATCATATTGAGTGTGATGCCATTGCCATTGATCGATGATCCATTACTCATTATAAAGTTATCACTGATCGTTGTGTTTTGTATCATTACAACTCCATCATTTAACTCGATCACATTGTGCAGGTCACTATTTCCACTCATTAGTGAGCTGGTGATGGTCAGCCATCCTTCATGTTGCTCCATCACAGAGTTGGTCAAAGTGTTATCAGTGAATGTACAATTGTTGATTGTTGATGATACTCGTGAATAACCGATATCGATCAGATTGTTGATGAATGTGTTGTTGAACATTGTTGAATCACTGATTGATAGAGTACCATTATGCACACTGATCATACTATATCCAGTATTATTGATAAACTGTGTTCCATTAATGATCAGATCACACTGTGATGTGAAGATCACCGATACATTATCTGAGCTTGGCACATTTGATATGACTCCTCCATTTATTGTCAGTCTTGATGTTGATGGTGATGTTGTGTATTGTGGTGGAGTGATGGTGATTGGAGTGAAAGATCTTGATCCAACACTATCATTACTGTTGATACTGACATTGTTGAGTACCAGTGTCACGTACTCAATGTCAACTGATGTCACTTGTACATTGATCATTGTAATATTGTTCAATGTGATAAGTGTTTGTGTTGTTGGAACTGGAACTATACCATTTCCACTAACTTTTTGAAGTTGAATAAAGTCCAATGGTCCAGATATGCCAGAGTCAATGACTACACCATTACCACCAACATCACCATTGATTGTAACATTGAGTCCAAATAGATTGATCTTATTATTGCCTGATATAGTCATGTATGTACCTGATGCCATTTGTATATTTAGTGATGATGGGTTGTTGGTTGTATTTGTTTGTATTTTATAACTCTCAATTGCTGATGATATATTTGGACATGCTTGATTATTTGTTTGATCCAATCCACAAACTATTGATGAGTTTGTTGATGATTGATCGACATAAAGAGTGATCAATGTTAGATCACCTTTAACAATACTAATTATAAAAAATAACAATATTATAGTTATATAAATAATTCTAAACTTGTACATTATTATTATTTGTTGGTTGTTATTTGTTTGATTAAAATGTTGTAATACCGACAGTGGGTCCTTTTGAGGCCAAAACAGGACCAAGGTTCGTTGCAAAAACCCTCCCCCAACACTGTTTTGATCAAAAAAAAACGACACCAACCCATCTTAACATTGTTTTGGTATGACGACAACCAACTTTAATAATTAATGTATTCTGTGATAGTGTCCATGACGCTTGGCATATCTAATCGCAAGGATGATTATTACAATGATGAGAATGGCACCAAGTATACATCCAATCACTATACCTGCAATGGCACCTCCAGATGGTCCGCTCTTCGCGTCACACACATCCTGATCGCCATGGATAGTACATTTGGGTGGATCACTACTTGAGCAATCCATCAAATTATGTCCACTATTATTATTGGTAACATCATTGAATGTAATATTACCCTGTTGACAAAGTATTATACTGTTGAATGATGATGCCTGGGGGCCCTGCGTCACCGACTTGCCAAACACCACGTCGGTCAGTGTCATGTCTGATCCATAGAACCATATAGCCAATGAATCATAATATAGATTGTTGGTCACTGATGATGAAGCCATATCGAATGTTGACTGAATACCGTAGATCATGGCACTGGCACTAATACTGTTGTTGGTGAGCTTTGTGCCCTGCATCGATACCTTTGACACACGCATGTTGATCAAGTTGAACATGCCATAGTTGCTGTCCAGCCACGAGTTGACCAGTGACAGCGATCCCTGGTACACCTCGATCACCGAACCCATGGGAATGGGGCCGGCCGACATGTTGTTGTTGGTGATGGTGGTCTTGGTGAGGGATGATCCCGGGTGGGTGGCGCTCAGACCGATCAGCATGTTGGTGAACGCGTTGGAGTAGACTAATGAGTTGTCCATTGTGAATGTTGCGTTGGACACACTGATCATTGTGTAGCCCGAGTTGTTGTAGTACTCTACGCCCGAGATGAGCAGGTCGCACTGTGACACGCTGATCAGTGGAACAGTTCCATATCCAATGGCATTGGCCATGCTACCTCCGTTGATGGTCAATGTCGACGTGTAGCCACGTGGCGCAATCAGGATTGGCGTGAGATAGGATGATCCGAGACCTGAGAAGCTGACGTTGTTGAGTGTGATTGTGACATAGTCGCAGTCGACCGATGAGATGACAGAGTTGATCAGTGTGACGTTGTTGATGGTGATGTTGGTGGGTGAGCCATAGCCGCGCAGTAGTATGAGTGTGAGTGGATCGGTTGTTGGAGTGATGTATGATGTGAAGTCGATTACAACACCACCTTGTGAGTTGTTGTTGGGCGATGGACCAATGGTCACGTTGAGGCCGAATGGGTTGAGTTGTCCATTGCCAAAGTTGGGCACTTGTTGTGGGAGATAGACACCTTGCGCCATTATAATGTTCAATTGCGAGTTGACTGGTCGTTTACCAACAATATTGTTATAACTTGTCAATGCTTGAGCGAGTGTTCTACAGGCAGAGTCTGTATCCTCACTTAATCCACAAATCAATGTTGTGTTAATAGAGGATGGATCAACATATAATGTGGTAGTTGTAATAGTCTGGCCATTAATAACACATGATCCATATATCTGTATCAATAATAATAATACAATAGTAATAAATAATGACTTCATTTATAATATGTTTGTTTGTTGTGATTGATTGATTGATTATATGTTTGATTATATGTTTGATTGATATATATGAGTGAAGGATTACTTTGGGGAGTCAGTGACCCTTGATGTGACACCACATCCATATTTATAACAATGATGACCAGTCTACAAAGTTGGTTGGACGAGGCCAAAGACTCGGAATGATCATTCTTGAGTTACAAAGCTAGCTCGAAAGAACCAGATGGTGAGGAATAAAAATCTAACAAAAAATCACAAAAATGATGGGATCAAGTCCAGGAGTGTGAAATACATCCGAACAAATAAAGTAATTAATTAACATATTTAAAATGATATTAATATTTATAATATATATATTTTATAAATCCTTTATTCTTCCTACTTTTCGGTAAATTTAATTAATTTTCCTCTGTGATTAATTAATGGTTCATTTTATTCCAATCCAATGGGTCTGGATTATGATCCAGAGTTCTGACTGTACTTATTTTGGATGCACAGAATTATTGATAATAAAATATTAAATTATTTCAGACATGGTGAGATTGGAGTTGGTATTCAATTTTGATCATTTATTATTTGATTGATAGATTGATTACCATAATAGGTTGTTGGGACAGATATCTGGTTGATTACCTTGGATAGTACACAGATCAGGGTAGTTGCAATCTATCAAACCTGTTCCACTATCATTGTTGGTGACATTGTTCAAAGTGATTGAACCAGATGTACAGGCTATGATATCGACAACTCTGGACTGCTCGTTGAACTCGACATTGGTCAGACTGATCTTGGAGTTCTCAAACATCAAGAAGTAGAAGTCCTTGTCCAAATGATCTGATGTGAAGGTGGTGTTGATCATCTCCAATGATGACTCGGAACCATATATCAATGAGCTGACTGTGGCACTGTTGTTGGTGATCTTGGTCTCCTGAATGGACACATCGGCCAAGCGCATGTGGAACAGGCTGAACAATCCATGGTTGCCAGAGAGTGTAGAGTTGATCAATGATGAAGATCCCTGGTATACCTCAATGATGGATCCCATCTGGACTGCGAGAGATGACATGTCGTTGTTGACAATGGTGGTGTTGGTGATGGATGAGCCTGGCAAGGTGAAGATGAAGCCGATGAGCAAGTTGGTGAACGTGTTGGAGTGGATATATGAGTTCTCGATCTTGACAGTTGCGTTGAAGGCGCTGATCATTGTGAATCCAGTGTTGTTGTAGAACTCTACACCATTGATGGTGAGATCACATCTTGAAGCATCGAGGATTGGATTTGATCCMATAAGCAATGACATGGGCCATGCTACCTCCATTGATGGTCAATACCGATGAGGGCGTGTACACGGCTGGAGCAAACATGATTGGTTTGAGATCCTCTGATCCGGAACCAGAGATTGATACATTGTTGAGTATCATTGAGACATCATCACAGTATACTGATGTGATGACGGCGTTGATCAATGTGACATTGTTGATGGTGATGTTGGTGGTCGATGGTCCATATCCAATCAGATTGATGAAGGGTAGTGGCAAGGTATCTGGTGAGATGTATGATGTAAAGTCGATTATAACACCACCAATGTTGTTTAGTGGCGATGGTCCAAAGGTCACGTTGAGACCGAATGGGTTGAGCTGTCCATTTCCAAAGTTGGGCACTTGTTCAGGGAGGTAGAGGCCAGCTGCCATAACAATGTTCAATTGAGAGTTGACTGGTTTGGAACCAACAATATTGTAATAACTTTTCAATGTTTGAGATAGTGTGCGACAAACAGCATCGTTATCACTAGTCAATCCACAATTAGGTGACGAATTATTTGAAGCTGGATCAACATATAATGTGGTAGTTGTAATTGTCTGGCCATTTACTGATAGTCCAAATATCTGTACTATTAATAAAATAATTGTAATAATTATTAATTTCATTATTATTTGTTTTATATATGTTTGTTTGATTGAATGAATGGATGAATGAATGAGGATGATCTGTTTGTAGTATTTATTGACCAGTCTCTCAAGATGATTGGACTAATCCTAGGACGAGTCTTTGACTTTGATTAATGGGATAAGTTACAGATATAGCTCGAAAGATATAAAAAGACGAGGAAATAAAATCGATTATTAAAGTCGTCATCTTTCGTTCAAGTATCCATGATGTCATCAGGTCAATCATGCAAAGTATCCCAGTCAAAGATACTAAAGAACAACCCGCATAGTTGGAGCAAGCTCGCAAGAATGTCAAAGATTGACTTCGAAAGTAAAAAGATCATGATTTGGGGGTTCATCAAAAAAAAAGTAGTGCCTCCTTGGAATTGATCCAAATACCAAAGATTCGCCATCTGATCATTTTTGCGAGGTCCACTCTACTCACTTGTGATATTTCTCAGTACCCTACCATTACGATATCGGATGCTTATTTGAATGACACTACATAACAGATAATTACAATAATCTTCGATCGAGTGGACAGTTATTTGGTTGATCATCTTCAATAATGCATAGACCTTGAATATCACAATCGATCATACCTGCACCATTGACATTGTTTGTTACATTGTTTAGTGTGGTGACATCTTGTAAACAAGCAATGATGTCGGTCACACTTGATTGATCATCATCAAAGACTGGTCTTGGAATCGACAAACACAAGAATACTTGTCCAAATTGTTGGACATCATTATTACGTTGGTCATGTTGTATGTGCCATTCCAGCCCTGTAACACAGGTCCATACATATGTTGATGGTATGCTTGTATCTTGGATCAGTAAGGTCAAGTTGTAGTTGCCCTCAAACAAAGAGTCGGTGATGGTGACGTTGTTCAATACCATCGTTACATTGTTGAGCTCACGACTGCATTGATCAATGTCATACTATTGAGTGTGATTGATGTTCTGCCCGATCACTGGGGTATCAGGTACAATCCATATGAAGTATTGATCAGTATACTGTAATCGATTACTAGTTGTTGTTGGTCCAATGGTTAGATTGAGATTCCAAGATTATTGTCGTTTGTCACTGGTATATGGACACCTGGCACCATCAATATGTTCAATTCGGAGTTGATAGGAGTTGAGGGAATAGTTGATGCAGGAAGCCAAAGCCAAAGCACATTATGGGTCTTCCTGATTAGGTAATAGTGATCGCAGCGATATTATACTTAAGAGTACCTAAAGCTTGAAGCTTTGAATGGTGATTGTGAACATCATGATCATACCATGGTCATGTGTTTGGCACAATGAGAGAGTTTAGTTGAATGATTTATTGGTTTGTGTGTTTGATCGATCATCAGTAGTTAGTGATCGTTCATTTTAGTGTTGGATGGTATTGTACTGGGTCCTCTTTGATCTCTTGACAAGCACAACAGTCAACACTACAATGATGCATACACCGGCAAAGCCACCAACGGCAATACCTACGATTGCTCCTATACTGAGATGATGATCGGGTGGACACATTCCTGGATAATCACCATAGGTCAAGCACCTGTGACACGAGATCCACTTGATATCATCGTTGTCATTGATCACATTGTTGAAGGTGACGCCACTGTTGGAGCATTTGATGACTTGGCAGGTTTGGGTGAGACCCCAGGGGAAGTCATTAGCGCCAAACTCAATGTTGGTGAGGTTGACTGGTGTGTTGACTGCGCCTACAAAGCCGGACTGTGGACCAAAGTGGTTGCCAGTGAAAGTGTTGTCGATCATAGTGAGAGATTTGGCGTTCAATCCAAGAATCATCGAGCTATTGGCCGCGAAGCTGTTGTTGGCGAATGTTGTATGTTCGACGGTCAGGTTGGTCATGGCCACGATCAAGCTGGTTAAGAACCAGTTGCCAGTGAACACTGAGTTCTTGATGGTCAAAACTCCAACACGCTGAAGGATCAACTCGGTGCTGTTGCCTCTGTTCTCATTGAAAGTGACGTTGGTGAACACTGATTGGACGGGGAACCTGGGCTCATTGAACTGGATCAAGTTGAACCTCATGAAGTTGGAGTAGAAGATCGAGTTGCTCAATGCCAGAGTGCTGTTCTCGAGGTAGAAGATATTGGAACCCGTGTTGTTGTAGAATGAAGAGTTGTCCACGATCATTTCGACATTGCTGACAAACACATTGGGCGTGTATAACATTGCCTCTGATCCGGAGATGCTGCAACCTGACATCTTGAACACTGTTGATCCAACAACACCAGTTGTATCATACACTGAGAGTTGATGGTATATCAAAGGGTTGGCCGCACTTCCACCGATGAACGAACAACCATTGAGAGTAAACGTGACGTTGTTGATTCCACAAACACTCTTCACATCGATGAACTTGATATAGTTGATTGTGAGAGATGTGGTGCAGTTCACCTCAATGTCATTCTGAGTATGAAGGTAGAGGAAGTATGGTTCTCCACTCACAGTGTTGTTGTACACAACTTCTTGGCCATCGTAGATTGAACCAATGGTCACATTTTGGCATATTGGGTTGAATCCAAAGTCACGGTCAGAGGGGAAGTAGGTGTTGGGCACAATCTTGATGCTGAGTTCAGAGTCGGTGGTAACGGCAAACAAGTGTTGGTAACTGGCGAATGCTGCTCCAATGCTATGGCAGGGGTAGTTACCAATTAATTGGGAACCACATGTTGGAGAAGTGTTGTTTGATGCAGGATCAACATAAAGTGTGACCTTTGTCATTGCCACCTGTCCACTGATGGAACCAACTTTCAAAATTAGAATGATTTGGAAAATAATTAAAAATAAATTCATAATTAATATTTTTTTTGTTTGGATTAATAGATTGACTGATTGATTATATGGATGGATTGATTGATTGATTGAATAATGGGAATATTGGATTGATTGTATGACTGATTGATTGATTGAATGATTGATTGAACATGAAATGATGGATGGTTTGAAGATCATTTGGAATCTATTTATAATGAATCCATTGTAATGGGGTGGTAAACAATGAATAGTCCGTTGACTAACACCGACATATTGACAACCCAATGAACTTAAGAGTTTCATACCCGAGTATTCCATGTCTTTTGGATTTAGCACAGACCAGGATTGTTGCTCATTTTGATGCTGAGGTGGGTGTGTGAAGTGATGTTTTTTTGAATCCTGGGTCGTTTCTTCAATTTAAGAGACACAGATGCAAGAGACACTATCTGACAGCCATGCATGTGTTTGTTTCCCTGGATGGATGGTTGAATGGATGAACAGACAAGTTGGTTAGGTCCTTAGTCGGTTCGTTTAATTAGACCAGGGTCGAGTAGTCATTGAATGAACTCTGGTAAGAAGTGTTGTCTATATGAAGAGTCGATGTTACACTGGGTATGCTTTGACTTGTCTTGGGTCCCAAGACCACTAACTCGATGAGTTGTCCATCGATCGATTGAAAGAACGAATGAAACGAACGGTCAGTAAGTCAATGTAACCATGATTCCGGAATCATTGGAGCCAATGTAACCAGTCAAACACTTGCTCAACGTTGACTATGTTGTTGACTTCTAGGTAAGCTTACCTCAAGATCCTATTACACCTACATAGATAAAGATTACATGTTGTATGTTTGAATGTAAATGAATGAATGAATGTATTGTCAAAGCTGAAGGGAAGTGAATACCAACTCACACACAGAACAGACAGCCTTCCAAGAAATGTAAGTTGTTGTTAATGAATGAATGGAATACTTGTATTATTTATTTATCATTATTCAATGTTGTTGGGGACAGATGTTAGGTTGATCACCTTGGATTGTGCATAGACCTGGATATTTACAATCGATCAATCCTGAGCCACCAACATTGTTGGTGACATTGTTGAATGTGATGTCTCCTTCGTAACATGCTATCACGTCTTTAACTACATATGGCTGGTCGTCAAAGACTACATTGGTCAGACTGACCTTGGTCGACTGAAACTCTACTATATATTGTACCTGTTCATATTGGTCCGATGTCAAAGTGACGTTGGTCATGTTGAATGTGCTTGACGACACTTGCAACAGAGGACCACCTATCACATTGTTGTTGATGAATGTTGTATCTTGAATGCTGACCTCCCCATCCGACACATCGATCAAAATGGTCAAGTTGTAGTTACCTTCAAACACCGAGTCGGTAATGGTCAATGGTCCAATCGCATGTTGGATCATGGTGAGCCCTGTAACTGTGGACATATGGTTCTGGCTGAATGTGCAGTTGCTAAACACGGTCTCCAGAGTGTTGTCAAGAACGAACATGATGTAGTCGACCCAGTTGTTATGGAACAATGTGTTTGTGATGGTCGTCACGGACTTAAGGATCTGGAGCATATTGTTAGCATTGTTGTTTGAGACCTGGAAGTTGTCAATCACCAAGTTGGCACCATCCACAATGATCAAGTAAGTATCACGTAGAGTACAGTTAACAACTGCTCCACCATTGATGATCAGAGTGCGAGCACCATATTGATCGGCTTCCATCTCGTTTGGCCTCATCTCGAGCAGAGGTGGCATGTTGGGAAGGTAGGCGCAAGTCATGATCACATCATTCAGAACCATTGTGACCTTGTTGTTGATTGAGAGTACTTGAGCATTGATCATGGTCATACTGTTGAATGTAATAGTAGTTTGACATTTGTCCAAATGAGTGGGCGCCATGAGCATGAARGTACTGATTGGAGTTTGAGCTGTAGTCGAACACTAGTGGGTCGGTATCACTGATGACTGTTGGTCCAATGGTGACATTGAGACATATTGGACTGAATCCTAATTGATCCTTGTGGGCATCGGGAGTATGGACACCTGGCACCACCAACAAGTTCAATTCCGAGCTTACAGGATGTGAGCCAACAAGCGATCTATAACTTCTAAGTGCCATTGTGACGTTGGTACAGGCCATATTATAATCTAAACTCAATCCACATACTATTGATGAGTTGGTTGATGCTTGATCGACATAAAGTGTTGTTGTAGTGATTGTTGTCCGGCCCTCAACACAACATCCTAGTACAAGTATGATTATTACAAAGAAAGATATTGATAAATATAACTTCATATTTGAATGATCGATTGTTTGTTTGTATGATTGAATGATTGAATGATTGATGGATTGAATGAATACGACAAAGAAACAAAAGATGTAGTCTGTTACCTCAATTACCGAATGTGATTTGTGGAGGCCCTACAAGCCCAATGCTAGTCCTCACAGGCCCAGGGTTTTCCTGATTCAATAAGTGATCAGATTTTCCTAGGATAACCTGGTTTTTCAACTTCCGAAGAGACATTGTTTCGTTCTGTTCCAAATCACTCGCTTGGATTTAAGCTACTCCCGATTCTTTTCGAATGATTGAATAAGCATCAATCAGATAACTAGTAATCTTTATTGAATAGATTTGAATTATTAAATGCAGTGAAATAATAAGTTATTATGGTGATCAGAGATACACTGTCATCAATTTGATCAACATTCGTGAGACTGAAGTCCGACTACTGGTATTTATTGTATTGGATGATAGCGCGACCTGCTCCTCAACATTCTGTTGACAAGATAGGCAATGATAAGTAGGAGTAAGACTCCTCCAATACTTCCAATGATTATTCCAGCGACAGCTCCACCACTTAGTTGTCCACTATGATGATTTGGTGGATTTGGACATAATTGTGATTCTTCTCCAATGATCTCACATCGTTGTAATTGATTACTACAATCCATAAGATTAGATCCATTGTTATAATTGCTAACATTTACAAATGTTATATTTCCAAAATGACATTCAATGTTATACAAGCCTTCCGATGGAATTGAATAGTTTCTTGAGAATGGTCCAAGTACAACATCAGTGAGCGTGATGCCTGAATTATAATAACCCATTGGATTACTATTATTGAACAAGTGATTGTTGTTCATTGTGCAGTTGTTCATGCTGAATGTGACCACTGCTCCACTGATCATATCACCTACTATCGCCGTGTTGTTGGTGATTGTTACATTGTCCATAACATATTCTCCAAAGGTCATGGCCACCAAGTTGTACACGCCATAGTTGCTGTCAAAAAGAGTGTCGGAGATTGGCACTACACTGTTATGGTCTTGAGCTTGCTTCAGACTGATCAAACCGGCAAATGAGACAAATGTACCTCCAGTCATATTATTGTTGGTGAATGAGCAGTTGGAGATTGATGATGATGGTCGAGGAACTGTTGTTCCAACTATATAGTTGTAGATGGTGTTGCCGCTGAACGACAAGTTGGTCAAGATCATTGTTGAGTTGCGCGCATGGATGATTGAATCTCCAGTGTTGTTGGTGAATGTCATTCCATTGATCACAAGATCACATGGCAACGACATGATCATTGGAATTCCGTTTGAGCCTTGGATATTGTACATACTGCCTCCGTTGATTGTCAATGATGACTCTGGAGTGTATGAATACGGTAGGACTGAGATTGGTGTCAGTTGACGAACGAAAACTGATGTGATGTTTATGTTGTTCAGCACTACGTTGACATATTGAGATATGGAATGTATCGGGGCATTAATCAATGTCATGTTGTTCAATGTTATTCTAGTATGCAGTACATCGTCATTGTAATTGGTTGGTTTCAGATATATAAATTGAAGTTGACCCCAATTTGGAATGGTATAAGATGAAAAGTCAAAGATGACCTGGCCCTGAGAGTCAGGTGATGGACCAAGTGTAATGTTGATTCCATATGGATTGATATTTCCATTACCAAATACCATTGTGTTGTTTACTTGTTGTTGAAGTGGAAGGTAAATACCTGGTGCGAGGATGATGAACAAGTCATTATACGATGTTAGATTGAGTTGTTGATATGTTGTGAGTGCTGCTGATATGTTTGGACAGGACACATTGTTGGCAGGGTCAAGTCCACAGAATGATGAATTGTTTGATGATGATGGGTCGACATAAAGTGTTGTGATTGAGTTGGCATTGATTGGACGACAATTGATAACAAATGTCATCAATATCAAAGTGATTGAAATAAAAGTGATATTGCCCTTCATCATTATTATAAGATTAGAGATAGTAAGTTAGGAATGAATGATTGATTTATTGAAATGACTGATTTTATGTTGCTTGAGCTTAAGGATCAAAGCGATCAAACCCAGGTCCTCCACCAAACCCTTTCCACTAATCATGTGCCCTACTGGTCCAGGCGATTGAACTACCATTCGCCAGATATTTGTTTTGATCAATTTGGCAACCTTCAAAAAAGTATCTTGATCTTAAGATGAATGAAAGGTCGTGTGGTTATCAATCATGAGAGTTTACTTTACTTGGTCTTTGTCTTCTTCTGCTTCAACTCCTTTGGGATGTAGTCATCGTCTTCATGATTGTTGTTCTTATTGGATGATGACCTGGAGGACGAAGATGACTTGCTTTGCTGGAACAGCTGTCCACTCTTGACCGAGAGAATGAAGCTCCACACCTTGGCAGGATACAACACGCTCACAACGACCAGGGCAAAGAAGATCAGACCAGTGTAAGGAACAGACTCCTGATCATGAATGATCGATGACTTGCTCACGGCCACGTTGAATGTATGATGTTGATAGTTGTTGTTGTTGCTTGTCCTCTGGTTGGACGACGCGAACCTGGATTGGCTCAACAGTGAACACATAGGATGAGCCCTGGTTGCGCTGACCGGTGGCCTGCTCAACCTTGAGGACGTACTCGTTTGACTTGGGCAACGCTCCAAAGTCAAAGAACGAGTTGAAGCCAAGATCGATCGAGCGGTACAATGAGTTGTCGCGCTTGTTGTATAGGTTGGCACGCAACATCGTGAGATGCTTCTGCTGAGCAACCTCGCCACTCAGACGCACATTGCCAGTCAGGTCGAACGTGTTTGATTGCGAGCTGATGATGGTAAAGTCTACATTCTTGACGTCTGCCTTGCCAATGACGATGCTGTGCTCGGCGGGAGTCGACCTCTCGGCGGACGCCTGGCTGACGACAGTGATGCGGTAGGTCTCGGCTGGGGACAGACCACGCACTCTATAGTTGCCAGACTCGTCCGTGTTGGACTCCTCGGCAACCTTGCCGGCGGCGGTGATTGCCTGCACGATGAGGCCGTTCTGGGGCTCGTTGTTCAATGATCGCACGCTGCCAAAGACACTGAATGCCACACGCTTGGCAACAAGCTCGAGCTTGGTCTCGCGACCCTCAATCAACTCGATTGTGTGCGAGGCTGGGGTGATGGTGTACTCCTTGAGCAGCGACTTGATAAAGTAGGTGCCGGGGAAGAGCTGCGACACTGTGATGGAGCCGTTGGCGGCCGACTGAAGGTTGGTGCGGTAGCCCTCACCACTCAGCGACAGCAGCACGCCTTGCACGGGCTGTCGTGACTCTGAATCGACAAAGTTGAAGACGACCGAGCCGAGCTCGATGGCGTTGAAGTTGTTGCTGTTGGACTCCTTCTTAAAGTGGTAGCCGGCCTTGGATGCCTTGTGCGTGTACTCGACGTCGTCACGCAGTGGGCCCACGGTGTAGAGACCTTGTGCGTCGGTCAGTGCCTCGCTGCCAAACTGGTCGCCAGTGCGCTCGTTGTAAGTCTTGATGGCGACGCCAGCGATGTTGTTGTTCACCTTGCCGTTGATCATGAGACCGGGACGCGCGTCGATCAGCTCGAGCGATGGTGGGCAGCTCTCGGTGTTGACGGATGCCAGACGGCTGGCGGGGTAGAACAGCAGATTCACAGACTTGGGCACGCTGGGCACAAACTCCAACTCGTCGCCGAGCGATGCCATGTAGCTGTAGGTGAAGACGGCGGGCGAAGCCTCTGAGGCCACAGCCTTGACAACGACCAGTGGTTGCTCAGATGATCTGGACATAACCTTGACGTCGATGTGCTGGATGGCGTCGACGGCCGCTGACTGGGCAACCTTGATCGAGCCAGCCAACTGAATCTTCTGGATCTTCAGAGCCAGCTTGTTGCTGGATGCCTGGTTGGTGTTGTAGGTGTAGGTGTCCTTCTCGAATTGGAAGCATGACTTGACGGTGAACTTATGCACGCCAGCCTCTGCCAGACACAACTCATTCAAACCCTTGCGCAACTGAATGTTCTTGGTGCTCTCTCCAATCTCATGAATCAGCGACACCTGATCGTGTGGCGAGGTGATCTCATAAGTGTAGCCAGTCTGTGTGAACTCGATGTCATTCTTATCCTCAGTGTTCTGTAAGATTGAGTGAGCGAGTTAGTTAGTGATTGAGTGTGGCCAGGGCGTCAGGGACTGTTCCAACATACCAACAGATCGATGGTCTTCTCGGCTGATGACCAGCACCACTGGGCGTAGTGGAGAGAGATCTTGTAGGAACCGGGGAGGAGGTCGCGGAAGGTGAAGGAGACGTCGCCAGACTTGGTGAGTGAGAGCGAGGCTTGCATAGAGTCACCGCTGCGCGATGTAGGCTGGCAGGTGACGGTGAGACCGGCAGGAACCTCCGATGTGATCTGCTTCATCGCTCTGATCTTGCCTGCGATTGAACCGCGAGACTGAGAGAAAATGATGTCCAGGTGAGGGCTGTTTGTGATCGAGGTCGTAATGATCTGCGAGGCAAATTGCAATCCCTTGGCGCGCTCCTGTGTGCTCAACGAGATCGACACCTTGTAAGTGCCAGTCGTAACCTCAAAGCAGAACTTGCCATTGTTGTCTGTGTGCCTGTTGTGTAGTTGAGGATGTGTTAGTCATATGTTTGATCGATACATGTGGACGGGACATCACATACTTCTTCTCTTGCTTGTTCTCGCTGTTGGTAAGGGTGATCTCCCTTGGGTTGACAATGACACCAGCGGGTGGTGTTGGGACAGAGACTTGACCGCACAGGTGATAGCTGGTCACCTTGATATCTGGCAGTGTTGGGGTCACTGGCGTCATCTTGTGCTGGAGGGAGCTAAAGATGTAATGCTCCTTCTGTGCCTCGATCTTGTATGTTCCAGTCGTGATCTTGTCCAAAGTGTAGTGTCTGAGTGACAAGTGACGTTAGTGATTGATTGAGTGATTGAGCGAGAAAGTGAATGGATGACTTACCCTCCATTATCTGTTGTAGTTCTTTGCTTGCCGTTTACAAGGATGGACACGCCAGCCAGACCACCGTCATGATTGAGAACACGTCCAGAGACAGAGAAACCAACGATTTTGAAGCCATCGACAATGTCCAGACCACCGGCATCAACCTTGATCTCCTGGTGCACAGGGGCAACGTCGTACTTGGTCTGACCCTTGTGCGATGGCACGATGGAGTACGCGCCACAGGGCACGTTCTTGAACAGGAAGCGTCCGTCTGCGCCCGACTGCACGGTGCAGATGGAGTCCTTGTCAGAGGTGGTGCAGCCAACAATCGACTTGACAGCGCCCGATGCGCTCTTGAGCTGGAAGTCCACGTTTTGCATGGGCTCCTTATCGTAGACGATGCTGCCCGACACGGGGAAACCGACGATGGCCAGGTCCTGCGCGATCTGGAAGTTGCCCCAGTCAAAGCCGTTGATGGCCAGTGGGCTGTTGGCAAACGACCAGTGTGCGTGCTGGGCGACGACCTCGAGCTCGCTGGACGGGGCGATGTTCTCGAAGCGGTACTGTCCGTCACTGGTGGTCAATGTCTCGGCGATCACCTCGTGCGATCCACGTCTTCGCAGCTGCACCTTAATGCCCTCGAGTGCCTTGTTCGATTGGCAACCCTTGCTCGACACCTTTCCGCTCACTCTGAATCCTCTCAACTCAAAGTTATACTCCTCATTATCCTTGCAACCATCCTTATTGAGTGGTATCTGCTTTGATGCTATTCGATTGTGTTGTTGTGTCAGTCACTCATTCATTCATTCATTGAATTATGTCCATTAACAAACATACCGAATGTCCATCCTTCGGGTCCTTCGATCTCGAGGATGTAGTTGCCGCGCTCGTAGACGGGCACGACGTAGTCGTAGTTTGGTGATATGTCTGCGCGCTCCTTGATGCGACCATCTTTGGTCAACAATATCTCTATCTTCTCGGTTATCTTTTGACGCTGTGGCAGGTTGGCAGCACGCTTAATGAAGCCACCACACAGTAATACCTCATCGTCGACCTGTGCCATTGTGACCTGTGCCAACGCAACAATAAACACCATCGTCATGACGATGGTGGACATCATCAATATTGATGATCTCATTCTACTTATATAAATATATATTGATGTTAAACTCTTTGAGAATGAATGAGAATGAAGAGTGATTGAACGAATCACTTGAACTCACACCCACATGTTCATCTTCAACTTCAATCATTCTTGAGAAGTTCGTCTTGAAAAAAAAACATGATGCATTGGTGTGTCTTCCAAGGGTAAGGGCAAGGGCAAGGGTTAGGGTAGGGCAAGGATCATTTCATATTAGTAATTGGGAAGGGAAAGGCCAGAAGTCAAAGACAGTATATGTCGGGAGAGTTAGTGTAATAGTATAAGTCTCAAGAAATGTGAGTGTGTAACGATCTGGCTCATATTGATTAAAAGACGGGACAATGTGAGCTAATCAATCATATAGGGTGTTGTTGAGTAACTGGGTATTAGTAGAGACAATTGGAAGGGTATATAATCAATGAAAATAGGTGTCTTTTAAGACTGTGAATCAATGAAAATTGGACGTCCCATTTTGGAAATTTACTATCTAAAAACGAATGATTGACGGGTCGGTTAAATTGATTGAAAGTGTGTCATTTTCCCTGAATACATCATCGGGACACGACTCTCCCCGATGATTAAAATGACAGTAATACTGTTCAATTTTATCTCAATACTACTCATTCATTCAATCTCATTCAATCAATAAATCAATCAAAGAAATACAGGTTATATATAAAATAATAATTTCAATAATGTTTAGAAAAATAATATTTATATTTATAATAAGTCTTATAATTATTAACGTTAATAATGGACAATCTATAACAATTACAACACTTTATGTTGATCCATTATCGACGAATACTTTAACAAAATGTGGACTGGACTCATCAACACAAAATGCTTGTCCATCAATATCAGCCTCAATCACATCTTACAACAATCTGATACCCAATCCCATCAACTCAGAAATTAATATCATACTCAATCTTGGTATCTACAAACCAACGCCAGGCAACACAAACATCAACCCATCATGCTACAACATCACTATTAATGGGTCATCCCAACTTGACAAGTTGACCACCCTTGACTTTAGTCATTCACCTGACACATTCATCATGATTCCAAGTACATCTATTTCAACTTGTATCACCAACTTGACAATCAATAATATAAAGTTGATTGATGCAAGGATCATGTCCAAGAATCAATCTGGATCAATTGTTCTCAACAATGTTATAATGTCCAGCAGCCAGTCAAGTGTCGCCAACATACCAATAGATTTGAATGGTACAATTGGATCAGTGCGCCCATCTTTCAGGATGAATGGAGGATCAATCTCCAACTTTGTTGGTAATATCACATGTCTGATCAGTTCCAACGGAGTCGACCTGTCATTGATCAATGTGATGATATCCAACAACTCCATTCAAACTTTGATCAACTCAACCCAATCAAACTTCTTAATGACTGGCGCCTCAATCCATCTCAATAAGTTTGTCGACAACCTCATTGACCTTGGCGACGAGAAGGCCTATCCATCAATCATTGCCAACTGCACCATCAATCAGAACACTGCCAGCTCTAGTACCAACCTCACCAGCTATCAAAGTTTGATCAAGAATAGAAGTCCACTGCTCGTGACCGACACTGTGCTGGACGGCAACATCAACACGGCCTACCTGATTGGACGTGGCGTCAACATGACCATTCAGCGCACGACCATCACCAACAATCTGGTAGTCAAGGGTGGTCTGGTGTCTGGCCAGCTCAGCAACGTTGTGGTGTCCAACAGCACAATGTCCCACAACACGCTGGTGAACTCTGTGGCCATTGACATGGATGGCTCACAAGTTGCCCTGCACAACGTCGTAATTGACCAGAACATCCACGCCAACGGATCAAATCATTTGATTCAGTGCACAGTCGGATCGATCACAATGAACAATGTTGTGAACAATGGCGCCAGCTTGATAAACTGTGACGAGCGCACATGTTCAATCAATGGTGACAACTCTGACGTCTGCAAAAGTGGACGTCTAAGTGGCGGTGCCATTGCCGGTATAGTTATTGGATCCATCGTTGGCTGCGCAATCATAGTCACACTGGTAGTAGTCCTGGTCATCAAGAAGAAGTAAATAATAAAGTGATCGATCACTTATACTTTACTTTACTTTTCTGTTTATGGCTTGGTGATTAGTGGAGTCTTCTCGGTCTTTTTGCGCGTCAGACAACTGAAGAGGTTGAGTGACAGCATCTGTTGATACAATAGGATGAGTGATGTTCGTCGTGTCATGATGATGAGCAGCAGCATCATGGGCAGCACCTCGAGCACCGTGTAGTAGAATATGTCTTTGCTCCAACTTGTGATGGAAACAAATGTTGTGACGGCCGTCATCACTGCACGAACTATAAAGCTCAGTGACGAATATCCAAACACTGCCAAGAACATCTTCCTAATCACCTCCAACTCTGTATCATTATTACGTGTGGCAGCTCTAAACTCTTTCCAATTTCTCAGGTAATGAATGGATCTTGAATTGAGTGAATGAATGAATTTGATTGGAATGGTACCATCCAGTGATGAATTGAGTTGATTGATTGATTGGAATGATTCAATCCAGTGATTGATTGAATGAATGAGTGAGTAAGTGAGTGTGTCATGTGATCAAATTGATCAATCAATCAATAATGTTGTTATATATATAACATACAGTGTATATACAAAGTATACGGAACCAATGACGTAGATTACAGCTACAAGCATTTGAATGATCTGACCAATAAGAGTCATTGGAGTATTCAGTGATCCTGTACCAGATGGATGTGGAAATACATAATCCAGAATATATAATACTGTCGCCATGAAGTACATTATAAAATTGCCAATAATAATAACTCGCATAATCAACTTAATATTGAACTTGGCTGTGCTTGGTAGATGGTCGTCCACTACCTTTGTGCTATATAATATATTATACATGTTTGATTGATTGATTGATTAGTCCACTTTGATTGATCATATATTGATTGATTGATTGATGTGACTTACCCTAATATTAATGCTACAGAGTATACTGTAAAGAAGAAGAATGATGGTAGTGTACCTAGGAGGTCAGCAGTTGGGTCTTCCAGTGTGGCCAACTGTTCAACTACCAATATGTATATGATAAACAATGCTGCCCTCAATGCACATCCTACAATCAAAAGTATATAGAATACAAGGCTTGCGAATGAATCTGTTCAAATTATATATGTTAGCAAGTCTATCCATCCAACATCAATCATCCATCAATACTCATACATACGTAGTCCTTTACAATATATTGATGCGGCCACTGCTGATATCATCAATGCCAAATAGAATGATGACAGTATGATATGAGATATATCAAATGCAGGATCGATGAATATTCCGCCGCCACCGCTTGACATGTCTGTGTGTATTATGTTGCGTTTGTTTGCAAAGATCTTTCTTCTTGTAAGTTGTTGTGGACTTTTCTTTGGCTTTGCTTGGTTTGGTTTGATCTAATTCAACTCCAAGCTTGATAGTTATCTGTTTCTGTTTCTGTTTGATTGAATAGTGGCGTCCAACAACTTGATATTCCTGTTTGTTATGTTGTTGTTGTTGTTGTTGTTTCTGTTGTTACTACAATGTTGTTGTTGCTGGAGGTTGTTGAACAAGTTATTGCCCCCTCTAAAGTAGAGTTGCACTCTAACAAGTCCTTATTGCGCAAGAGTAGAGATGGATGAATGTGAAGGTGGGGAGTGAGTGGTCCAGGTGTGTATGTGTGTGGGGTGAGCTTGTGTTTAGATCTTTCCTCTCACACTACACCCAAGTGATTTGATTTATCAAGTTCGAGGGTTACTGAGTGATCTAATACTACTACTTCTTCTATATATATATATCTATAACTTATAAAATGAAGTATGAATGTCAGAAGCAAAGTTGCAGGTCTGATCAATCCATCATCCAATTGGATTGTGTTGTCGGATTGATGGGTGGGATGAGGTGTGATCAAAAAAAAACCTGCTCGAAATCCTCAAAATCATTGTTGAACGAATGGTCTTTGTCTTGGTCGCACCCAAAAACCCTCCAACAATTCAATTTCCTGTTTTGTTGAGACTTCGTGTAGTTCGTTGGGATTTACTTGACAACTCTACCATTCACTTTTGTAGATTATTTTGATATTGAAGTAGTAATTATTACAATTACACTCACTAACTGACAACAACTCTTAAGAATTATTATTATTAAAAGGAATGAGGGAATGACTCAATAGTAAGTTGTGATGATGTCAAAGACATCATGGAGAGAGAAATTAATCATAAATTAATGAGAGAAAGAGAGTGACATGAGGGGTGTTTGTGAGTGTGTGTGTGAGAGAGTGAGTTCTTGAAAGAGTGCGGAACACACACCAATCTTGAGTAAATTGAGGTTTGTTGTTGCAAAGTCAAGTCAGTTGTACTCTTGTAGTTATATTAGAGAGATAGATATATATAATACTATGATTATTTACTTTGTTGATATTGAATAAAATAATAATAATAATAATAGTACAAAGACATACAGCACAACATTCAATCAATCAATCAATAACATTCACTCAATCATTCATTCATTCAATCAATCATCAATCGATAGATAGGACAGGATAGGATAAGAAATGCAACAACCACAACGTACTCCTTACATATATCAATATGTACAGCAGCACAACCAACAGCAGCAACAACAGGTCGTACAACATCCCCAACAGACGACCCAACAACAGACGACCCAACAACAACAGCAACCTGATATAATTGAACAACAGGTCAATGTGTTGCACGAGAAATTCAAAGAGTTCTCAAACAAGTATATTGGATCAGAATGTGTCTTGTATTATAAGTTGACACCACCGACTGATAAGGAGTATGGTGTGGCAGTGTACGACTTGCAGTACGACCTGCACATAAAGACTGGCCTGGTGCCATTTGCCATGCCACGCCCGGGCCAGGACGTCAAGTCCCTGCCCGCCAACATGACCATGATCTCGGCGTTGCAATACTTTATCGATGGAATTGGCTGTCTGATGGCGGGCCGTTCCCAGTGTCCGGCGATGAACACCAATCCCGCAGCGTCCAACCCCATGCGCGCCACCGTCCTGATGTACATGGCCAAGGTCAACCTCATGGTGAGCAAGCTCAACGAACATCTCCTTAAGCTGCCAATGCTTTCGTCGTCGTCGCCAACCACAACCGCCGCGAGCAACCCATTGATCGACCACTTTAAGCGCGAGTGTGAGGCACTGAAGAAGATGCAGGCCTACTGCTACGAGAGCGCGCCGGCCGAGCCAACGGTCAAGCACCAGCTGGCGCTGCGTCTCTTCTCACTGTTGCACTGCAGCTACTGGGACATGCCGTTCCTGGACGACGCCGAGCGTCTCAAGCACTCGTACCCTGTGTACAAGCTGCTGGCCGACGTGGCCAACGAGAATCCCGCCGAGTCCAAGTTCATCTACTCGATGGGATCGTTCTGCTACTCCTACTTCCAGATGTACAAGACTGTCTACCACATCAGCACGCCACAATTCTTCAACTTCCACACCAATCCAACATTCGACCAGACCATCTACGGTCACATGCTCACCTATCTCAAGCATTCCAATCATAGTTTCCAGAGTGAGTTTGATAGACACGCAAACAATGCAGGTATGTTATGTTATTTTAAACTTAATTATTCAAGTTTGATCACTCACTCAACTCGCCCAATCAATCAATCAATCAAACAGAGTATTGGTTCATATATGCAAAGACATGTTGTTTGTTAAACTATGAGGAAAAGGCATATAGCTGGATACAATTGTTTATCAATCAGGCATGCAATAGAGTGCAATTGGCAAAGATTGTGGACACTGATCCAGACCTGGTACCATTCCACACCAAGACATGGTACAAGGAGATCATGAAGTCGATCGAGGAGGAGGAGGAGAGGATGCTCCAGCAGCAGATCGCACAGGAGCAGCAAAAGCAGATCATGATGGAGAAGGTCATGGCCGACTTTGAGTCTGACCTGATCAAGTCCGAGCCAGCCGACCACCAATTCGAGCTGGTTCAATCATCACCAGTTGTAGTTGGTAACTCTGGCAACTCTGTACCTGCCGCCAACACTGGCGCCATCACCAACAACAACACAAACAACAACAATCAGTACAATGAGTTCAAACAGAATATCATCGTGGATGGATTCTCTCACAAGAACATGAACAATGACTCAATGCTCATCTCATCTGTCATCCTACTCAGTATGACTCAGCCTCCCGAGGCCAAGGAAGCCGAGCTCGCCAAGAAGAGACTGGGAGAGCGTTTGAACTTGTACATGGTAGGTACTCAATCAATCAAAGTGACAACGTGGAATGTCATGTGTCTAATGCTCCTCCTTCATTACCTTCCACACAGTTAAAGAATAGTAAAGAGATCCCAGGTGATGGCAACTGCCAGATGCATGCTTTGTCCGATCAACTCTATGGTGATCTGACTCGTAGTCCAGAGATTAGAAAGACTATTGTAGATTGGTTAAGAAAGAATAAGGACTTTGCTTTCGTAAGTAGTTGACATTAGAATGAACCAACGACGACGCGGACATCCACTAACATGTATACCAATAGCCCAACGGAGCAACATTGTGTCAATTTGTAAATGGAAGTTGGGATGACTACTGCAATGAGATGTCAAAGAGCGGAATTTGGGGCGATCACTTGACATTGTTAGCAGCGGCAGAGATTTACAAGGCAAAGATCAGTATCATCTCTTCGGTGGAGAGCACCAGTCATTTCTTCATCGAGATCATTCCAACCAAGATTGAGAATCCCAAAGTATTACTACTGTCACACTATGCCGAGTTCCATTATGGCTCACTGTGCTTCATGGCTTAGTTGGATGTAGTTGTGTTGTAGTCAGGCAGGCAGTGAGTACGTAGTTGTCGTTTGCCTTGGCAACTCACTCATTCCAAACTCAACCAATCCAGTCAATCACTTTCACTCGTTCACTCAATCAATCAGTCAATCAATCAACTAATCAACCAAACCCAATCAATCACCTTCCCCTCCCCTCCACCTCCCCTATCTGTTATTATAATAAATTCCATTTATTCAACCCTCTAATCAATCCAAGTTGATATATATACCCAGTGATGGATGATGGATGGATGGATGGATGCTTAGATCTTGACTCTTCTTTGACCGAGCATTCTGCTCTTCAAGTAGAACAAACAGAAGACTGTGTAGTAAACGATCTTCTCCTTGACCAGGAACATAAAGGCTGCTCCCAAAACAGTCTGCACCATCTTTGATGGCATTCCCTTAAAGAATCCAAGGAATCCATCAGCCCTATTATGACGAAAGAAGTGATTGTGTCAGTGCTCATTCGAATCCAACCGACCAATCAAATTATAACATACTTAAATATCTTGACGATGGCATCCCAAGTACCCTTGTATGGTGACTCTGAACTGGCTGTGGCCTGGAGTCTGCTCTTAACCAACAAGTATGGATAGGTAACAACACCAGCAATCAGCTTGGCCAATGCTCCAAGCATGAATATCTCAACTGAGGTCTAATGTATGGATAGGATGATTGGAGTGAGTAATTGAGCATGATTGATTGGGCGTGGAAACAACATACCAACTTGTTCCTGTGACCCTCTCTCTTCCACAAGGACTTTAGCTTCTCGTAGGACACGTATTGGACTGAGGGGTTTGACACGAGAATGAGAGCTGGGATCAATCCGTTGTAGAGTCCCTTGACACCCTCGTCTCTGATGATCGTTCTGAACATCTCAACAATGCCCTTCTTGTTGTTGGCATTGGATTTGAGCTGGAGACGAGTGTTCACAACCCATATTGGTAGTGTCGTAGCGACATTGGCGCAACCTATAATGATTGATTAAGATTGATTGAGTGAGTGAATGAAGGATGAGACATGGGTATGATAATGATGATCATACCAGAGAGAGCAGCAATGAATAGGTTCTCAATGGTGCCAAGCTCTTGTTTGTTTTGAGCCTTGAGTGAGATGGACTTCAACAGAGAGTACCAGTAGTAGTAGACGAATGATGAGCAGCCAATGCCAACGATCGCAGACTTTAGACCATTGTACAATGAAGTCCAGTGCTCCTCCTCAATTATCCTCTTGAATGCATCCAATGTACCCTTATAAGGCACTGGTAAGTTCTGTTGTGGTCCACCCTGTTGTTGTTGTTGCTGTTGTCTAAACGCTGCCTTTTGTTGGACTATACATTCATTCATGTGTTAATGAGTTGTCAAGTTCATTCATTCAATCCAAACAACACCAACCTTGTAGTCTAGTTGACACTGTAGAGAATGGATATGTGAGGGCTACTGTTGCCATTCCTGCCAGACCTCCAGCCATTGCATGACCCAATGCTTCAATCGAGTGATCGACACTGCTTGATGTTGATGTTATGTGTATTTTATCTGACATTGCTTAAGCTTATCTATTATCTATATTAGAGATATTTATTATATGTATGGTATGATTTGAAGATGAATGAATGAACTTGAACAGAGTCATTAATCTGAGGTTGAGTCGTGGTGGGGTATGTTTAGTTGGGGTTGTTGATCATGCGACCCCCAAGAGTGTTGTGGTTGTAGAGTGGTGTGTGAGTGAGTGTAGTGATTGAATTGAACAATACCTAATTTGGATAAATCTGGCGTCTGGCATCATCAATGTCCAGAGGTAGAATCAGTGAACGACCTTGCCTTGCCAACATCCAATACAAGTGATGGTTCAAAAGGACTTCATTCATTCATTCTCTATCAAGGTTCAATAGATTGATTGATTGGTTGGTCGATTGATTGATTGATTGAATCACTGATTGGATTAATTGAATGTCTTCACTTTATTTTGGTAAACTATATCAAGATATCAAGGTGACCAAAGGGTTGGCCTGCAAGGCTACTAGCATGGTAACAGAAACAACATTGATTGCCTAGGGGGGAGGGAGGATAGAGGGATGTTTTAGAATCTAGCACCAAAGAGCATGTGGATGTGGTTGGGGAGGACGATCTGCTGGTGTCTGCGGTGGAGGACAGCGCGGGTCTGGGTGCAGGCGGCTGGGAGATCGAATGAAGACTCGTGGAAACGGTCCTCAAAGTTGAAGAAGTTCATGATGCTGTTGCCTGGGGTGGCGGGGTCGGCATTGACGGCAAACGAGGAGACGACCGAGCAGGACTTCTCGTCGTAGTAGATGGTCTGGTTGAGGGCGGTCGATGGCGATTGGTCGGTGAGGAAGTAGGCCTCGACAAAGAACTGGCCGAGTCTGGTGTTGCCAATGTAGTTGTTTGGTCCGATGGGGAATCCGTCTGGCACTGGGAAGTTCAGTGGCATCTTGGTGCACTGACCAGCCTGGAGAACGTACATCTCGCTAGTCTTTCCAAACAACCAGATTGAACCCTCAACAACACCCTCAGTCATCACGATCCTGTAGTCGCTTCTCTCTCTCTGTCCATGGAAGTCAATAGTTGAGTTACCCTCTATTATAATATATTTGATTGATTGATTGAGTTTGAGTTTGAGTTTGAGTATGAGTATGAGTATGAGTATCATGTTGGATCGATCAATCAATCAATCAATATACATACCCTCAAAGAATGAGAGTGCAACGTTCGAGCCAGAGCCAGATGGGAACATGGCATTGAAGGAGGTCATTTGGAACCATGATTGGTAACCTGGGGTGTTTGAGCAACGGTGGTCTTGAGCCGAGGCAATGACCAACAAGGCAGCAAAGAAGAACAAGAAATACTTTGTGTTGAACATCTTATGAATGTATATGAATGTATATATATATCTGTTTCAATCAAGTTGAGTAGAAGTGAATGAATGAATGAATGTAGCAGCAGATCTTGAAGGTCAATTTGAATGAATGCCTTCAGACACCCCCAGACTTAAGACTACCAATGCCAACACACAGACTACTCGGGGGGATATGACATGATCCATCCAGAGTTGGGAAGCCGAGCAAAGGGTGACGTATTATTGGATTTGTAAATAAGGATATTTCGGGCTTACTAGCCTAGACAGGGTATTTTAGGGTCAGGTCTGGTCCGATGTGAACCTGGTTCATTCACATTCATTCACCCAAACAAACAGTTCCCCTCCCCAGTTGCAACTCATTCATAAGTCATCGAAGGCTTGCACGAAACACACTTTGGAACCAGGGCAATTGCATCACACACACCTTTTCAAAAAACAAGCAAATGCCTGGTCATCGAGGTGAGTGCGGTCCTGGTCTTGGATGATTGATTGCGCGCACCTCATCGCCATCTCCTCACTTGTGTGATTGAATGAAGTGCACCAACATCACTGGCAACACTAACACCTGGCAACAACAACAACAACTGGGTTGGAAGGAAGGATACACTGGCCATTCAAATGAATGGTACCATACTTTATTGGATTGATTGAATGATTGAATGAATGTGATTGATTGATCACACAATCAATCAATACCGACCTAATACCATACTTAGACTATGATATTGTCAAACACGGCAGTGCAGAGGGCTGCATTGTTGTGACTGCTGACAGCAAGACCTTTGGTGATGGATGATGCGGATGTGCCCAGGGTGTAGGGTCCACCGATGATGGTCCAGGTAATGCCATCGTCAGAGATGTAGCCAGTGTACTGGGATTGTGACTTGTCCAGACGAACGTAGTATGGGGCAACTGGGCCGACTGTGTTGGGACCGTTCGAGGCCAGGATGTTGGTGCCATTCCTGTATTGGAGACTGGCGCCCTTGCCAGGTGTGATGTACACGCCAATGTTGACGGCGCCAGCGGCAGTGTTCTCACGGAACATGACTCCGGCCTTGGGCCCAAACGTTGGTGTTGGTCTGAGAGACGACGCGAGCTGAGATCGACTCGCTTCCACTGGATGAGGCAGACACGTAGCTGTAGCGGAACTGGTCGGCGGCAGTGTAGATGTCGGCACCACTGGCAGCCACTGTGACTGTGATACCAGCGCCGGTGAGGCTGGTCGAGCCGGCAAGTGCGACAGTGCCAACGTCAGTCGAGACCATCTTTTTGATTGTGTAGGTGGCAGTGGCGACGGCACTGTTGGCGCCAGACTTGGTAACAATTGCCTTGAGTGTGGCGGTGGTGGCGACGCTAAACGCTGCGCTGTAGGTCACGCCATTGGTGGCGGACGGTGTGGTTCCATCGAGGGTGTAGCGAATGGTCGCTCCACTCTCTGATGTGCTGATTGATACTGATTGAGCGGCGATGTATGTGCCGCTGGCCAGGCTGAGTGTTGGCATGGCCACCTGCTTCTGGACAACGAGTGAGATTGTGGCGACCTGGACGACCTGGCCCCAAGCCCAGCCGCGGACTGTGACTGAGTATGTACCAGATGGGGTCGAGCCCGAGGCGGTGAGTGTGAGGACCGTCGAGCCGCTGCCAGTGACCTTGTTGCCGTTGGACCATGATGGCGAGACGCCAGCGGGCAGGCCGGTGAGGTTGAAAGTGACCTGCGAGGCCCAGGCACCCTTGGCACTCACACCCACATTGTAGGTGTTGGTCTGGCCACTAACAGCCACGGCTGACACGGTGTAGCTCTGGTATCTCCTGTTCCTGCAGAAGAACAGGCGGCCAACAACGTCCATCCGGGTGTTGCTGGTGCTGCCCAACTTGATGCGACCGTCGGCCATCATTTGTGAGTAGGCGTCGGGTCTAAACTCGGCCAGCGAGAAGTATGGCGAGCGAACATAGTTGGTTGGCGATGCGTTGCCGCTGCCATCCTGTCCGTTGAACTTGCCGGCGTAGTCGCCTGGACCACGCATGACAATGTCCACGTATGTGTTGGCGATGGGGGTGAGCGAGGCGGGAGTGATGCCAGTGTACTCGCCCGTGAGGTAAGCGCGGTACAGTCCTGCAAAGTCCAAGTTGCCGTGGTTGACGTCCTCGCCATCAGTGCTGGGGAGTGAGTAGCCCCAGGTGTATGCGGGGTTGCCCTTGGCGTCAGTGATGCGCTTGACACCAGTGGAGAAGAACCAGTCCATGTTGACTTGGACGATGTTGCGGTAGTAGTTGGCGCGAGTCTGGTTCACGCCCAGGATATCGTGGGCAGTGGCCAAGTTCTGGAAGGCGTAGGTGAACATCATCACTTGGTTCCAGGGCACTGGCGTGCCTCCCTTGTATGGGTTGGGGGCGCTGAACCACATTTGATTGTTACGCGACATGTCGAGTTGGGAGCGCAGGATGTGGCCAAAGACGGCAACTTCCGCACCTTGGATGTATGTCTTGGCGCGCTGCAGGTAGGTTGCGCCGTAGCCGCGGGGGTCGCCAATGGAGACGACTGTGCTCCAGATGGCGGGCGACTGGAGGATCAGACGCGCAGTGTATGCCAAGTGTCCGACCGGATCACCTTGCTCGCCACCAGTGCCGTCGGCGCGAGTTTCGTTGGCAGGCACGTTGGGCCAGATGGGGTCGATGCGGTTGGTCCAGCAGACGTTCTGGCCGACGGGGGCGGGCGCCAGGTCATTGCGCTGGGAGAGCAGGGCGTCGCAGAACCTGACCATCTGGGCCAGGATGCCGACGTTCTGGGAGATCTCGTAGACGAGGCCCATGGCCTTCATCGCTTCGCCACTGTCATGTTGGGCCCAGCCATTGTCAATGTTGTCGGGGTCTGGCACCAACGATGGCAAGTAATTCAAGAATGATGTTAACTCTGCGCTGCTGACAGGTCCATCATAGCTTTGCACAAGCATGCCTCCCATCACTGACCTGGTCATGCAGATCATTGCAAGAGTGACAAGCAAAGCTGTGTAAATGTGGTGCTAAAGTATGTTTGAGTACGGGAGTGTGAGCGGGGGCGAGGGCTAGGGCTGAGGCTGGAATAGTTCCAGGATATACATACTTTGATCATCTTTGTTATCTTTATTTGTTATATTTGTTTAACATTATGAATACAATTACATCGTTGTTGTATTTATATGATTGGATATTAGAAGGCTTAGAAGGTCAAGTTGAATAGATCTTTGCAGGGATTCAGACGAATGGCTCCACATTATTGGTGTTGAATTGGACCATCTATCTCTTTACAAGTGTCCATTCATTGTTGCCATAAATATCCACAAGTGTAACACCTTGGTCGACTTTGAATGAATGACTCCATCCCCATGCCCTCCCCACTCACTCAATCAAAACAACTCGGATCACTCAAACATTCGTTTTAGGTCCCATCAAACAAGTTGAAATTCAAATAAATCATCCGAACGACTCTGAGACTGGAGACCGGATTAGTTAACTTGAAGCCATTCTATTGATCACTTTGGAGCCATACCAACAGATCATAGATTGAATGAACTTGATCACTAGACAAGGCATGAATGTCTGATTGGGTCGGTCAATAACAGTGAGTGAGTGATCTAGTGAGGTTCCAACACTATCCCTAACTTATTGCCCTAAACTTAGTAGTTGTAGATACATGTAATGTAACTTATGTATTGTACAGCTACATGATAATATGACACGTGATGAGGGCGGGAGGGCAAGGGGGCAAGAGAGTTGGACTTGTTAATCTTGCAAGTTCTAAACTACAACTGGATTGATTAATTGATCCAAGGTAAAGTAATAAAGGATGGATGATTCAATGATTGATTGTTGGTTCCAGATCAATCACTTGGTCACTCAAACACTCACACCTGGAATCATTCCAATCAATCACATACCCACACTCACACATACTAATCAAACATGTCCAACCTTATAAGTGGAATTGACTGAATGATTACCAATATTTATTATAATGTTATGTATACTACAAAGGAGGAGGAAACGACTAAAGTACTTTAGAACTCAACGATGACCTTGCCAAACAAGTCCTTCTCATCAAGGTAGACGTGGGCTGCTGGTGTGGCCTCGATACCTTTGAACACCTTGCCAACAATGGATTGGTATTTTGAAAAGTGTTGGCGGAGATAGGTGGTGGCGCGAGTCAATGCAGCCTCATCAGTGGTGAACTCAAACAAGATGTATCCCTTGAAGTTGATATACTTGGACATGACTTGCAGGATGGGGAAGGGCGTGGGCTCTGGAGACAACAGACCGTACAGGACGAAGGTGCCCCTCAAGGCAATGGCTGACACGAGCTTGGTGACCAGAGGGCCTCCAACGGGGTCGTAGATCAAGTTGGCGCCAACTCCATTGGTCAGCTCGAGGATGCGCTGCTCGACATCCTCCTCGCCCGTGGCGATAAAGTGGTGCGCGCCAAAGTCCAACAGGCGCTGCTTCTTGGTGCTTGTGCGACTGGTCGCGATGACTGTCGCGCCAAGTGCTCGTGCAAGCTGGATGGCGGCCAGACCGGTCGAGCTGCTGGCGGCGGTGATCACGATTGTCTGGCCGGCGGTGAGGTTGGAGATGTCCACGAGGGCAAAGTACGCGGTGAGGTAGGCCATCCACACGCTGGCGGCTTCGACATTGGACTGGCCTTCATCGATGTGCACCAGGGAGTTCTCGGGGAAGACTGCGTGCACCTTGTTGGAGGGATGTCTTGATTGTTGTGTGTTGACCAGTACGGCAACGCGGTCGCCCACCTTGAAGTTGACAACGCCCTCGCCCACAGACTCGACCACACCGGCAGCCTCGTAACCCAATGATGCTGGATAGCTTGCTGGTCTATCCAAATATTTACCGGTCCTATATAACACCTCTGCACGGTTCAGGCCTATTGCGGCCACCTTCACGGCAACCTCGCCCTTCTTTGGCAATTGAATTGGAACTTGGCCAACATAAAGTTTGTCGGCATCACCAAACTCATTGAATAATACTGATTTAGTTGTTGTTGTTGTTGACATTATTAATGGAATTGATTGGATAATTGTTTGGATAATTGATTGATTGAATTGGATATTTGATTGATTGATTGAATGAATGAGTTGAAGGACCTTATTTATAATGTTTGACCAACATGTTGATATTGATTGAAGACCAACCATTGACCAGAGTTGACTCGATGGTTTAAACATTTGGGTTGGGATCAGGTCCTTCTTTTTGATTCTTAAACATGGACGGCAGAGTGATTGAGTTACGTGATCCAATCATGTCAAACATGAACGTGTGTTCTTTGAGAACCAGCCATTTTGAGATCGTTTAAGAACTACGTTCTTAAGTTCGTGCCTTGAGTGTTAAGAACATCGATCAATCTTGAGAATACTTGATGTATGCTAATGTTTGTTTGTATAAACAACAACGATCGTTGACACCTTCATTCAGTTATATATATCACATGATTCGAGAGAGTTGGTTGAGAGTCATATTCTTAATACTTCTTAACTTCTTAACATCATCTTCTTAATTCTTCTTCTTATCTAACTTTACTTTATCTCATATTTGTGATTGAATGATTGAATGATTGAATGATTGATTAACAAGTTATGTTATGAAAAAGTATATAAGATACAAAGTTATAATTGGAGTGCAATGCAAAGACAACAACGAGGTCTCGGAACTTGAGTTAATGAGGAAGACCAGGCATTCGCATGAACTTTCAAAACGGGGTTGTTGAGGGGGTTGATCAATCAATGTGCACTCAAAGTGTGATGATCATCAACACACACTATTAATCATTCAAAATACATCACATTACAAATCATATCATATATCTTTTCTCATTATCTATACATATACATATACTTGTTCATCATCACAGTGTAGTAGTACCTTTGGATTGATTTGGATTGAACTCGATTGCTTTTGATTGATCAATCACAAGAAGAAGATATAAGATGGAGGCAATAGTACTAAAGGTGATGAAGAAGTACTTGAAGTTGTTCATCAAGAACTTCACACCGGATAACTTCTCATTGTCATTGTTGAAGGGAGAGGGTCAGTTGGTCGACCTCCAACTCAATGAGAATGTCATCCAGGAGCTACTACTCTTGCCACCACAACTACGCGTTACACTAGCTCGCTGTGACACACTCACTGCCCGCGTGCCATGGACCTCCTACAAGAAGGAGCCCATCACAATGGCCATGAACACCATCACCGTCCAACTCAAAGAGCCCGAAACAATCGAGCCAATGCAGCCACAGTTAAAGAAGTATGTTTGATTGATTGATCAAAGTGAGAGTGATCGATCACCAACTGACCAATCACATGATCACCAACCAACCAACCAGGTTCAAGAAGAAGAATAAGAATAAGAGGAATGAGGTCACTGAGAATATGATGGTGGAAGTGAAGAGGATGAACTTGTCTGTGTCGACAATGCGCGGAGAGACATTGATTGTGGACGTGGAGGATGTGTTGGTTCAGTCGACCAACTCAAACTTCCAACCGGGCGACCTCTCCTCGATCAAGTCGGTCGATAAGGAGCAGGGCACCGAGTCACTCTTCAAACTGATCACTGCCAAGTCAATCTCAATCAAGATTCAAGACATGGGCGGCATGACCTACAGTGTCATCGACAACATCCCTCTCAAGGTGTTGGTATGTAGACTCTTCCACTCACTCAATCAATCATTGGAACTATTCCACTCACTCAATCAATCAATCAATCAATCAACAATGTAGTTCTCATCCAAGAGGAGAAGCAAGGATTGGATACAGTTGAGTGCAAAGGTGGAGGTACTGCTTGGATTCTTGCAGTTGAACTGGAGTTTGTCACAGTGGCACTTGATATCGGAGTTGGTAGCAACATTCCAGACGATACTGGCGCGTCATGCACCCCCACCTATCGCATTGGAAGACCCCAAGGCTGTTGCCAAGAGGGAGAAGTCTGCCTCCAAGAAGCACAAGAAGACATCTTCGGCATCCTCATCATCTACGCCCGCCTCGACAAGTGGCACATCATCGCCTGGCACGCAAAGCGGATCATCATCGCCAGCCCTCAAGCGTTCCAGCAACGTTGACCCGCCCGAGGTCAGTACGCCACAGACCCCGCACGGAGATGGCGACCTTCCCGTGCCCAAGCACTCAGAGTAAGTCTCGCCCTCGCCCTCGCCCTAGAACTCCAACCCTTACACTAACCTCGCGCGACACACAGCTTCACATATGACTTCCACATTGACAAGTGGAGACTGGACCTTGTGGACAATCAGACACAGGATACAGGCTATGACAGTGGATTCCAGTTTGAGGGCGATGGACTACATTTTGGATTCACCGCATCAAACGTGAACTACAGACCAACAGATGAGAATGGCGCAGTGATCTACTCGTTGCCAATCCGCGAGAGTATAGTGTCGGTGGTGATGAACAGCCTTCAGGTCAAGGAGATGGAATCATTCCAGCGACGTGTGGTGCGTCGTGAGCTCTGTGGACAGAACGAAGACATCCCGCCACAGACCCAGACGCTTCGCAAGTACGACAAGACGATCACTTCGATCTCGTCGGACGGCATCAGCGAGCGCATTCAGATCCATCACTACCAGGGACCCTACCTGCTCAAGGGCAACTTCATCTTTAGGAAGCCGATCAGCACGGACGATAACCCCGACCCACTGGCGCGTCTCGTCGCGCCGGATGGCCGACCGCTCCAGCCGCTCATCGGACTCGAGCTTAACCTGCACCTCAACCACTTCAAGCTGACGGCCGACCGCCCGGCCTGGAAGCAGTTGATCGCGTTCCTCATGCCACCCGAGAACGCCGAGACCGACTCTGAGAGCGACTCGAGCTCCTCGTCCTCGGTCATCGATCCCAAGTTGGACGCGTCCACTGGTCAGGAAGGCCAGAACGGTGTGTTGGAGATCCCTCTCGACGCAGCCTCAAGCAACAACAACAATGTTAGGAGCAGCAGTGGCATCACAAAGCAGACAGATCCATTCGCCATCAAGAGGACAATGGTAGAGTCAGGCAAGAAGAAGTTGAACAAGTTTAGGAACAAGTTCAAGTTGGGCAGTAACTGGAAGAATCAGATCAAGATCGTACTGAAGGCTTCCGACACGGTGGTGTTCATACCCGAGACTGACGCATCTGAGCATCCAGACTTCACGGCCGTGGCCATGAAGCTCAAGCTTGGCACATTCATGATGCGCAATCACTCCGACTGGAAGACCGTACCACACCTCTACGATGGCCTTCAAATGATTGACACCAACGTCGTCCCTGAGCCCGTCACTCTTTCCGGTCTCGACCACAGATTCTCAGTAAGTGTTCAGTTGAGCGCGAGCGACCTTGGAGCTGTTTGGACCCGCGACTGGACCATTCCACTCACTCATTCAATCAATCACCTTTAGTTTAAGATGGAGAACATATCATGTATTATTATTGAGAATGGAGTGACTAGCTCCATCCTTCAGCCAACATCCATAAGCCTCTACCTCAGAGTATCAAGATCAACCTATCAGTTGAATGAGAAGGTATGTTCCGTCCACCCCTGTGGATACCAATCAATCATTTACTCATTCATTCAATCACAGAGGATACCAAAGATCGATCTATCATTCATTTCATCAGACTTTAACTATAGGATGACGAAGGACCAGTCACAGTACTTGGACTTTGTGGGCAAGAAGTTCTTGTCACCTGAGCGCATGAAGGACCTTATGCACTCGCGCGTCCAAAAGATCAAGTCGGTGGCCAAGAAGAGATTGGCCATCATGAAGAATCAGAACATGGACAAGACGCTGACCATCAAGAACAAGGTGGAGAAGACTCTGCAGCAGTACCACTGGAACGTCTATGTGTGCATACAGAAGGGCGTCTTCCATCTGCCCCTGCAGCACTTCCTCGAGCCCAAGTCCAAGATGCAGGAGATCTTCACCGACGTGGCCAACGCGCCAGTGTCTGACGGCAACCTGCTGACAGAGTTCAAGGTTGAGATGATGGGCGTGGCGCTCCAGAACAATCAGCACGGACAGAGCATCGTGTTCAAGATTGGCACGTTCGAGGCGCTCGGCATCGAGCATCCCAAGCTGACCACATCGACCACACTGCGTCCGCTGCCCGTCCCCGAGGACGAGTACATCCCGTCGCGTCAAGCAGACAACACTAATATGTTGATCACATACCGTCGTCGTCAGAAGAAGGATGCCAACAACACAGTGGCCGTCGACTCTGAGCTTGATGACTGGCTGGCCGAAGTCAACGTTCGACTCCAAGGCATGCAAGTTCTCGTTCTCAAGAAGAAGGGCAGTTCACATGGAGCATCCAAGGGTGCCAACTCTGGCCTCAAGTTGCCCGACATCCAAAGCTTCATCACCAAGATGGTTCAGACCCTAGACGAGAAGAAGGAGGACTTTGACAACATCAAGAAGGGCATCAAGAAGGTTAAGCTAGGTATGTACATCAATCAATTGACACGGACATAGACATGGACTAACACTCACTCAATCAATCAATCAGACTTGGTTTGGGGCGTGGAGCTTGGCAACTGTGAGATATTGATGGGCAACAAGTCAAAGGATAACAACCCTTACAGACCAAAGGGTGTGATTAGGATAACGGACACCAATAGGAAGACCAATGCCAGAGCATACAAGGATATTGAGCAAGAGTTACTCAAGAAGACCTTGGAGTCTGCCAAGTCCGAGGAAGACACCGACTACTACAACAACAAGATTGCACAACTACAAGCCGAGATTGAGAATCTAAAGGTAACAACTTCATCCATCCACTCTCATCACTCTTTCACATCACTAACAATCAATCAATTATTCAATCTCATTTCCAGAAACAAGCGAATGAGGAGTTGCTGTCGTTGAAGCAAGAGTATATGTCTTTAGAGGGCAAGTTCATTCAGACCAAGATGGGTCTGGCAGACATGGAGAATGAGAATGACTCGCTGAAGTTTGAATTGAAGAAGTACCAGAAGAAGTAATAATAATAATATATATATATAGATATAGTTATGATTAAGGAAGGACAACTCATTGGCTGTGCTGCCGCACTTTGGTCTGTCGTCCAACCATCCATCCAACTATCACCAAACCAATAAAGTAGTATAGTATATATTATATTTCTCGCAACATTACATATTATATTTATTAGATACCATATCACTTTGTTGCTCTGCTGACTTTAGATCGGCCAAAGTTGTGAATGATCCTCTCCTTCTGTTCAACCTCTGATTGATTGATAAAGTGAATAATTTAGAATTAGTTGTATGTATTACAGAATAGGAAGGAGTTAAGTACTTACGCTAAAGTCTGGAGGAGGGCTACCTGACTCCTCGCTCAAAGTTGGCAATTGTTGCTTCGATTGGGTCTGGTGACGACCTAATGGAGGAGTGTTGTGTTGGAGAGTAGTTGGTTGTCCAACTTGTTGTGATAAAGGTTGTTGTTGTTGTTGTTGGTGTTGATGATGTCCATCGAGTGTCTTATTGAATTGTGTTCCGAGGTATACAAGTAAGAGATCGATCAATACACCTTGTATTCCACCTAGTAATAGGGATATAATTATCGATAGGAATATATATCCTACTTTGACTTCAATCCCACATAATACCGCTTTCTGATTAAGTGGTATCAACTTCCTTTTTATCATCTCTCCAAAGGATTCATTATTCGTTAATGTTGATGATGGTAATACATTATTATTATTTGTATTATTATTAATAGGTTGGTAATTATTATTATTATGATTGTTATTATTATTGCTATTGTTATTATTGTTGTTGTTTTGAATTTGACCTTGAAGATCATGGTATTGTTGTTCAACATATTGAATATAGTTGCTATTCAAATGGTTGTATACTCTTGGTGCTTCATTACAAATGGAATTCCTTCTTCTCATTGAACTACTCAGGTTCACCGAAGTTGAGGGTCCATCACGGATCAATTCTCCATTAACAATCTTAACCATTTTGTAAATAGTAGTAATAATAGTAAGTAATAGTAAGTAATAGTATTAATAATAAATAAAGTAACTAGTAATTATTTAGTAATAATAGTAATAGTATAATGCAATGTAATAATATCTTTATGTTAAAGTCGTCAAGTCTTTGAGTGAGAATGAAAGACGAGCTTCATTTGGGAATTTAAAGGTCGTCCTGGAGATGGACCGAGTGGTCCCTTCGCCCAGACCAATGATTTTCGTTGGAAAGCTAAAAGAATCAAAGAAAGATTGCTGTCGGGGGTTGTGGTCTCAGTTTCCTTTTTAGGAAAAACGAATTACTGACTTGGAGTCCTTTTGTGATGCCACAGTTGTCCAATCAATGATGGTTTTGAGGGTACAGACGTCACCCATAGTGACAGTCAAAGGTGTGTCCTCCTTCTTGAAGATTGCTGTCGACTGGGGGTGGGTGGAAAGGTAACCTCAACAACCAACAACTCCACGTGGCATGGCGTGTCGTCTTCATTCATTTTATAATAACAATCAATATGCATGCTTCTTGAATCATTAACCAGCATTTCATTGGAATTGGACATTCATTCCTTCATCCATTGATTTTCCAAAGTAGTAGTCCAGGATGGTTACCAGTACATCCGCTGGCTGATGATCATCATTCACAACGTCGTTATCTGAACGATTGCAAATTGTAGATCTTAGTTCTAATTAGATTGAGTTTGTTTGTTTGTTTATTGTGGATGATGATGATGATGATGATGGTGTGATGGTCTCTGTGATTGGATTGGATTGTATTTGATTGTTTGATTCTGATGCTGATGCTGATGCTGATGTTGATGTTTGATGTTGATGATAAAAAGAAGAAGTTGGAATGGCTGGATAGATGGATGGTTCCGTACGGTCCTCTTCAAAAAGGACCATACCTGATGTTGGTTTGACGACGAATGGTTGTTGTTGTTGTTAATGTTGTTGCACAGTTTGATATGTTGATGATAATACTGGGTAATGTCGTTGCTTGATTGAATGATGAAGTTATTGTATGGTATGTGCGCGCATTGATGTTGTTGTCTGGAAAACTAACAAACTTAACTTCTTCTTAGTTGAGGACAACAGACTTGCTACCATTGTTGACGGTCGAGGTGGATGAGGAGGAGGAGGCTGATCTGGGTGGCTGTGGTAGTACGGTGGAGTTGCTGAATGAAAGACGGATGGTGGAGTGTGAACCTGGGATTTGGGCATTGTTGGCGATGAGCAATGCCTCGAGAGCGTGTGATGATGAGCTGAATTCCAAAAGGCCGACGATCTTGGTGTCACCGGGCTTGGTGCCAGGAGGAGTGGCAGGCTGTGAAGGGAAGATTTTGACACCGATGGGCTTGTGCGTGTTCATCGACGTGAACAGTTGGTGGAAGGCCAGCTCGGTGTACTCCTTGGGGACGTTGGAGAAGTACAGTGTCTGCGAGGGTTTATAGATGTGCTTGTACGTGTTGATGGGGTGAGAGAAGCGGTTGAGTTGGCTGTGCGTGTAGTCGCGGCTCTGCGACTGCGCCTCCTGGTTGTGCGAGTCGGCGATCGACAGATGCTTCGAGTACTGAATCAACAGCTGCTGGCCAAAGAGGATGGCCTGGTTGTAGTACTTGATGATGGCGTCGGCCTGCTGCGCGTCCTCCATCTGCACCATGGCGGCGCCCTTCTTGTTGGGCAGCATCTTGATCTTTTGCACGTTGCCGTACAGTGAGAACAGGTTGAACAGACGGTCGCACGTCACGAGGTCGTCCAGGCCGTAGACGATGATGACGCTGGTGCGCTGGGGCGGCGTCACCGACGGCTGGAAGTAGGGCATGCCGACGGGCAGCGTCTTGGTGTAGTCCTTGGTGCGGTCTGTGTTCTTGGTGACGTTGAGGTGCTCAGTCTTGGAGATCTCGATCTTGAGCAGGCAGGCGCCGCCCTGGTACAAGGGCACGTTGTTAAGGTGCTTCTTGGCGTTGAAGGCGCTCTCGGGGTTGGAGAACTCGACCAGTGCCTGCAGTTCGTTCTTGGTGAAGATGACGATCCTCAACACCTCGCCGTAGAAGCAGAAGAAGTGGTGAAGGATGTCGACGTTGATGTTCAAGATGGCGTTCTCAATCGTCACCAACAGCACGTTGCCAATGGGCACCTGGCTGTTGATCGACTTGCTCCTGGAGAAGCTGATCTGGATCGGCTTGCCGAGCAGCAATGGTGGCGTGTCCTGGGAGAACTTGATCACACGTGACGCTGTGTCAATGCTATCCATCTCTACCAATGCCTGTTGGAACTTCTGCATTATACGGACTTTAAATAATAATTATCAATTGATTGATGTTGTTAGTTCATTGTTGGATTGTGATTGATTGATTGAATGTTGTACTTACCAGCATTAATTGGTGTTCCAAAAGAGTACTGGGCAATACATTGGATTAAGTCATTCTCGGTTGCCTCGAGTGGAACTGGACGGATATGTAGGACGGGAGATGGGGCTTCTTGTTGGCTGCAATGAGTGATGAGAGAGATGTTAATAACTATTAATGATGACGTGCGATGAGATGAGATGCGATGCTTACTTGTCAAAAGGTAGGTTGTTGTTCATTTTGTGTGAGTGTGTAAGGAGGTTAAAGATGTAAAGGTTTCAGGATGTGATGATGATGTTTGTTGATTGATGATGGTTCGGTCGCAAATACAGAGTAATGTATTGGTTGGCGATAGTTTGATGTTGATGTTGATGATGATGATGGATGAGGATGTTGATTCTCCTGTACTGTTACTGCTGTTGTTTGTCGAGTGTCGAGTGTCTGTTTGTTATAAGTGTTTGATCGGGTAAATTGAATCAATATATCGAGTCGAGCTGAGCTGTCTCTAAAGAATGAGTATCTGTAATTTTTATCGAGGCGAGGCGAGGCGAGGCTAGGCAAGACTTTGGCGTCGGTGTCGTTTGTGTTGAATGATTGAATGAATGAATGAATGAGTGTCAAAGCAGAAGCGAGTAGTGAGTGTCGGGAGTTTTAAAGTGTCGATGAGTGGAGGAGTGAGGGAGGGAAGGAGGGAGGTGAGTGAGGGAGTGATGAGAGAGATGAGAGAGATACGCGCTCGTGAGTGGGTGAGTTATTATTTGTGCGTATATGTGTATGAATGTATGTGCGTGAGAGAGAGATGAATGAGGGAGAATGAAACTATTGAAAAGCAATGAAGAAGAACTTTGTTGTTGAAGTCTGCTCCCTCCTCAAACTTGCTCTCCCACTCCTGGTGAAGTGAACTCACACTTTCATTCATTTTTCAAAAATTAATTAAAATAAATACTTTTTCAAATACACTCAACACTACTGAGTGTGTTTCAAAAAATGAAGTCGATTGCTGGCTGCCATTCCTTTCAATGTATCTACTCATACATTCATTCATTCATTCATTCATTCATTCATTCATTCTTATTCACTTTACTTGACTGAATCTCTCTATAACTATATTATCTTTTTGAGGAAGAAATAATAATTCTAATATTAATAGAGGTATATTAGACCGGTCAGTCTTTGTTCCCATTGAGATAAAAATGAAACTGTTTAGTCGTCTTCAAAATGAAGAGGATCAATAACTTTGGAATATGTTGTTCCGGTCCACCATAACAACATAAACCTCCTCCTGGATGTTGATTGACTCGCCTCGCTCTCTCCTTTACTATTTTCTTCCACTTTTCCATCGTGGAGTGAGTTGGAAAACTCGCGAGCCATGTTGGTCCAAATGAAGTCACAGTTTTCTGACTTTTGAATGACAGGCCTCTGTTGGATTGAATTAACAAATGAACGATATTGATGAAAGGTCATCTTCATTCAATTCATTAATACTAAACATTATAACAACATACATACAGATAAAACATATCAATCAATCTATCGATCGATCAATCAAACAATTGATCTAAATATTTAAGAATGGATACATCCATCCTATTAAAAAACAACAGCAACAATAACAATAACAATACTAATGCTAGTGATAAGAAAAGCTTCTATGAAGGCTTTGATGAGATTACAGGCAGTATCTTTAGTGACTTTGGTCGTTCAGACCCTTTTGTCATTGATGGTGATGGTCTGATCCTGGCAATAGCCGTGCATGGCAAAGGAAAGAGCAAACTCTTTGATTGCAACTACCGCACCCAGTCACTCTTCTTCTTCCACTGCTTCGACTGGTATCTCCACAACCTATGGTCGCGCAAGACCCGCTTCACCGTCTTCTTCTGCAAAGACAATGAACGATTCTACAAGAATCACAATCTTGTAAGTACTCCACTGTCCCATCAACATTAGACATACATACTAATCATTCAATCTTTGGTCTTAGTTGCTCATAAGAAAGCAATGTATCCAACACTACTGTGGCAGTAGCTTCTCGCATCCAGATATCAACTTCAAGTTGTTTGAGGGAGATTGGAACACCGACCGGGAGGTCCTTAACAACATCATTGAGTACTTTACTCAGGGTCACTTCATGTTCCTCATGACTCTAATGCCATTGCATTATATAGATAACTACTATGATTCCAAGGCTTTAAAGGTAGGTGCAATGCCTTCCATCCATGTACATCACGCCTCACTGCACTCCCTTCTAACTCACTCTTCAACGACAATGTAGGCCTTCATCAGTGAGAGCACAGCATACTTTATGAACATTGTTGAGCTTCATACTCTGTCGTTCAGAGGCTCGCATGCTCATTCATTCATCTACACATTCCGAGGAGGCTCGGAAGGTAGGGGACAGTTAATCCAGTTCAAGTCAAAGACAAACATTGCATTCAAGATGGAGCCAGAGTTCATTGGACATCTGGAAGCCAGCAATGCATACTCAAGACAGACACCAAGGGCCAGACTCCATATAGCCTCTGTCGCCAGGCTATTGCAGATCCGCAACGCGCCTGCCCAAAAAGAGGTTGCTAACCTCGACAATGACATGCTCTACGCATTCTGTCTCTACCTCGCACTTATGGAGGTAGTTCCACTGCGCGAGAGAACGTTTGACATACCTCTCAGCATCAACAAGGAATCAAAGTACCAAGAGGACTACTTTGACAAGTTCAAGAAGGTAGCCGAGTCCATCAACTGGGTCACCCACACCAACTTTGACGTCCTCCTGAGCAATGAAGACCAGAACGACCTCATTCTCATGGATATGTTCGACCTCAAGTACCTACTATTCATTCATCTACACGTTGCCAGTGGCACCCAAATGGAGACTGCAGTGGACGAGTCCGTGGTCAAAGCTGCCAAGGACATTTGGTCGATATTCACCCAGATGCCAAGGCCCGCGGTGGCAATGAGTGAGTTCCTTCAAGGCAGTGCATCAGATGATCAATCACGATGGGCCAAGGAGGTGTTGAGCAACATTGCCAACAACACTGCCGTCAACTCAAAGTTCACGGCCAAGCTTCATCGTATCCACAATCCTTTCCTGGACCAATTAAACATGGAGGCTGTTGGCGAGTTTGTGACGGCCAACGAGGCCCTCCCGCCACGAGTGGACGAGAATGACCAAGAGTTCTACGCCATCACTCACTATCACAACAAGGTGCTGCTGACACATCCAGATGCCTTCACCATCAGCATCAAGGATGAGTTCAAAACATCATCAAAGTACTCAGAGAAGGGCAAACAAAAAAGTGCATTGAGTAAGTACATTCATAGATTAGTTTCAATCATATCAATCAATCAATCAATCAATCAATCAATCACTCACTCACTCACTCACTCACTCGATCGATCGATCGATCAATCAATCAATCAGAGTTCTTCAAGGCTGCTCAGACATTATATGATGTGAATAAGAAGTTGATCATAACCAACCTGGATGATGACAAGAAGCAGCAGCAGAGCGAGGAGTCCAAGAAGAACTATCAGGTGTACAAACAGGACAACTCCAAGAATGTAAAGATCAAGAAGAAGGATTTGTCAACCGAGGTCAAGGATGCAAAGGAGAAGAAGGAGCTGGACACATTGAAGTACAACCTCAAGAGTGCCGACACCTTGAAGAAGTTGACCGACGCGCTGGGCGATCCACAGCCTGGCATAAATTATCTCAACTACGCCGCAATCGGTCTGAATAGGATGAGCAAGTACTACAAGGCATCCGACTCCAAGGCACTCTACCAACTGATCCAACGCTTCCTACGTGACCTGGACGAGCCCTTTGAGCTTGTGGCCCGTGGCAAGGGCTCAGAAGATCACAAGGACTTCCTCATATGTCTCCACAAGGCGTCCAAGTTGTTGGACATCAATGGTCTGAGCAACGCCCTCAACATCAAGTTCAAGCTCGGCCTGGTCATGCTGCCAGAGGAGGGCTCAATCAATCCAATCGACTTCCAGCTATCGACGGCACACGACACACTAATCAGAAGTACCGAGCAGATGAAGGATGACCGAATCAAACACTTTGCACCCGATGAATGGCAGCGACGTTTGCTCGACGTGGTCGACAACAAAGAGTCAGCCCTTATCGTCGCACCAACCTCCAGTGGAAAGACATTCATCTCATTCTACGCGTATGTATTCCGGTTGGCAACGCACACTCACTCAATCAATCAATCAATCACTCACTCACTCATTCATATTCCAACAGGTTCGAGAAGATATTGAAGCAATGTAATGATGGTATTGTGGTGTACGTGTCACCAACCAAGGCATTGGTCAATCAGATGTACTCTGAGGTGCTTGGACGATATGAGAAGAACTATGAGAACATCGTTGGTTCACATGCCGCCGCAAGATATCGCTTGGCTGGCGTGTTCACAAGGGACTTCCGCATTGATCACGAGAACTGCCAGGTCCTGATCACCGTGCCCCAGTGTCTGGACCTTCTTCTGCTGTCCGTCACCAACTCTGAGTGGATCCACCGTGTCAAATATGTAATCTTTGATGAGGTACATCAAATTGCCGGTGGCTTGCAGGGAGCGCTGTGGGAGCAGCTGCTCCTCATGAACCCAGCGCCATTCCTGGCCTTGTCCGCCACTGTTGCCAATCCAGATCAGTTCTACGAGTGGCTACAGCATGTAGACCCCGACAAGAAGGTGCACTACATCAACTACCAACACAGATTCAATGATTTGAAGATGTACCACTACACTCGCGAGGAAGAGGGGGAGGGACTCCGTAGGCCAAGATACATCAGACCCATCCATCCAATGGACACTCTCAGTACCAAGACTTCGACGAACCTACTGCTTTTGCTGCCCGAGGAGGTGCTATCGCTGTACAGACAACTGCAGGCCAAGTACAAGGGCAGGAACAAGGAGTTGAATGAACTGGACCCATACAAATACTTTGCCAACGAGGTGGAGAAGGAGTACAACCTGCAGAAGTTGAAGGTCTACGAGTACCAGGCCGCCGTGAAAGGCTTTATCGAGAAAGAGCGAATCATTGGCGGCGAGGACATCGCCGACGCACTGTGCAAATATACATCCAAGGAGTATGAAGTGATCCCGCGCTGGTCTATCGAGTCCGAGCTTCCTGGGCTCATTGAGGATCTCAAGAAGAAGGACTTGCTTCCAGTCATTGTGTTCCACTTCAGTCGTCACGGCTGCGAGAAGATGGCCAAGAGAATCTACCAGAGCGTTCAGGCGAAGCACAGTGACCCGGACAAAGACCGCAAGGTGTCCGAGCTGGAGTTCAAGATCCAGGAGCTAAAGGACGAGATCAAGAAGTCCAAGCCAGTCCAAGACGACCCCATTTACAAGGACCTGCGCGAGCTGCAAGACAAGCTCAGCTACCTCACGACGAGAAAGGCAGAGTATGGAACTGTCATCAAGGACGACGTTGATGATGACAAGGACAGCATCAACCCCCTCCAGAAGAGGATGTTGCTCGAGGGCATTGGCATACATCACAGCGGTCTGGGCAAAGCCTACGCGCAGAACGTCGAGGTGCTGTTCAGACGCAAGAAGATCCAGGTCATCATTGCCACTGGTTCACTGGCACTCGGTGTCAACATGCCCTGTCGCTCAGTGGTCATCGCAGGCGACAGTCCATACCTGAACACATTGATGTTCCGCCAACTGAGTGGAAGAGCTGGTCGTCGAGGATTTGAGCCTCGTGGACATGTCATCTTCTTTGGTGTGTCACAGCCACGTGCCAACCATCTGATCAACTCGAAGCTCTCTGATATTGTAGGCAACAGTGTCCTGTCGACCAGCTTGACACTCAGGATACTCAGTCGCCTGAATCTTGTGGACAAGATGAAAGACCAGGCGACCAAGAAGCAGGACTTGGCGTTGCTGTTGCACGCCACCAACAAGTTGATCAACAACTCTTTCTTCCTGCGCGACAATCCAGCACAGAATCAATTCATGTTCCACTTCTCACTGGACTACTTACATCGTCAAGGTTTCATCGACAGAAATGGACAAGGTGTTGGCTACGCTGGCATCATCTCCTATCTTCACTACCTGGAGCCCTACAACTTCATCCTGGCATCACTCCTACGCGACAATGTCTTTTCCCAGTACACCCAGGAGACCAAAGAGCATGAAGAGACCATCATCATCATTCTTTCCTATCTATTTGATCGTGTGGAGATATCACCAAGAATGAAGAAGCGTAAGTACTCAATCAATCAATCGATCGATTGTCATGTCCCCACTCGCTCACTTTCTCAATCAATCACTTTATAGTCTTCTCCAAGTACCTTATGAAGAACAACAATCTCTGCCCATCCATTGTCTACTTGCCAGAGCTACCAGCGAATGCCAAGTCATGCATTGACAAGCATAACATGACCTCTGTCGATACATTCAAGGGATACTTGTCATGCTACCAGGAGCATACAGTTGACAAGCACAACCTACTTCCCCTGCTCCCTGGCCACTCATTTGACAAGGGAATAGGAGGAGCCGATGCCTCAACACCCACCTGGAGTGCCCACTGTCAACCATACGTGGAGTCTTGCATGGTTAGACGTGGAGTGGCTGCCATCAATGGCTCCAGCAACCTGGCAACAGTGTCGACGCTCACCAAGAACTTCCCAGTTGACACATACTTTGATCACTCACTGCTGCCAATGTGTGATTACAACGTAGAGTTGAATAGCTATCTGTTGGACTTCTACCGCCATCAACAGCTCAAGACCTTAAAGAAGGCCAATGACATGCAGGAAGGAGACATCTACAGCAATGTCAAGGATTTCATTCTCGTCCTCAAGGTCATAGGTGTCATCTTGGAGCTCAACGATCCAACTTCTCCCGTCACCAAGGCATTCCTTCGTCTGTCCAGCAAGTTCAATGACAAGTTCAAGTCTGTTGCCGCATTTAACCAACGCTAAACTATAAATAAACGCGTCATCCATCTTTATAACTTGACACGAAGCATTGGTGATTGTGATTGCTTGATAATCCTATTCAGGTTGGTATAGTTGGCTGATGAGTAGCTTGACCTGCTGGTGAGGTTGACGTACTTGAGACCATGGACTACGTTGTTGACTTGATGTGTAACTTGTCCTTGTGCTTGATCCAACAACTGGAATGGTACTCTACATAAGAAGTGAAGCATTATATACACTGAATTGTAATCGAAGTGACACCTTGACAAGTTCAGATGTAGCAATGATCTATTCGATGTCAATATCGCCAACACTGGATGGACAATACTAATATGGTTCTCTATTTTGATTGGAATGATTCCAGAGTGAAAGTTAGTATTCCAAGGTGTCATGAATTCCATGGAACAATGTAACAAACTCACTTGAGATGTCCAGATGAGTCAATGATCTACTCTTCTTTAGACCCATTGATATTAGGTCTAGATGATGATTCTGAAGTCCACATTCAGACATTACAAGTGTCTCCAATGTAGTATTCTTTGAGAAAGCCTCGGTAAGGTTGTTCAAGTTAAGTGAGTCGATGCTATTCCTTGATAGGTCAAGGTATCTAAGTGGAGGATTCAACTCTAGACTTTTGAATATGGAGTTGAATCCATCCACTGAAATGCTGTTGCCAGAGACATCCAGGTGAGTCAAGGAGTGATTTTCCACAAGTGGTGTGGAGATGTTGTTGATGCCTCGGTCGCCAAAGAAGTTGTCAGACAGATCGATATGAGTAAGTGATTGATTGAGTTTCAGTGTGTCTCCAATGCTAAGTGCTCCCCATCCCTCGACATCACATCCCTTGAGGTATAGCGTTCGTATATTATTAGTTGCTCTAAGTCCATTGCTTAATGCCATCATACTAGTATAGTCTGATCTGTTGTCTGGATTGATTGATTGGATTTGGTAAGTCAGTGTCTGGGACAGACATTTGATGCTACAGTACATACATGACCAGTCCAAGGTTGTCAAGGTTGGACACTTTGATATTATCTCGCCAATTAACTCTAGTCCATCAACTGCATCGCAAGCTAAATGAAGTGACATGTAAGTCAGAATGTACCCGCGGGTAAAGAGTCTACATAACATACATTGCAGATTGAGCTCTGTGATGCATGATGTATATGGTGCTCTGAATATGCTACATAGTGCACTGATGCCATCGTTACCCAATGGATTTGATTGAAGGTTCAGCTTTGTAAGCTTCTTTGAGAGGACTATGTTGTTGTCCTTGATGGCACCCATGATTGTGTCCACATTGTCGAATGACAACTCATTCATTGAGAGGTCCAAGCATGATAGACTAGTCTGCTTCGTAAGCGCACGGAGCATAGTGGCTACAGTTGTGGCAATGTCATTTGAGCTCGACAATGATGTGTCGCCTGTTGACACGACCTCCAGCGTGGTGACCTCGTTGAACACGGTTGGGAACAAGTTGACGTAGCGATTCATGTTGTGTCTGCTGAGTGCCAGATGCTTGCACATTGACTTGGTGACCAATGACCATCGCCTATTGACCAGCTGTATCATCGTCCTGTTCTTGTTGTCTGAGCGCCAGCACTCACTCTCATTCTCCGAGTCATCGATCGCACGTCTAAAGCATTCTTGGAGCAATCGATCGTTAAAAGCCTGCTCGATTGTGAGTTGTCCAATGATGAATGATGGTTCAAAGTCGTCTTCATCACTGTCGTCGTCCACGATATGCACCTGATCAAGTGACATGGACTCATCCCCATCACTCATGCTTGCGTCATTCATCTTGATATTCTGTATTTGTTGATCGATTGATCGGCTGATTGAATGAGTGCACTCATTTGTGATCAAATGAAATTTGGCGCGCGAGAGTAACAACAAAGACGAACTTGATGAAGGATATTTATTACACAATTTGGACTTAGTTCCAGTCACGGTTGGGCATCAACACTGGACCCATCAGTGTCCAGAGGTAGAGCAGATGAACCAGCCAGCAGCTGACAATCTTGACCCAGACGGACGCCATGCCCGAGTCAATGTTGAGCGTGGCACCGCCAGTGGAGCCGGTGATGGTCGACCAGTTGGTCAGCAACATGCCAATGTACATGGCGCCCAGCGCAAAGGTAATGTGGAAGAACGTGTAGTTGTAGGCAACACCGCCACGCTCGTCATCCTCTATGTTATCGGCATTGTCGTCGCCGTTGACGATTGGTATGGTCTCAACGTTGTTGCTTCCAAGCAGCTCGTTCGAGTCTGATGCTCTAAAGGCGGCGTAGCACACCGAGATGATTGTGAACACTGAGCCCATCACAATAGTGTAGTTCTTTGAGCTACCAATGTTTGGCTCACTCATAATAGCACTGAACACCAAGTATGCTGCGTACAACATCACAACACCAGATTGAAGGAGTCCAGATGATGGTCTATATTCTCTCACCTAATAATGATTGATTGAGTGAGTGAATGGAATGATTCCGGTTGATTGATCATGACTTACCTTCTCTGTGATTGAGAGTAAACCGATGATGAGCGATATGCCCATGTTGAAGATAATGAAGAATTGATTGAGACTGGATGTCTTGGACCAGAGCACCAACATGGTGATAGAGAGGGCCAGTGAGAGTGCTACTGTGCCAATGGAGGAGATGAGAAGGAGGATGTACCACTTCTTGGTGACGTGTCCCTCGTCCTCGACCTTTTGGATCCAGTTCTCGCTGATTGAGTAGGCAAACTCAATGAGCAGCACCAGCTGGATGAGAATGAAAATGGCGGCGCCAACCAACGATACCCATGCGTAGTACTTGAAGAAGCTGTTGGGGATGAAGAATGTGACCACGGTGAAGCCGGCCAAGAACAACAGTTTGAGTGGCCAGTAGCCATCCTGAATGGATGCGCGTCCATTCTCTGAAGACTTGACTCCAATGAGTACCAAGCCCAACAATATATGATACACAGCCAATGCGAATGTAAGTCTATACACAACCAATGATCCATAACACTCATCATCATGAGAGCATACTTTGAATACTATATATTATATATTGTTTGATTGATTGAGTAAGTGATTCATTCGTTTGATTGAATGATTGAGAGAGTGAGTAGTACACATACCATCAATATTCTTGAACCAACTATAAGCATATGAACTGAAGAGATATGAAAGTATTGATACAATCATAAAGTTGATGACGTAGAGCATTCTTGTACCTGTCGACTTCTTGATGACACTACCAAAGCATGATACACCATAGCAGCAAGTGACTGCTCCACAAGCAGCCATATCGCACATCTTTGTAATTGTATTTGTTTTAATAGAGATAATAATATATAATATATATATTGATTGAATGAATGTGAGTAAGTGTGTGAATGATTGTGAATGAAAGTGAGCGAAAGGTCGAGAAAGTGAAGGAATCAACCACTTCTTGCAATTCCAAAAACAAAAGTTGAGTTTGTCCCTCATTCTCAGGACAAGAGGTGGTTTCGTGGACACACGCTCACTCTTCGATCAATCAATTAATTAATGGATGAATGAATGTCGTTGGCACTCAAACAAACACCATACTTTGGTAATTTATTGTCTGAATCGATCACCGAAGAAGGACTCCTTCCATGGAGGACATTGAGGTGGCAACACCAACACCAATACCAGAACCAGAAGTCTTTAGACATGATGAATGGTAGGACATCATGCCATCGTGGCCTCCTAATGTGCAGTCGCTGACTTGCAATGGCAGATGACATTTAGCACAGTTGAAGCATTCTCTATGGTAGTAATGACCCTTGACCACAACCAACTGAGTCGTGCATGATAGCTGCTCCTTGCAAGACGTACAATACTTGTTCAATTGACGTGTTTGCGTGTGAGTCGCTGTGGCAATTGGTAGTGGCTGTGTTGTTGTCGACGTGGTCGTAGACGTGGATGATGTGGATGCATAGTTGGTTCGAGCTGGTGTAACCTTGAACCTGTTGTTGCTGTTGGTCGGGGCCATAAGGTTGGAGCTGCTGACGTTCTTGCGAACGACTATTGTCTGCTTGCCACCAGATGAGTCGCGCTTGGGTACGGTTCGAAGTGTGTAATGAGCACCTGGTATCTTGTGCATAATAGTCATCTCTGATCCTGACCTCTTTTGCAACATTGGTGCATGTCCATTGTTGTTGTTGTTGTTTGGTTGTTGCTGTTGTTGTTTGAACTGCTGTACAACTAGATTCACTCTTGATGTCGTCGGCGATGTTTGTGTCTTGTTGCTGTTGTTGCTGTTGCTGTTGTTGCTGTTGCTGTTGTTATCTATTAGTACATCATTGTTGTTGTTGTTGGTTGTCTTGGGTGGTAGTTGTGGAGGAGGCATTGGTGAAGGTGGTCGGAGATACTTGGTCGGTGATGGGGTTGGCTTGTTGTTGTTGCTGCTCTGTTGTTGTTGTTGTACAGGTGGAAGTATGTTTCGTGGTGATACTACTGGTGGAGTACGATGTGATAATGTAGGAGATGGTACTGTCGTTGTCGTAGTCGTCTGTGACTGTGTCGTCGTTTGTGTTTGTGATTGTGTAGTCGTCTGTGGCTGTGGCTGTGGTTGTGGTGGGGTTGGCAATGGGCGACCCTTTGGCGGAGGCGGCAGGGGCGTCTGATTGTTCTGTATCTGTGATCGTTTGAATCGATTGACGTTGTTCAGTTGATTGTAGATGTCGTTGTCTCGAGTGTGATGAGGGCCAGTGTGAGGTGGATGGCTGCCACTGGGCGCCAGCATGACTGAGTTGCTAACATTCCTGCTTGAGATCTGCAAGGGGATGTCGGGCAGCGCCTTTGAGTATTGGCGCGTTCGCTCCATCACTGGTATCGGTGCAGTCATTGACTTGGGCGGCGTGTTGGATGGCGTGCCACACTCTGGCGACTGCGGATCGTGAGTGGACATACCCCCAGCGCCGGGTGCCGTGATGATGATGCCCTTCTCAGGCGAGATGTCGATGCCTGTCTGATGCATGTTCTTTATCTTCATCTGTTCCATCGCGCGCTCCTTCTTCTCCATGGGCGTTGGTGGCAGAGGAGGCTTGTATCGCTCAGGTCGTCGATACGTGGCCAGCGAGCCTGCATGAGGTGAGTGTGATATGTTGATCGCATGCAGCTCTGCTCCCACATCAATGTGATTGCTCGATGCCGACGTGGGCAATGTGTGTGACGATTGATAGCTCTTGCTGGTCGCGGTCTGGAAGCGACCAATCGACATTGACTTGGGTCCGAGACCCTCTGCTGGAGCACGCTTGTATCCGCCGCCTCCGCCACCACCGCCATTGTTGAACTTGAAATTCTGTATCTCATCCTTGACAGGGATGATGGGATAGGATGGTCGGAGGTTGGGCGACGATGGTACAGCACTGACGTGTATCGATGTGTTGCCAGGGGAGCTGGATAGGTAGCCGTTACCGCCGCCCGAGGGCGCGGCCGAGTTTGACTCGTGAGGGAACGACGACGAGGGCGTGTACGAGGTGGAGGGCGCGGTGGACTCCTTGAAGAAGTTGTAGATCTTGAGCTTTTGCTGATTGGACGTGTTCTTGATCTTGTCAAAGAAAGTGCTGCTGCGGCAGTCGGCGCAGTACACCTGGAATCGCTCGCCGTCCTTGCGCTTCAAGATGATCTTCTCGCGCTCCACCTGGTGCAGGCCAACCGAGCAGTTCTTGCATCGGAAGCACTCGTGGTGCAACGTAAAGTCCGAGAAGACGATCGTGGAGCGGCTCACCGTCGACTCCATGCAGATCGGGCAGTCGTACTGGCTCTGGCGCTTCGAGGACACGGTGGGGATGATGTCGCAGTTGATCTTGGCGTCGGCCAAAAAGGCGCAGACGCCCGTGTCCTCCAGCATCGTAAACTCGTTTCTCCTTCTGATTGAAGAACATCTCGATCATCTGTGAGCACACCAGTGCCTCGAGCAACTTCTTCGTCTGGCCACTGTGTGCCTGTTGCAGAAAGTGATCCTTGTTGAACGTGAATGTCGCTGTCGTGCCAGGCTCCTTATAAAAGAACTGATTATAATGTTGAAACAAGTGATAGATCACAGAGTAGAATGGTTTACGAAGTGAATGGTCGATTGATTTGTTATCTGTATCCATTGAGTGTTAGTGATGGGCGTGGGTGGGGCGAGGGCCGAGGCTGGAGTGAATCCATTCCAGACGAGGGGGTGGTCCTTACATGTTGGCTGATCTTGTTTCAGCCTCTTGAGTTTGTTCTCGAGGTAGTTGGCTATGTGTGGCGGGAGTAGCGACTTGAAGCCAGGATCGATCATGAACTCGCACTTGTCCAAGTTGTACATCAGTACTTGTTCGGTTGGTTGTTGATAGAATGACTTGAGCGAACTATCCAATATGCCCACCAAGAATGGTATTGGTGCTGCGACATACGGCATCAAAGGCTCTGGTAAAATTGAGATGAATATGTGCTACAAGTGAGGTAGGTTGTTAGGGACGAAGGTCCAAGGGTCCAAGGTCCAGGTCCTCGTGGACCACAATCAATCAATCAACTTACTTGCCAAACGAATGGATTGATCAATGAATGAATGGCCAGGATGGTATTGGATATCCTGGAGATACTGCTGGAGCAGAGGATCACCCTTTGCTCACAGAGCATAGACTCAAACAGCTTGATGACGTGCTGTGTCTGCATGTTGAACACAGTTTCGTAGGAGATGTGATCAAACTCTGTGTTTGGAGGCGTGTAGCAGATGTCGTAGTTCTCTGTCTGGGCCTTGTTGGCCGACACCCTCACCTTGCTCACCAGTCCGCTCGTACTCAGCGGGAAGGTCAACAACGATGTCAATATCTCGCTGATGCAGAACTTCAAGTTCCTCAAGTATTTCTCCTGTATCAAGTCGAACAGTTCATCAAACAATGTGAAGTGAGGCCTGGCAAGGGTATATGTGTGAGTGGGTGATGCACGAGGCTGGGATAGTCCCTTGGGGGGTGGGGCCTTCGGGGTCCTCCCGCGTCAGAGTGTGTACACATACCTTAGACTGAGGAATACAAAGCATACAGGCTCACTACGTATCAGTCGTCTACAATATGCGAATGTCTTGCCACCAAATGAGTTGGTAAGTATGAAAGAGAAGCTGGCAATAGTCTCGACGCCACTAATATGATTGAATGAATGAATGAGTGAGTTAGTGATTGAGTCCAAGTCCAAGCCAAGGTCCAAGCCTAAGCCAATAACATCTATGACATACGATTTGATTAGAGTATCCATCACACTGCTTGACTCGGGGAAGCAGAACTGTTGTATCTTTGAATCGTCGGCCTCATCCTTTGTCTCCTTCTTGTCCTTTGGTATCCATTTGAATGTGATTGAAGGTTTGAAAGCTGGAAATAAAGAAAAGCATGAGTAATCAATCAACCAAAGGTCAATCAAAGGTCAACCGAGGATTAACATACTGGTTGGATCAAGTTGTGTTGTCAGGAACTTGGTAAACAATCCATTGTTGTGCTTTGAGCTGAATCTACGGAGTCTACTCAATGAGCCACCACCGCCAGTGGTTGGATATCCAGAGGTCTGAGTTGGAGTATCATCCAACATCATGTTTGGTCCTGTCACTGCTCTATAAATCGCTTCGCCTGCGAGCACACGAACAACTAGTATTGAGTGAAAGAGTGAAAGAGATAGGGATGGAGAGTAATGTAAGTGATTGAGATTGAATGATTGATTGTTATTGATTCAATTCAATTCCATCCATTCATTCATTCATTCATTATTTACATTTATAATCTCTGATGCTTGCTTGCTCGCTTCGTCAACCTGTATGTTTGAGTGTGGATTGATTGATTGATTGATTGATTGATTGATTGATTCAAGGATGATGCTGCACCTATTGCAGATGCAGGATGTTGAATACCCTTAGTGATGATGCTGCTGCTGCTGACGCAGAGTCGTATTGGGGATGAGTTGTACTATAGTTGTGTTGGGTGGGGGATTGATGAGTGAATGAATGAATGAATGATTGATTGTGTTGTGTGCTGATGGATGTGGATGATGGATGAGATGGATGTGGGAAGTGTGTGATCTATCGTCAACCCTTAAGGTGTGTCTCTGTTTCTGTGTCTGATTGATTGGAGTGAGTGATGTTGCTGTTGACAGTTGTGTGAGTGTGATTGATTGATCGGGCCACCAACAAGTCGGTATTGATTGATTGTTTGATTTTGATTAGTTGTGTATTTGATTGATTGAATGAATGTTAAATATAAGTATAAGTGTATATATAAATAAATATTACATACAAACAAAGAATAGGGATTGTATATGTATGTGTGTGATGCAAGGCAGCCTGCAAGGTAGTATAGGAGATAGGTGAATTGAGTGTGACCCTAAGTCTTGTCCTTTGTTAGATTGAATGGCCCCTTCAATGCCACCTTTTGTGTTGATGGCCATCCTGCAAAGGACCAAAACCAAGGCCTTGAGGAATCCAAAAAACACAAACCAACCAACACCAAATCACAAAACAATTCAAAAATCTGCACTGATGATGCCCTGATTGGTGAAGAATAATTCAGAGACCCACTCTCTCTGTATGATGTTATCGCTTCTGAGCCACAACACCAAACTTGTCATGTGACGGGTAATGGCACGATCCATCAATCGGGAGTGTTGATCATCCACTCACTCACACACATCAATCAACCAATCAACCAATCAGTCAACCAATCACTCGATCACTCCACTTCACTTCACGATTCGTTTCCACTTCATTGTTTATTAAGTATATCGGTCAGTTGTTTCTGTTGCTGGACGGAGCCAGCAACACCGCCACTGACACCCAGTAGCTGTGCCAGTTGTTGTCGCTGCTCCGGGGTCCTCTGCTCGAGCGCATCGAATAGTTGGTCCAATTGATCAATCTCTTGTTTGGTGCCTTGTTGATGCACAGACACCTGGTCCATCAGGGATTTGTGCTGCTTCTTGTTGGCGAACGACTTGAACATCATGCCGAATGTGGCCAGGCCCAGAATGACCCAGGCCAGGTCGCCGTGTCTGTTGAGCATCATGCGCCATCTACTCTGCTTGTTCCTCTCGTGTCGCTCTCGTGCCGTTCTCATCAACTCTAGCTGCTCCCTCAACTGCGACTCTAGACCCGTTGTATTCTCCTTATACTGAGTGAACATCTTATCATAAGATGTTGGGTCAAAGTTCTTTGCCAACTTGTCGTCCTCAATCTCTTCATCATCTTTATCTTCCTCCTTATTCTTCTTCTTTGTATTATTATTATTATTGTTATCATTGTTGTTGTTCTTTGTACAGTATTGTCTTTGTTGTTGTTGTTGTTGTTGTGTTAGCCTTGAATGTTGCTGTTGTTGTGGTAGTATATATAATTGATGAAGGCGCGGGGCGCATGAGAACATTGATCTGTTGACACCATTGCTACTACTAGCAGCAATGACTCTATGTAGCCTACTGCTTAGCATGTTTGAAGATGTATATGTATATGTATTATATTAATGAATGAGCGAATGAATCTGAATAAATGATCATCATCTCGCGAAACTTTCAAAGTGATTGAAACGTGGAACCATGATAAATTGCTAGTAATACGTGTAAAGGGATATTGTCGCGCTGAAGAAATCATTGAACGTTCGTTCCAACCGATGTATTGGTTGAACTACGAGTTCAATGTGAGGTCATTTATTTGTTCCCAGAGTATCCAAGCCCGCTGGCCGGACACTCAAGAGAGATATCTAAGATTGATCATCATCAAGTGACTAACTCGACGATGACTTCTTGTTCGGTATGCATGCTGTACAGTAGGTCAATCGATTGCCACTGCTACTGCTGCTACTGTGCTTTGATATTGACTTTGGACTAGGTGATCGTTTGATTGGAATATGAGTGTTGTTGTTGGTCGAAAGCGTTGAAGATGAAGAGGAGGAGGAAGAAGATGAAGCTGAAGTTGAGGACGCTGAATGAGAGGAGGATGGTATAGAGGAGGAGGAATAAGAGGAATATGATGGCGAGGACTTACTAGAGAAGCCACACTTGTTGTAAATGTTACATTGATCGCATATCATTCGTCGACATGTTACACATTGGCTTCCAGTCCTGCGTCGACTTCTCGAACTGACGATATAGAGTGAAATGGCTCGGTTGCATGAGGAACAAGCATTTGAGTTCCTCAACAGCAATGATGACTTTGGTATTGGTGGCGATGCCTGTGAAGCTATTGAGCATGGACTCCTACTATTACTACTTCTGTCGTCGTCACTGGATACACCTCCACCGCCAATATCTAGTGGAGGTGGATAATAGACATCCCTGGATAAAAAGTCCGCTGAAGAAAACAAATATGGCGAGGAACTATTATTGAGTAACAATGGTGAGCTGTAACTATTGCTTCCACTGTTTCCACTGCTCCCACTATTGTTGTTGTTGTTGTTGTTGTTGTTTCCATTGATGCTACTGCTGATTGATAATGAAGCCAGTTGTAATGTATCTGGTGAGACAAACATTGTATCAATGTCTGGCGATATTGACAATATATTGGATGATTGTACTTTAATCATATCTTTTTTATAAAGGTATATATTTATATGTATATATATAATATATTATTATTTAATTATTACTAGTTATTATAAGTATGGAATAGTAATAATGAATGATTGATTGAATGATTATATTAACAAGATTGGTTGGTAATTATTGGTGATGTTTGTTATTTGTATGTTGACAAGGAATACTCTATGGTGTGTATCTCTTTGATTGTTGGGCATTACCTCTTTAACGTTGGTTGGTGTGTTTGGTTGTTGGTTGGCAGTGAGTAGAATATGTATATTTATATATGTGCTATGTGTAGTGTACATCCAATGTATGCAATCAAGTATGTATGTATGTAATTACCAATGACTTTGTGCTAATGATCATTCACACAACTTCAACTCTCTAAGTATGAGTAACAAACTTATTACAACTACTCTTCACACTCACACACAACACTCACACACTCACTCACACATTGACCAACAATCTACAACAACAACAACAACAACAATTAGTATTACTACATACTTTGCTGCCTGGTTTGCAGTGAGAGGGCAAATACCAATACATCGCCAAACAGTCGATAAACAAGCTGAACCAACAATGGTAACAAATAAACACACATTGTCGACGTGTCGATGTTGATTAGAGGTTGTGAATAGAAGTAGGAGTAGTAGTAATAAGTATGGTAGGATGGGATGGTGAAGGTCAAGGTGGTGCAGTGCATCTCAATATTGATCGCCACCACTCTCTGATCCATCACAGTATCCCTCCGTCGAAGGATGATTCCCCCTCCCCCGATTTGTACACGTATAACTCTAACTGGATTATGATTGAGTGTTAGTATTTGTTTGTGTGTTGCTTCGAAGAGAGATGTGTGTTATGCCGCTTCAGAGGGCCAACAGTCGCCTCATTCATTATTTATAAATATGGTGTTGTTGATTGATTGATGGTGTTGTCTTTGAGTACCTGTACGATTATGTGTTTGTGAGTCATGAAGTTGTTGTTATTGTTGATCACATCGTATCACACTCTTTGGATGAATGTGAATAACAACAAAGCACCGTCATCACATTGTTATTGTTGTTGATGGTATTGAGTGTGTACAATGAATGTTATTCGACAGGTAAACAATGATTGATTGATTGTTTGTTTGATAGATATATTGAATGAATGTTTGATTGACTTTAGTTGACGATTTTAATGACCCATGGTCAAAGTCACAATCAAGACAAGAACAAATTATATCTGTTCCAACTAAACTAACAAGCTATGAATGGTCCAATATCCAATATTGGTATCATCTTAAGAATAGTACTATCCCATCTATCACATTGATGACCATTCAATCAATCTTAGGCCGTGAAGTTCACTTTTTGGAATTAGCAATATTACACACAACCCATAAAGTATGCATGATGATTTTCGAGTGAATACCAGGGTTTTTTCGAAATGGTTAGTTCAAGCTCTGTCGTCTGCTCATCACGTACGCTCCAATCGCCTTTTACTATTGCTGAGCCCGTGGGCAGGCGACTCCAAAGAGCATTCAACATTTTTGTGAGGGTATCAATTCCCTTAACACCTCCCAATCCAAACATAAAGATAAACAATCATTCATCAAACAAACAAATAATACATTATCACTCAATCAATGATTGTATACATTGATATGTAGTAGTTATAACAAGTAGTTATTTTTATATAATGCAATTCCAAGAGATTGTTGATGACTTGTATCACAACATCATAGTTGGCAAGAGGTTACCAGATACCAACAACAATAATATCAACTATAACAAACAAACTAATTGGAGTTGGTTATCTGATAACCTTATTCAATTACTTATACGTCATCCAGAGGGTATAACATACTCAATAATCAAAGCTGAGTTACAGTTGATGGTATGTGTAAACAATGTAAATTCAATAATTCAATCACTCGCTCATTCTCAATCAAACAAAGTGGGATCAACATGCTACAGTTATTATAAATGACAAAAAGGAAGCGCAGCAGACAAGGTATCTGTCTTCATACTTTCGAAAGGATGCAATACCTTATGATATGGTAGTTGAAACATCAGTGTTGGAGATTGATCGATTGGGTGATGTAGCGACGTACACAACTTCATTAGTCAACAATAACAACAACGCTCAATCCCAGGTCAGTCAAGATGACTTGAGCTTCAACTTTAGCTTTGTCCAAAGCAATAGCAGTCAACAGAAACAGCAGCCCAATACCAATGTTAACAATGGCGTGACTCAACAAACACCATTGTATCGACTGAAGATTGGTGACCAGAAGTCATCAATTGATCACTATCTTCATCCAAAATACAACATCTTGCTTGAGTTGGCAGACCCTATGATCAAACCAGTACGTAAATACACCCTCGTTGTTGGCACTGGAACCATTCCATCCTAACTCACACTCAATCAATCAACAGGAGACCAAGTTGCAAATGACAAATATCATCACAACATATCCAATGAATCCCTTTGATAGGTCTTATGGCAAGCTGGTCACACTTCCAACTGAGAACATTGGTGTCATCCTCAAATCAGGGACGGCGATTCCAGATCTTTATCAGTTTGGTCACATTAATGGCACTTTGTCACATCCAACTCTGACATCTTGGTTACAACTACGTGTGACCTCTATTGATGCACATCCAACCAAAGTAACCGACGAGATCAAATGGAACAATCAACTACCACATGACAGACACTTTGAGTACTTCCTCAAGCAATGTGTATACCTTGTGGCGGTGGACAATACTCAACAACAAAAACAACAGCAGCAGATCAAGATAGTCTTTTGGGATATGATGTGCAAGTCGACCAATCTATTCCAACCGGATGATATACTACTCATACATGGACTATTCTACAATCAAAGGTTATCAACTGAATTGCTACGAGTGTTTGAGGCGACATCCACAACGGTCATATGCACCATACTACCTGCTGTCAAGGATTGTAACATGACAGAGAGTCAACTACAAGATACAGAAGATCGCGATATGAGTGACTACCCCGACAGAGTCAAGATCAATCAATTGGAGAGTGGCATGCATAGTGTATCCCTAGTGGCCAGGATAGTCCATGTTGGAAAGATAGTAAGTCGGCCGACTCTTTCATTCTTACTCAATCATTCAATCAATCATTCTTACTCACTCCACTCATTCAATCAATCAATGTTCAGAAATTGAATGAGCAAGGTATCAATAGTCTGCCATTGTTACTTAGTGATTCAGATGGACAAACGATCACATTGGTCTTGAGTGCAGGATTGACAAGGTCAACGTCAAACTATCGTGTTGGCCAGCTATGTTTCTTTTCCAATCTATTTGTGGCTTCAGAAGTAGACAAGAAGAAGCGACTCTATGGTGATGATGAGAAGAAGTCCAAAGTTCATCCAAGTATGTACTCCATCAATCAATCAATCAATCTAGTGATGATATTAACATATATTGAAAATGATTATATAGTCAGCACATTGATTGGAATACTCAACTCTAGATTCCTATATAGACCCATTCAATCATTATCACAACAAAAGGATTGGGACAACACTGTTGTATCCGTGGAGATTGTTGACTTGGTACTCTACGATGAGCAACGTCAGAATCCATTGTTTGCATTCCGTATGTTACCTGTTATACATCCATCCATCCAATCACTCACTAACTCATATTACTTTAGACAAGTCATGTCAGAGACTACTTGCACCGAGCAAGACAAATAACAATGGATTTGAATGTCCACATTGCCAATGTTATGTTGATGCAAATGATATGGAACGTCTATTCCACCTCTCCTACAAGTTACGTGCAATCAATGATACTTTTGTGATTGAAGCAACACCAGCCTCGCCTGGTTTACATAGAGTATGTAGATTGATTTATTGATTGGTTGATGAATGGATTGAACACTAATATTATGCTCACGAGTAGGAATTATTAAGAATCACAGAGGCAGAGTTTGAGAATCTACAAACCACTGATCAGAGGAAGAAGATATTGTCATTGGCAGTCAATAACCAATTTATAATTTCATTGTCCACTTCTAATAGTGGACCATTGACATCCAGCCGTTCTGGAGCATCAACAGAGAGAAAGGATACATATAGGATTGACAGTTGTTGGAGAATGGATACATAAAAAAAATCGATCAGTTTTTTCTTCCAGGCCCTGTTTTGGGCCCAAAAGGATAGGGCTCTTCCGGGAATCGAACCCAGACCACTATCACCCTAAGATAATATTGTACCATTCAACTAAAGAGCCTCCAAATTTCGTCAACATATTTTATCTGTTTATGAGTGCTTTTTCAGCCTGTGACCTTGAAAATAACTTATCCCAGATTATGAAGGTTGACAGCTTCTGCCTCCAGTACAAGTCTACTTGATTGATTTTCTGGGATGGAAATTAGCGAGTGTCTTTTCAGACTCTGGAAAAAAGGCTAGGGGTCATTCGACTCTACATATGAAGGGCTGGTCAAGGAGTTCTTGTTGATCAACATGAGTGAACAAAGATGCAGAAGGCTCGATCGTGATATGTGTAACCTCATTCTTCGCATGTCATTCCAATATATTGATAAGAAGAATGATTCTATATTTCCCGAGCTAATGGCATTCATCCAAAGACTCTATATATTTGATGAACTAGTGCAAACATTCCCTGGACTTATACACAAGATCACATTCCTTATAGAATTTATCAAATATTTCCAACTAGATAATCCAACAGTATGTATTATTATTACTAATATTAATATTTTGTATTAATTTTGTAAAATTATAATTTGCACTATTCAGGTTGCCAATCAAAAATATTTGGAGATATTATCCAGACTAGTCCATACCGAAGATGAATCAATAGATATGATAAAGATAGTTAATCTCTCGAAGATCGGTATGTATATAGATATTTTGTTTAACAGAGTTCATATACTTTTGAGAACAATGATGGCCAGTGCTAACAATATTATTCCCATCTTTCAGAGAACCAAGTCAACATCCCCTCAGTTCAAAGGTTGATTACATTGAATAGTTTGAACAATAGGTTCAAACTGAGGACTTGGAATTCCAACATTCACAGGACATTCATTGTGTCCTTCCCCAAAGAATATCTTGACTTCATCAAGACTCTAACAGAGGATCAACTCAAACAAGTTGGTCAAGAAATTAATAGCAATATATCATTCTCTAAACTAGATACATGGAAAGAAACTCACTTGTCTAGATATATAATATATAATTCTATTCTTTATAATATTGACATTTGTTCTACCTACGTTCAACCATTCAAATAGTTTGTTTATGTCCCATCTATTCCTTCATGTACTAATGAGCAATACTCACTGGTTGGACGAACTCAATTCGATACCAATGGCAAACAAATTGAGTCTGTTGTCCCTTGGAAACCCAAACAATTTCAATTGTCTATCATATATTCAATCAGCTATACTCAAGACAGAGGAAACATCCTCACGAATCCAATTCATCCTCAAGAGTCCAACTTACGACTATCCTCAGATGCCAGCACTAGAGGTAATACCCACTATAGTATTTATAATACTTAACCATTCCTAATCAATCAATTAATCAATGAACTACCATTTAAATTATTAGGATATTAAGAACTTGGAGGAGTTGACCAAGAGTGAGATAGCTCATCGAGATGTTGTCAGGGTGCCAATGACCAAGGAGGTTTACAAGACATTCTACCAAATATGTTCAATTCTCTCTTATAAGATGGTGGCCCTGGTTCCAGACCATAAAGGATTTAACCAACCAACCTTGCTCAACATTCTGTTTGTTAGAAAGACTGTACCAAGTATACTAGAGGATAGTAAGAAGGGACTGAACCTTTGCCAAATCTCAGCCATTCTTTCAGTCCGATTGCCAAGAGATCAAGGAGTGCCCCACTGGAATGAGGAGTTACAGGAGCTCCGCTAGAGCAGGACGCGAGTAAGTACTTATATCAAAGATACATATCTATTACAATCAATAATTAATTATTATTATTCTACTTTAGATCTTGGATGTAATCCATTCATACGTCGATAAATTCATCCAATCATACACTGGCCTGCCCGACCAAAGGGAAGCATTGCTTTCTTTCAACAGAGTATTGAAGGATTTGGAGATACATATTCAATCATGTCAAGTGTTAATAGTTTGTTCAAGATCACAGTAACAAGTTGGTGTAATATACAAAGATTAATTTGACTTTGGAGGCCATGTCTGAGATATTCCAATCATTGTCAATTCACATCAACATTTCCAAGTATGGGGAAGAGCCGAAATCAATGACAATCAAAGAGATGGATTCAAGGTTACACGCATTATCACATCAAGATTCATTCACTTTGATCAATGATATCTCTCAGAAATTCCTTACCCACTTTGGTTTGGCCCTACCAAGGACCAATAATGTCTTCTCAATCATCTTTTGTTATATGATCAAACAATATGATGGCATGTTGGACATGGATATGGTATGCAGTCAGACCATTCAAGTGATGGAGGACATTATCAACACCAAGTTGACCACCAAAGTCAGTCCAATACTATATAAAGAATTGTCCGAGATTCCAGATAGCACCACTGATGACCTTGTGTTCATGTAAGTTATATCCATCCCAACAATTGATCACTCCTGGCCATCATTTATTTACACCTAGTTATCTCTCTATTTAGATTCAAATACCTAAGACCCGACGGCCAGTTTGATCAAGACACTCGCTTCATTATGAAGTTCATCAAGAATGTCATCTCCATCAATGGATACCACAACAATCACTCTATGTTGACCAACTTTATCAAGTCGTTCCCACTGCTAATGATCACTGATGTTGATGAAGCCAATGATAGGATTGTCCAGTGTATCAAGAACTTCAATGGAGAGCAGGATCATGATACCAAGTGCCAGAATGAAGTTGGTGGAATGTTGTACACCCATTTGGAGCTATTCAAGTATCTGTCTCATGACCTGATCCAGTTCTTTGCCAGCTTCATGACATCATCCAACTTTATCAAGACCAGTGCTAAAGTAAAGTCGCACCTCTCCTTGGACAAGACAATGTTCGCTCTGATGGAGGATATTCAACAGTTGTACTCAATGATTCAACCAATCATTGAAGCACATACTCCAGGCAGCATGAATATCCCTTCCACCACGCAAGAGTTCTGTTCCAAGATGTTTAAGAGGATGCCAACAAACATTGCGCCACAGATTGATCATCTAAATTTGTTGCAGAACAACTTGGACGGCATCAAGGAGTTGTTCTCCACAGTGGAGATCTTGAACATACTCCCAGCAGTTGGCAACACCAGTAAGAATGAGTATGTCGCTGGGAAGGTAGGAGATTGGTGTCGCCAGGTCACAGTCAATCGACCATCAGGTTCGACAGAGGTCTACAAGCTGAGTGTCAACTCTTGCAATGAGAGGAAGCAGTTGATCTTGGATGCTTTGGCTACATTGGCGCACACATCTGACCTCGTGCCAATCAGATACTTGAATAGGTGTGTTACCCTGTACCAGTTCATCTTGGAGGAAGATGAGGGCAATGACACTCTCCAGCTCATCAAGGCAAACCTCAGCAGTGACACCATCCATTCGTTGGCAAGAGAGGCAAGTTTCCTTATTGCTCAACTCCAAAATGGTGTTTCCAATGATGTCCTGATCAATCAACTTGCATTGACTTTGTCCCAGGTTAATCCAGACCTCGTGGTGGCCCGTCGCCAACTCTTTGGCAAGATTGTTCACCATGCCAGCCAACCAGGACCGTTGAAGGATTTGCTAGACAACCTGGATGTATTCACTGATGCCATGAGACCGATCAACACGCCCTGTCATCCATTGGCACCATATCTGATCAACTGGTTGAGATTCAGCAAGGATGTGACCTACACCACTCATCCGAGCATTAGTCCATGGCTGGACATCTTTGAGTATGACTGCTCGCTTGAAGGCGAACAGGCCGTTGAAGTGGACCACTTGATGAATCAGCTCCAGAAGTGTATACCTTCACTCGGCAATCATACCAAGGCTCCAGGCAATGCATTGGCCAACATCCTGCGCCAAATCAATGGCTCACCCAAAGACTTTAATTGGGTTATCGATACGGCTAAGTGTCCAATGAGCAAGCACGACTCGAGGACCTTTGGAGGCATCATGCACCTACGTAGACTTAACGATGGTGCCACGTTCAGCATTACACATGACCTCGCAAAATGTGCAAGTGCCACCTCTTGTCAGTGCTTTGGCATAGGTAAAGACACCATCCTCCAAGCTTCCAAGTACTTCGTAGTCGACAACACAGACATGATCTATTGGTCTTGGAATGACAACCTCATCATCGAGCTCAATGATCACTTTGAATGTTCTAAACATCTTCCATCATATAAGGTATGTTTATGTTAACAATCAATCAATCAATCAATCATTCAAACGTATTTACTAACCTTCATTCACAGCTCCAAGCATTCATGTATAAACAACCTGTTGGTGTTGGTGCTGATGTTGTTGAAGAGAGTGTTATGGTTATCAACACCAATGATGGATACATCCTACTATGTACAGAGTAACATCAGAAGGATGAGATTGGAAGAGTGTCCAACGGATGCCTTCAACAAACCCTCAACAATGATGATCTACTCATCAGACATTGAGCATGAGTTTGTTCAAACATTACCTGTTGTTTGATTAATTGATTGATTGATTGTACAGATATACATGTACATCATATATATATATATATATATATCATGTGTTTCGTTCGTTTAAATAATAAATAAAGTTCAAGTTATAACTTATCTGTTCTCTTCGTTTTCATAGTTGGTGTTGAAGCTCGTGGCGGCTGTTAGTTGTCGAAAAGATGACCCGCGAGAATCATTAGTCATTGAGTTGAACAAAACAAATAACATGTCTACAACAGATACAACGACAACTGCGTCTGACACTGCGATCACACCGTCAACATCAAGTACCGATGTGATTGCTGACCAGCATGTTGGTGATGCTACCACCACATCAACAACAACAACAGAGACATCAACAACAGAGCCATCAACAGAGTTATCAACAACAACAACAACAGAGGATAAACCAATGTCAAAGGGCCAGTTGAAGAGACAGTTGAAAGCTGAAAGATGGAATCAAATGAAGGATCAGAGGAAGGAGTACTTTAGAGAGAAGAAGCGTGAGAAGTTGAAGAGGAAGAAACAGGAGATGACACCTGAGCAGCGCAAGGAGAAGGAGATTAGAAAGAGGAAGAAGAGACGCGACCCAAGCACCATCGACTACAGCGGCAATGTCATTCTAGACATGGAGATGTCGCATCTGATGGGATCAAAGGAGGAGAAGAGTCTCATCAACCAGGTGTGCTACCTGTACGGCGCCAACAACAAGGCCGACCGTCCACTCAAAGTGGACATCACCGGCTACACGGGCAAGGTGCGCGACACCATGGAGTCAATGTCTGGCGTGGCCAACTGGAAGCTGACCAAGCACACTGAGACCTACATGGAGCTGTTTGACAAGCAGGAGCTGGTCTACCTCACATCCGACTCGCCAAACTCTATCCAGACACTGGACCCAACCAAGCGATATATCATTGGATCATTCGTAGATCACAATCGATACAAAGGATACACATACAAGAAGGCAACTGATCAAGGTATCGCAACAGCTCGTCTACCAATCAGTGAATATATAACATTATCATCACGCAAGGTGTTGACAGTCAATCATGGTAAGATACGATATTACATTGTTGTTGAGTGATGACGAGGAATGGTCCACTAACATTATGTACATTAGTCTTTGAAATACTTCTAGCATATACACAGAATGGAGATTGGAAACAGTCGTTCGAGCAGATTATACCTGCTAGGAAGATATCTGATGATCCAGATAATGAAGGCGAGGACGAAGACTACAATGAGGAGGATGAAGGAGAGAACAACAACGAAGACAAGAATGTTGACCAATCGACCATTAGTGCAACATCCACAACCAATGATACAACAGCCAATGATACAGCAACAACCACAACAACAACAACATCTACTACAAGTACTACTCCTCCTTCTACAACAAAATCCGAGACACCAACAACAACAGCCAAACTAGGTACCAATCCCGAGACATTCATCCAACCAGATCGCAATCAAATATAAACAATAATAAAAATATAATAAGTTTAACTTAAGTTTATTGTTGTTGATCCAATCGATGCCAAAGTCCTCTACTCTGTTTGGACAACACAATTACTTAAAAAGGCAATGTTCCAATTTAGTGTAAAGATGTTTGAGTGTGTGTGATAGTGTAGGATTGTAATCTGGTTGGTCCAAAGGATGCCAAGACATGCTCTTTGGGGGGTATGATAAGCTTGACCTCAATGGCTACAATTTGATGTTCAAATTCACTTAATGTTTCCAACAACTAATGTTAGCATAGAGGAGAGAGACATGATTGATCAATAAACTCATACATTACTTCTAATTAGAATACATGTACATAGAAATAAATAATAATGTTTGATAGTTATAAATATATACTTGATTATCAATTTCCAGACTACTCTATTAGATTTCTACCTTGGTTTATAGCATTGTTGATAGTTGAGAATATTGTATCCTTCTATTTCGATGATGATACATACTCTTGGAACGATTCATTTACAAGGTATGAATGATTAGATGACAATCAATCCATAAATCAATCAATCAAATGTTTACCTTATATAAAGTCTATCAACAGGTTTATCAACAATTTTAATCGAGAAGTTAATACCATGTAGTCTATTGGTAACTACAGAGTTCTATATTGTGATATGGATGTGGGAGCACTGTCGACTAGTAGACATTCCAGAAGACTCCAAGTTAGCCTCTTTATTTTGTTTATTATTGGTAGACTTTGCTTTCTATTGTAAGTTGATATCCGCTGAAACAATCAATCATTCTCATACTTAAAATAACCTTTTTTATTATCACTCAATCAGGGCATCATAGATGTTTACATATTATCAACTGTAGGTAAATAATATTCGAATATAAGTTATCCAATACTGACCATAAACATCATAGGGATGTGGGCAACACATATGACACATCACTCAAGTGAGAAATACAATCTGTCTACAGGACTAAGACAAAATGTATTCCAAATATACACCAGTTGGATGTTTGTACTTCCCCTTGGGCTATTGTTCCCGCCTCAAATGTACTTCTTCCATAAACAGATGAACACAATTTATCAGTTCTGGATTCATACAAAATACATAAGAAAGTTGCCAAGGCCTATTGAATGGATCATGAACACGCCGTCCCACCACAGAGTGCACCATGCTCGGAATGCCATCTATCTTGATATTAACTTTGGAGGGTAAGATCAATCATAATGTCGATGATATCAATGTATCAAATAACTAATCACTAAGTATTTCAAATACTTAGATTACTAATTATTTGGGATCGTTTGTTTGGAACATTTGTCGAAGAGGATGAAGAACCTATTTATGGATTGGTTGCCTATGCTTTTACAAGTCATGATCCGACTTGGGTACAGATTCATCATTACTTTGACATCAGGAATAAGGTTCGACGTTTCAAATATTGGTCAAACAAGTTTAAGTCTATTATCAACAAACCAGGTTGGGTACCAAGTGGTGCTATTATCACTCCTCCCAATCCAGTGATGAAAGAAAGGAAAGGACCGCCGATATCATTGGAAGTCAACATCTACACATTTGTCCACTTTAATATCCTTGTCATGTTTACATTCATTTGTCTAAACATTGACATGAGATCAATCCCGATGGTGCTTGGACTCCAACTGGTTTATGTCTATATAAGTATTTCAATTCTTGGATCAATATTTGATAGAAAGAAGTAAGTAGATCCACCTTCTTCACACCCTATAATTATAAGTATGAATACTAATCAATCAATGAATTAACAATGATAGGTATGCATGGTTGTCCGAACTTCTAAGATTGGTTCTTTTTTTGGTGGTGTCCTGGACCAACTTGGATATGAAGATACGATTGATGAGGACCTTATACTATTTATCAACACTATGGGTGGCAACTACTCATATCCATCAATCTAATATTGGAATTGAAGGACCAAAATCACTTCAATCATTCCTGGACAGGTTAACATTGAAGTTCTCAAACAACCCTTTTCAAGATGTATGGTGCAATTGAACGAAATTTCGATGACCGTTGTATCTCAAACCCTGGGAGACCCATTTAATATTCGTTGAACTTGGTTGCGCAGCGCAATGAGGAGACAACAAAGCACCACACTGTTTGACTCATTATTGCGACTTCATCCTAACTGCAATGATTCATTCTCAACTTTGTCCAACTTATAAACAATTACAAATACGATCAAAACAAGCGAACTGTCATCATTACACTTTTGTACATTTTATTTAATCATTACAAATACACAACATTCATACATTAACTAGAGATATATAATATAAACATATATTTGTTATAAACTTTATACTACCTTTAAGCAAACAGTTGATCGATCTTTTCATCACTTATAATATATAAGTAAGTATTTACTACTACTCTTCACTACACACTACATCCCATAATATAACATATTTTATTTGTTTGAAGAGATAACCAATCCAACCATCAACGAACATCATTCTATTTATATTTATAACCACTACATATATACACACAAACACACACATGACATGATGGTCGTTGAACACTTAAGTGCATGTGTGTGTGTGTTTGAATGTAATTCAATTACCATTACTATTTTCATCACAGGGTTGACAGAGATAACCCAACCGCACTCTCACAAACAAACACACACACACACGCAATTATTATTAATTGTGATGTTAAGCAACATCATTAATCCATTCATTATTATTCATTCATTCATACACAAACACACACATATAAAATATATTTTAATTGTATACACACATAAACACATAATAATATATATTATTGTTGTACATACGCGCGTAAACACTCACTCAACTAATTCATTCAACAACCAACCAATAACAAAGCCACCTACTACATTATCTGTGTCCTCCTCATCCACGCATTCTGAACGACAACACAAACAAACGAGCACAAATACCTAACCTTTATCAATTGCTTAGTCTTAGACCTATATTATTATTATTATCTATTATCTATTCATACAGCATAGCAACAACAGCAATAGCGAAACAACAACCGCAACAAGAATAGAAGCAGAACAAACTTTGAAAGCAAACAGACATTCACTTTGAATATTGAAGACTCGTCATCAGAACAATCTTTGTACATTATCACATATATACACTATACAACACATAAGATCAATCATGGAAGGTGATTCTACACAAAAGACTTCGGCCCCAATCCAATGTGCCAACAACTGTGGTTTCTTTGGGTATGTATCAATCAATCAATAATTCTGGACAATATCTCTAACAAACATCTTACACTCTCAACAAACAACAGAAATCCACTGACAGCAAATATGTGCTCCAAATGCTATAGAGACTATTATCCAAAGTCAGAAGAAAAGCCATTGCAACAGACAAACAATAGCACGGATAATAAGACCGAAACGGCTAGCACAGAGGACCCTGCCGCAGACGACAAGAAGGTACAGGTCGACACAACTCGATGTTTCAGCTGTACCAAGAAGGTCGGATTGCTCGGTTTCAAATGTCGATGCGACTATGTATATTGTTCCACCCACCGATACGCCGATAAGCACGAGTGTTCCTTTGACTACAAGACCGCCGGCAAGGCAGCTCTAGCCAAGGCCAATCCAGTTATCGCTGGGTCAAAGATCAATAAGATATAGTAGTAATAGATATAGTTGTCAATCAAGATGACAAACAAAATTATATAGGTATACATTTTATATATATACACCAACCAACCAACCAACCAGCATTACACATACATTAATAAATTAGATGTTAACGCCCGACTCTGGTCGACCATTCAGGAGCTTCACCATGTGACCTCCATTGCGTCAGGACAAAGGCATTCTCCAAACAACTTCCTTCCCAGCTTCCTCTCTTCCAACCATTCTTCACTCATATGTTGCCAACGAGTTGATTCGTTGTTGGTGATCTTTAGGTCGCGACCAAAGTTGCGGTTTCCAAGTGTGAGCGGACTTGGATGTTTGTGTGTGGGGTGATGTGACTTTCGCTTGTTCCCTCAAGAGTCAAGAAACGCAAATAAATAATAATGTTGATATTCGATGATGAGATGGAAATGCCAAATGAGGGGACAACAAAACCAAAACAGAACGCGCTCAACCATTCATTCAATTCAATCTTTGTACATAATTAAACACATACATATAAACAACAAAAATAATAATGAATCACATTCACATTAAACCAGATGAATGCAACTCTCAGTTGTATCGTACATGTTACCCATCGGAATTGTATGGTGTGATGACCATTCAAGAGTTCCAGGGAACTGTGATGAGTATAAATACTTTGCTCGCACAACAAGGCGGTAGAAAGTGGATGTTTATGGGCCTGGGCCTCCCATTCGTCTTCTTTGCCATCTTTATGATCACAATGATGACTGGCAACGGTTCTTTGTGGCCAATCTTCATCGGTCTCTTCATCGGATCGTTCATCCTCTTTATCATCCTCGCCGCCTTCCAACACAGAAAGAGAGTCAGATTGGTGGACTTGGCCCTCAACGAGGCCAACTGCCAGTTTGCCGCCCGTGGCATCACCTTCTCCAAGTACTACAAGCACTCAAAGAACCACCACAAGCGCAAGCACACCAGATTGTGCATCAGAGTCGACTTCCCCTCGCCAGTCGTCAGCGTCATGCCCGTCCAGCCAGTCTTCATGCCACACAACGGCATCCCAATGGACACTCTCCAGCCACAGCATCCATTCAACCAACAGGCTTACATGCCACAGCCACAGATGAACTTCCAGCAGACTGGTGCACCATTCCAGCCACAATACCAACAGGCTGCTCCCTTCCAGCCACAGTACCAGCAACATGGTGCACCATATGGACAGTACCAAGCTCCATTTGTACAGCAACAACCACAACAACAGCAGCCACAGTACCAGACTCAGCCCCCAATCGTTACCAACAATGACATTGGCATTGATGAGAAGATGAGTCTGCTCAAGTAATATTATGGCAATAAATCTTGCTTTGTTTTATTATTATTATTATTCTTATTCCACTCAATCAATCAATTGATCTTTGGAATCACTACACCAAGGTGTTGGACTTGATAAAGTTGTTGGCTTAAGATCTCCCAATTCCATATATGGCTATCCAAGAATCAATCATGCCATCATCAGGCTTGGTCACAAATAAACGTGTTTGGTGAATATTATGACCAAAAAGATGACAATGCGGACTAATGGGAAGACCAAGCTTTAATAAAACCAGAATCCAAATGGATACTCCCCAGCCACAGCTTCCAATTAACCTTATGATCTTCCAGACTGGAACACCTTATCTAAAGCACTATGTACAACCACTACAACAACAACAACAGCATCCACAGTATCTAATCCTAACACCAATCGACACTGACAATGTTAGACCGGTGTAAGAATCTCCCAATTTTTTTTTTTTTTTTTTTGACTAGTGTGGAAGTTTATTATTATTGGCGTCATTGAAGAGGCGGGATAATATATATAAATTAGTCAATTTTAATTTTTCTTGATTTTTTTCTTTCTTTTCTTTTCTACTGTAGGCCTCTGAATTCGGCCACCAAGTGTTTGTTGATAGTTGGCAGCAGAGGCGGAGGACAGATGTCGCGGTTGCGAGTGCTGAGGTGCCACTTGGTAATGAACTCGCAATCTCATTCTTGATGTTGACTGGTCATCCGGCCAGGATGTGACTCGTTAGCGTGGACATGAGGAAACGCCACTCCTGGCGGAGGAGCGACTTGAATGATGTGATGCACACCATGCTGAGCTTGGTCAACAGGGCCTCCTTGTCGCCAAAGAGGTGGTTGGCGATATAGTGCCAGAGGTAGTTGACAATGATTGCCATAAAGTGGATGAATGGAAGGTTGGGGCGACGAGACTTCGTGGAGATGTCCAGTGCTTTGATGTTCCATTCTCTGACATTGATACCAGAGCGTTGCTTCACTAGGTCTAAGGCTGGGCGCATAGCTTCTTGGGTCGCCACTTTGCTGCAGTCAAAGAAAAGTGTAGGGTTGGTCTGTGCAGGAGTTGCCACAGAGAGGGCAGTCAGAGTCTGCTCTCATATGATTGATCGGGAGAGTATGGGAGAAGAACCTGAAGAGGGCGTTACGTGAAGATGGTCCTCTCAGGGTGCTGATGACCTTGAAGATGTCTGGGAGCTTGAGGCCGTGGAAGACACTGAGCTGCCATTGACCCTCGGTCAGTCTGATTGAGCCATACTTTGCCTTCCAGAGGATGGCATAGATGTCCTTCAGGTTGAGGGTGACACCATTGCTGTCCAAGAGTGGTACCTTGTCGCTATAGCTGGAGAGGTGGGCGGAGCGGAACTCCATCCAAGGTGTGTGGGAGGCAAGTTCACTGGTCTCTTCCGCAAGAATACCTCCCAGGAGATTCCTGGCGTTGCAGTGTTGAGTTCTCCACGAGTCCAGGTAGCCATGGGTGAGATGGGCTGGGGTGTTGAGGAAACGATTGAACACGTTGGAGCTATATCCCGTAAAGGCATCAGAGTAGATTTCCCCTTGCCAGTCGCCTATGGTGTCATGCCCAACCTGTCTCAATGGCACACGACGGAGTCCCAATGGACACTCACCAGCCACATCACCCATTCAACCAACAAGGTTTCATGCCACAGCCACAGATTAACTTGCTGGAGGCGGGTGCACCATTCCAACCACAATTCCAACAGGCTTCTACCTTCCAGCAACAAGGTGCATCAAATGGACAGCTCCAGGCTCCATATGTACTACAACACCAACAACAACAGCAGCAACAGTACCAGACCCTAACTCCAATCGCTACTGACAATGAAATTGTCATTGATGAGAAGACGAGACTTCTCAAGGAAATATTATTATTTATTCAATAAGATGGATTCCAAGATAAACTGATGTTCCGAGTCTGCTGAGTACACCACCATCAAAGGTTGATTGTTGTTGTTGTTGAACATATCTTGTGGACACTCGGACAGTCGTCTCCTAGTGATTGACTGGTCCGCACTACTTGAGGTACAAATAATAATATAATTATCATCAGTGTTGATCACCATTACATATTCACCAGCGTGACGGCCATCGGCCTCATCAGCTCCATATTGTCCACATCTGCGGTATATGTATGATTGGACCTAATATTCATAAACAATGTTATGTTATGTTAGTTAGGTTGGTGGAGAGATTGAATGATTGATAGAATGAATGAGTTACATACATTATATATTGATTGTTGTTGTTTGATGCCTCGAAGATGTTCCTTGAGATCAATTTGGAGGTTACTCCATGTTGACCAATATGCATTGCTGTCCACAATGAAGTACTTTGAAGATTTGACTACTTCTACATTATCTGCTCCAGCCGCTATGGCAACACAATCACATAGAGTCTGTTTGATACTCAAAGGCGCTTCAAATTGTTTGGAGTGGAGTTGGGGGTAGTCTGCGATGTCCTTGGACTCATGCCTTTGACGCGGACACATAAGTGTGAGTAGCCATCCAAAATGATTGAGTGATGGACATATCTGCTTCCAAATGTTAATCATCAATTCACTTGGTGTGAGCTGTGCTTGGGCTTGGGCTTGATCTTGGCTGGTCAATCGCAGCTGGGATAGCAGTGCATCAATGTCGATGTATCCATTCGTTTGTACTGAGCAATCGTGTTCAAAGATGTCCAACCAGGGTGCAATACTTGGGTTGGTTGACATGATCATATCCCTGTTGAATCTGACCCAGTTGATCAGTAGTGTTGCCAAAGGATGAGCCGACGACTTGATTGGTCGCATTGAGTCTGGGAGGATCATGGACATTGATTTCTGAACAAGGAAGTCTGATTGATCGCTGGAGTACTTCAATACTGTTGAGATGATATCATACATGTCATTTATGGGCAGATCGGGATATCTTTGGACAAGATTGATCAGATTACTTGGCTGGTCCTCCTCCTTGTTGTCCTTGACCTGTGGAGGTGCATGAATGGCCTCCATTGTGGAGATACTGGCAATCATTGCCAAGATATGACGTGTGCCGATGTCAACCTGGCGGAGAAGTAGACCAAGAGGATGTTGGTCATCATCAATGTCCATGAAGTACTGATAGAGGTTGACGCAGAGCTTGAGGGGTTTGATCCGGATATAGGATGGCGATGATGGGTCTTGCTTGGGACGTGTGATCGACTGCAATCCCAAGAGTATGTAGTGGATCAATTGAGTTCGACGTGCTGATGCATTGGGCAGTAGCCCGAATGATCTGGAATGGTCATCGGTTGTGACTTGAAGCTGTCTGCACCAATAAGCAAGGGGCCCATCGACATACTCCTGGTAGTTGAGGCTGCCCACTGCTGGTAGTCTGTACAACATGTTCACTGACTGAAACAGCATTCTAATGTCATCAATTTTGTTAGATACTGAGCTGAGCATGTTGACGATGTTGACCAACTCTGTTGATCGCATCCTGTTGCGAATAGACTCACACAGATCACATATCGTTAATACAGTGATTGATGTGATTGGTTCCAATATCGTGTAGACTTGTTTAGTGTTGTCAAAGAGTGTGGCCATTGCTGGGTTGAGCGCAATGTTTGATTGAATGGCAATGGACGCAAGGTTGAAGTTGAGTATATGGTGGTCAAGGAATGCCAACAGGTGAGGCGGCAGATGTCTGAAGATGTCCAGTTGTTGGTAGTCCATTCCACCAAGCTCCTTCTTAATCTGATCACTGATGTCGTTGGCATTGGGATTAGCATGATAGTGATCGATCATCTGTATGATCCTACTCCTGCTCTCATCACAATCAATGATGACTGAGTTCAAGTATTGGTTGGACTTGATGAATGCAAACAATGCGTCATGGTTCTGGTCATATCCATGAATGGATATAACGTCCCTGATGAAAGACATGATGCTTCCTATGTCATTCTCTGTGATCGTTTTGCTGGAATCTTGCCCAAGGTAGTGGATGCTTTGTTGATTGATTGAGTGGTTAGTATAAGTGAGCACGAACGAGTATGAACAGAGGTTGGTCATTGTACATACATGAAAGTGAGCTGCTCGTCAAAGTTGGCAGCGTTGGTGATCTCGGACAACTGTTTGTAGAGGTCAGGACCGACATTGGTCGACACCTTCTTGTTGATGATGTCCACCATCAATTGCTTGGTACAGTGGCAAACATGGTCCATGTTAATCTTCTTGCCAGGCATTGTTGATTGTTGGACGAAGTATCGAAGTACTATGTCGAAGATGTTGTTGATGTTGTTGTTGTTGGCGTCAACTTTGTGATTGATCTTGAAGTGAACTATGAGCTGATGTGATGATTGATTGATCATTGTGAATGTCTCTTGATGGGACAACTCATTAATCCTAGTCTTCAACTGATCGTTGGTCATTATCATGTCATTATAGTCATTGCAGTCATTGCTGTCATTACTGGCGTTGTTGTTGGTGTTGATGACAAACATGGGGGATAGGGCATTGAGTGCTTGGATGAGTGTAGAGTACATGTTGGTCAACTTGTCGTGAACTAAGAATAACAAAAACAAAGTTGTAATGATGGACTTTCCTGCACCATATCTCCTTGTCAACATCAAGTTGATTGATTCCAACAAACTCTTCCTCTCCAGAGTACCATCATACTCCTTGGATAAATGGGTAATGATTCCTTTCATAGAGTCAAGTAGCTATTTTGATCACGTGAGGGTCCATATTAGTATACTTGATTGAATGAATGGACGAATGAACGAACACTTCAACTTACCTGTGTCTTGTAAATGTTGAATTGAGAGGTCTCCGCCTTCCAGTGTGATGGCTCACCTGGCTGTTTCCTTGACATTGATAGGAGATGATCAATACGATGAAGGAGAGGTATGGTCATGGTCTTGGATTGAACGTCAGTGATGAGATCAGGCATGATCCTGTTGATATAGAGTAGGTTGAGTAGACAGTTTGGATATCCAAACTCCTTGTCATAGTTCACAACATCAACCATATCCTTGGCAAAATGTTGGCAATAATGGTAATATGTTTGGTTTCCATCCTTTGACAATGCTACATCAATGGATTGGCGATGCTCCAACTCTTTGGCAAACTCTCCAATATACTCCTCGTCCTTCATTAATGTGTCGTGAGCGATTGAGTGATTGAGTGAGTGATTGAGTGAGTGATTGAGTGATTGAGAGAGGGAGTGCAACTTACTTCAAAATCCTCCCTGATGGGATAGGTGATATTTGGGTATTTGATGAGGAACTCAATGTAGGTGGCAGGATCTTTGGTGGTCTTTAGTATCTGATCTTGAAGATATATGATGCATAGCTTGTCAGATGGTCCCAGTCCAAGTATCTTCAACTTGTTGTCCATTGGGATAAAGTCAATGCTCCTCTCTTTCAATATGTTGCCCTTGAGCATATAGTAGAACTTATCACATTGGAGTAGACTAATGATTGATTGGTTCATTGACAGATTGATTAGTATATGAATGAATGAATGAATGAATGAATAACATACCAATCATTTAGTTCTGCGAATGGTACCATGGAATAGATAGTTTCTCCAATGGCCTCGAGAATGTAATTCTCCTCATTCTCGAGGTAAATGACGTAGTCCTTTGGATAATTAACAAAGAAGCATCGATGAAGTACGTTTGTCCACAATTCTAGTTTGAACGTAAGGTTCAATTTCAACAGGCGCTTGAGTTCTACAATACTCTTTATATTCTCTATGATTGGTCGGTTGGGTCGTCGAGTAATGGTATTAGTCTCAATTGATTGATTGAATGATAATGATTGATTGAATGAAAGGCTTACGAATTCTCACGACCAAGAGATCACCGATATGCTTCCAACCATTTTGATTGATTGGCGTCTTAATATCATTGTTGGCTAGACTCTTACTATATATCTCTGTCATACGGACTAGTATATCCATATTGCGTTCACTCTATTTGATTAGATTAGTTTGTGTTTTAGGTTAGCAAGCGATCCCCGGCCTATCGATGAAAGGACAAAGAACGACGTACGTTGGTAACTCCTGATGAGGCATCAACATCAAGGATGAAGTGCTTGATGTAGAACTTTAGGAAGGTGAGCTTGTTCTTCATACCACAAACGTCATTGGCCAACACATCCATGTTGCAACCAGATGACATTAACGCCTTTAGAACCTCTAGTATGTTGAGGTCAGTGTCCATATCACTCTGGTCAATGAAGTAGACGACAATGTCTACCAACAGGTTCTTCATCTTGGGCTCAAGTCGTTCGAGTCGATCTTTATCAAGATTAGTTAATAAGAATATAAAGAACACATCCTCGAAATTACTAGGTCTCTCGAGTTTGTAGCCGGGTAGAAGGGACTTCCTCACGACTTCGGCAAAGTATTGATACTTGTCGGGTATTCCATCTTTAATGGTACTATTAAGTTGAGTTAGTTAGTTGATTGATTGATTGATTGATTGATTGATTGATTGATTGAGTGAGTGTGGACTTTGTAAACATACATATCCATCCTCATTAAGAGGTAAAAGACGTAGGTCAGGTCATGGGTCTTGTTGACGAGTGCTTGGAGAGTTGATTCCTGACTTTTGGCGGCATCGATTGGCGGTTGTGTCTTGATGATGTATTTGTCCAGTTTTGTCTTGATATTTACAGGTTGTTTTGATAATGGATCTTTCAACATTGAGAATGTGTCTGCCCATCTTATCAAATCTCTCTTTGTATGCATCTTGAACACCTTCCTTATCAAAATAATAAGTAATATAATTAATGTTATTACCAATCTAACATCCATCTCAATATCTCTATATCTCTTTGTCTATATCTATATAAATATATATATTATATTAGTATTATTATTATTATAATTTTGCTAAATATATATATGCTTGATTGATTGATGATTGATTGATTGATTGAGCGTGGATTAAAGTTGGAACAAACTCTACTTTCCAAGTTTGTGTGGACAAACTCGAATTTTCAGATTGTTGTTGTACGACTGATTGATGAGCTGAGTTGAGATATATCACAAATGAAAGTGAATGATTGAGGTAAATGTATGACTCATCAAACATACATACTTGTTTGTTGTAGTTGCCCATGACTTTGATGACAAAGTTTGCAGTACCCTGAGTTCGCGATCGCATCTGAAGAACAATCAACTCTAGAGATCAAGTTAGACAAACTAACTTGACTTTGTCCTCTCCTCCTACTTCAAAGACATGTCTACTACGTTCCATGCAATGTCTTATCTTTATATGTATAACTATAAAGATAAGTGTGTAAAGTGAATGAATGATCATCAAAAACTTCAAAGTGTTGACAAGGTTGCGATGACTTGGTGTCAGAATAGGTTTCGGTTTTATTGAACATGAGGTTCAGATGAGCAGCCAATCGGCACCCTGGCCAACCATTTGGCATCCATCACAATGTTGTTGTTGATGATGAGGTGTTGGCAACAATGTTGGATACTTATGTTCATGTCAAGATGAACGATCATTTCATCCAGTGGTCCAGTTTGATCACAACCAACATGAGGACATCGTGAGATTATGTCCATGTCCATATCCATATCCATGTTGTTCTCTGCCTTGAAATAACCTGTTGTTCGATTATGTTGTCTTGGTCATCATTGAAATGATACTGAATCAGGTGAGTGTGCAGGGCACTGCTGGTGACAAAGTAGTGTCCACAGGTGGTGCGAGTATACCTTATGAATCTTCTGGCCAGCAACATTGCAATGGACTCTTGGTCATCCAAATCAGCTTTGAATGCTTTCTTGCAGTGCGTCTGGTAGTTTGGACATTCCGCGTACCTCCAACTACATTTATGTGTCACTCTGCAATGCTTGCGCAACCTGGCATATTCTATCTCTGAATGATTGCAATCCTGGTGTTGGCATCCGTTGGGAGAGTGTCGTTTGTTGCTGCCACGTCGATGTTGTTCCTTCTTTTCTTTCTGGCTATCAGTCTGCATCATCTTGATCGGCTCTGTGACTTCATCATCATGTTGATCGTCATCTTCCTCATCATCATCACCTGCATCTTCATCATCTTAATCATGACTATCCTCATCATCTAGACCATCACCATTACAGTCGTCGGCATCGAGTGTCTTTTCTTTCATCCTCCACCTCCCGTGTTGACTCTTGATATGTTTCTTAATTGATAGAGCATCCCAGAAGTACCGGTAGCATGAATCCTTTGGGCATGGCCTTAAGCCATCGGCCAACATCATCTTGATGGACGCCGGGTCATCCGGCATCGCCAGCTTCTTGGTGCGGTAGATGCGATAGTTTGGACATGTCGCGTAAGTGCCCGGACAAAGGTGAGCGATCTTGCAGTGAGTGGCCACGCTGTAGGGGCCCCTGTACTCCTTGTCACAATGGTCGTTATTACAAATGCACATCTTGAGCACCAGCGGGAGATTGTCAAGATTACCAGCAGCGTGCTCATTGTATTTATCGGACGATTCTGTGGCCCTTGCCATCATTGTGTCGGTGTGGACAGCTGCTACGATTGGCACATTGATGATCGCCGATCTTCCTCTTCATGTACTTGTGTCTGGCTTCATTCGTCTTGAAGAAGTTGAAACAGGTGGTGTGTATCGCGCGATAATATCGATCGTTTGGACATGTCGCATACGTTGACGGGCATCCATGCTTTATAACGCAATGTTGATATACTGCAGTGAAGGTTGAATATGACTTCTTGCATGATCCGTTTTTGACAAGTGTAGTACGGGTATCTAACAATTTCGCCCAATATCAATAAATTGGTGTTCGGTCGGATAGATCAGATGTATCTGATAGATAAGGGCCTTATCAGTCCCTTTTAGGTGGTCTAACTCATTCATTAATACATTATTTGTTCAACAACACTCTATCTCATTATATACTCAAATAATCTATATTCAAGTCAGAGATATCGATAGCGTTCAATCAATCAATCAATCAATCAATCAATCAATCAATCAATCAATCAATCAACGAACGAAGTATATAACTAAATTTCATTGTATAAATCTAAAATAAATATTTCTTATACATAAAATAAAGAACTATAACATATATGAATGTCACTATCATGAACTTAAATTTGAAGAAGATATTAAATCTAGAAATCATCGACTGGTAACAACTTTTGAGTATTTTTTTTTGATCGATTGAAAATTTTTTATGTTTTAAAATATTTATAAATATATTTTATTAAAGTTATTTTTGTAACTAGATTACGCTATTGAAGGGAAATGCTTAAATCAGTAATTTTAAAATATAAAAAAATAGTAAAAAGTTGTTACCTGTCTATGACATGGTCTTAATTTAAGTTCCTGATAATGAAATTAATATATGTTATAGTAATTTATTTATTGTACAAGATATATTTATTTTGAATTTTTAGAATTAAATTTAGTTATATATTTCATACATTAAAATCGATGAGTTTCACCATAATAATCCCTTTTATGATTGTTTAATTCTAATTGATCTAGATTTATTACAAACAACTATTCACTTAAGGAAGCTCAATCTCCAAGTTATTATTTGGACACCCATCATCATTTTTCTTTCTTTGAAGACTCTTTCCCAAAACCAATCAATGAATTGGGGTCATGGAGGGAACTTTCACTAACTAACGAAAGACGAAGTCATGTGGTCTACCTCAAATGGTACAAAAATGGATATTTGTTCCCTGACTTTGAATTGAGGAAGGTTGAGTAACTGTTTTATTATTCAAAAAAATATATCAAACAACTAACTTATTGATTAAGGTAAGTGTTAAATACATATCTTGTTACAATCAAACTATATATTTTTTTTTTGTATAATATATTCTGAAAATATTCAAAAATGAATAATTTGAATGATTGACTATTGTGAATGATCCCTAGGGATATGATTAACTATTGTGAATATAAGTAAAGTATCATCATTATTAATTCAGATAGATTTTGGCGGGTACATAATTACACATTGGAGGGTAATAACAAAGGGATGGGGTATAATGAAGAACAACAAGAAGGCTGCCACATCCAGAAAAGTTTCCAACAACGAGGAGGATGATGAGGAGGTTGATGGCGATGTCGCCCAAACACCGCAACCAACAATAAGCAAATCATCAGCACCAGTGGCAAACTCATTCATCACACTAAACAGACCAATTGGAAACACAGAGAACAATCACCAGGAGAAAGGTGTGTTGAATTGAATATATATATATATATATATAAACAGGAAGTTGAGGTTAGAGGATGAGCACAACAAATTAATCGTGGAGGTGTCCACGCATACAACTCCTGTGGGAGATTCATCGACTTAGAGTCGAATTCATTTTTGTGCGGCAGGTTTGGCAACTGAGTGTGCGGGCCGCAATGACCAGTTGTATGAGCGATAAGATTATTCTTGCATTTATTTGAATTATTTTGTATTGAGTGTGTTGTTGATGAGATCAAAGTCTGAACAGTGTGTTCCATTTGGCATCGTGATGAACATTGATTACAGATATATATATGGTAATACTCTTCTTCAGTATCCTTCTCTTCTTTGTTACTCTTCCAGAGGCAGTAGATATGTGACCACAACTCTCGTCAACAATGCGACCAGTGTAGTACTTGGAGTCATAGAACACCAGCACATCCATTCCTAAGCAAACGTCATCGTCTTGTGTCAGCTGTATCTTGTTGATTAGCCGCAGTCTCTCAACTCGAACGAGTTCAGTTTCTTCAGACGTACGATACTTCCTATGGTTGTACTTGACGACGTAGTTGGGATAGTGATCATAGACGATGACGCCCTCCCACCATGTATCCTTGTCTCCTTCATGGTTCGTCTGAGCGAGCACCTTCATGCCAGCT